CCAATGTCCTGGCTGTTAGGAACATGACCCAGAAATCGTCGCTAGGGACTACAGATGAGCTGGAAGTGAATAGCTCTTTCTCAGAGAGAACATCGTGTTGGAATTGTTCTCGATCACCCTCTGGAAGCGGTGGAGACAACGGTCTGTTCAGATCTGGCGTCTCGGGTTCAGAGTTGGTATCATCGTCGTCTGATACATTCTCTAGAAGAGGTGGATATGCAAAAGGAGCAAAGGCGACCCTGTGGTAGAATATGGTTTGTTTCCGCATAGGATCCCAGTATCCTACATCATCCAGCATGTTGGACTCGAGGATGGCCTCCATCGTCATGAGGTTGAAGGCTTTGCTGACGCGACATAATTTCAGCATTTCGGCGAGAGACAGCGACACGGTGCATTGCTCGATGATATGAAGCCATATCTCTGCAGGAAGATAAGTCGGTAGGTACTCTGGATCACTCATTGTTCACTGATCTTCATTGAATCGATGAAGTTCACTCGTTGGATTGTCGAGTTGGTGCGTAGCGAGGAGTTTCAAGACAATGCTGACAGTGCATTTACTGCACAGCCGCGGGGAAGGGCCCACTAAAATGCAGTGCCTCGACGAGTGCTGAATGGGTACTGAAAGGATAACAATCCAAATGGCAATTGAAAATAGTTGGAGAAGATATTTAGAGATTTGGCTAAACTTTTGCACCATCCAGATGAGTTCCGTGATTATCCTGTGAGCGCCTCTGCCTCCGGAGCTCCGGCACAGCTTCCGCTCCGCTCCAGCTGTTTATTTTGGTGGCCCGTCGAGAGCGATGCTGATCACAGTGACAGAGTTTATTTTGTCACCATAAACTTAGGTAACTTGGTATAGGTTTAGGATGAATTTAGGGAACATTTTGTGGAGTTTATTTTATCATCCTAAACTTAGGTCTTATGTTTTCTTGCTCCCCTAAGCCGCAGTAGCTGTGCTTCTGATATGGCCATGTTTCTCCTGACGGCTTGATGATCGCGCCATGTTCACCGTTGGAGTCGATGATAGTGAAAGTCTTTGAGCATCGACAGATCTTGTGGTTTCCAGAGTCGTACATTTTGAAGTCGTATTTATCTGGCTCAGCATCCATCAAAGCGAGCGGCACATTGATAGCCAAAGCACTACAAGTACCACTTACCGCCAACGCATCACACTGCTCAAGCGGGACATCAAGACAGACAAGAAGGGAGTCGATCATGTTGACAGAATTGAACGCTGTCTTACCATGGAAATGGATTTACGCTAAGGTAGCGGTGTCATTGATCTGTATGTTGTCTGCCATCATGGGCCAGTGTTCCAGAGCTCAAAGTATGTAGAAGATGAGGTGGGAGAGTTTTGTTTTGAGGCACTAAACCTGCCATTCGTAGATTTTTACCAGTGTTGCATAAGATGTAACCTAAACTCATCCTAAATTTATACTAAGTTGCCTAAGTATTTTTCTCACTTAGGCTCAAGGCCCTGACTTTCCTTTCCTCCCCTAGTCCGGATCCCATCATAGTTATCAATGTGAGCTTCTATAGATGCGATGCATTCATCATATAAAGTAATGTAATCAGAACGATCGATTTACTAGATCTGTAGCAAAGAAGGCTTCGGGCATGGGCGAACTTCCCATCAGCCAGATCTGAGCTTGGGTCTCGGCAAGAGTGGCTCTGGGATACTCTATGCCACCCGTGTTTGTATGCCCCTGGTCTCAAATCTCCTACATTGGATGACAGTTTGCCTCATATCTGGTGACTTCCGACCGATGCCCTCGGTTGTATACCAATTCCTACTGCTGGGCACTGCAAGCCAGGGTCCACAGAGACAGTCATGGATAGGACTAGTTCATCATATGCCTTGACGATAAAGTCACTGCTTCATGAGAGAAAGCGAGACTACCATTCGCTGAAGACGAAGTCAATATGATGAAGCAGTTTTGTCTACAGCTCGACCTCGAGCCAAGTACTCCCATGCCATTGAAGGAGGGGGTCCTCGTATCCCTGGAGGCCTGCAAGGTATTCCATTATGCAGGCCATGGGCGCTGAAACCAGGCGAAACCGTCGAAAAGCTGTTTATGTCTTGAAGGCTGGATTACCAACCCCCTCACAGTGCATAATATCCCTGCAAAGAACCTAGTAATCACTCAACCATCTCTCGCATACCTCTCCGCTTGCCAAACGGGAACCAGCACGGAGTCAAGATTGTCAGACGAGGGAATCCATCTCGTCGGTGCGTTCCATTCGACTGGCTTTATACGTGTCATTGAAACATTATGGGAAGTATCAGATATGCATTGTGTTGATGTTTCTGAAGTATTTTATGAAACTCTGCCTGATGATGGAATGATCGATCTGTCTGCATGCAGAGCACTGAGAAAGTTGAGAGATAAAGAGCGAGTCAAGGACAAGGATATCAGAGATATCACGGCGGTAAGCGAGGAGGAAGATCAACCAGATCTCGGGAACACGTTCATTGTGGATGCTAGTTATTATGTTGGTAAATAAGTATTCTTGGAATATAACAGGAATGGGTGGCTCAACTATGAGAGCATCTTGAGTTGATCTTGTTGAGTAGCCAGTTCATTTCTTTGGAAGATCTAACCGTGCGATTGAACTATCTGAACAGTAACCAAGTTAGTTTACAGCAAATCCGACCTCCAATCTAAGCCTCTGGATGTTCCTTGAGCCACTGCTCCATGCTGGTAGGAGTCACCTTACTAGCCCATCTTTCATTATCAACAGGATCAATAGCAGCCTTGCCATTCAAGAACGCCATCCCATAAGCCAAGTCAATATACTTGTCCGCATGCAAAGGACCGATGTTCTCTCTAGCCTGTTGCAACATCGCTTGGAGCTCAGCCTTACCACCAAAGCATTGTTTCTTCATCTCATAGCCGCGAACTTTGCCATAAATATCAGCGAGCTCAGGCATAGTGCAATGAGACGACTTGACATAGTAGACACCACGCTTGATGATATCCTGATCATTTATAGCGAGAAGTGTATACTTCGCCAAGTCATCAAGCGTAGTAAACGACATCTTCTCTTCACCAGTACCGAAGTAAATAACAGTACGAGCCTCGGCGTTCACCAGACTGGGGCGGCCTGCATTCTTGATATGAATGAGTGAGTAGTCCAGAATGGCACCTGTGAAACCATAAATGGGTGTCAGGCTGGAAGAGAGCTCGGCAAGTCGCTTGAAAGCGATATAAGCATCGTACGTCTCGTGATCGCCAAGCTCGAGCTTAGTCCAGTCAAAGTTCCAAGAAGCGGCGTGGAAAACCTAGAACAGCTCATTAGTCTTGATACAATGCTCATTGGTGCGGGGTTTACCTTGACACCTGCTTTATCAGCTTCTAGCAAGAGACCCAGTTGGCCTGCTCCAATGATGCTTGCCACTGGAGGTAGAGCGGCGATAACGACATCGACTCCTTTGACGGCTTTCGCAAGGGAAGATTTATCAAGGAAGTCGGGGCAAGCGACGAAGCTCTCGAGCTTCGATGCAAGATCGGCATTGAGTTTATCAGGGTTCCGGCTCAAACCACGGACTTGATAGCCTTCTTCCAGTGCATAGCGAGCAAGGGTCTGGCCGACCATGCCAGTGATGCCTGCAATTAGAATGAGCATAATGAAGTGATGGGTAATGATAGTAGGAGTTGTTTGAATGAATGAGGCAATGCGCCCAATCTCTGGCAGGCTAGCTCCGTTTTATAGTTCGTCAATGCTACCGAAATGCTGGAATGCCCACAATTGGCGGGTGATCGTTTCCCTGATCGGAGTTGGAGTTACGGGCTTACGCCGCATAGCCAAGTCCTCGTGCCGTAAGCATGCAGCTACTAAGAGATCCTTCGCACTCATTATCTTACTCCGTTCCAGTCATCGTTCGCCTCCGCGGAATCTCCACCAGGCCATGATTTCGAAAGCATGCGAGCCATACCGCCGGCGGAGGATTAAATGCGATGGCGTTACAATCTGCAGCAAATGGTAGATAAGCCCGCCATGTGTTACCATCGGCTCAAACTACGAATCCGCGTTCCTGAAGCGCATGAAGCTGTACGGGTAGATACATCGAACTCCTGAACTCCGGAGAACTTTCATAATGACGGTGTGTATCCGGTCGCTATCACAGCTTCCAACGCTGTGGGCTAATCTGGAACTCATGAACAGCTTAACTATGGTCCGACATCGACTTCTGCACTCCTACAGGTTCTACACGATTATCTAGTTCATAGACATACCAACTCCTCCAGGGATTTAGTTCAGAGTGTTGAGACTCTTACTGAAAGAACTATTTTCTTTGGTCTACCGTGAAGAGTCAACCCCCTCTCACATCCCTCGCAGCAACGGATGGAAGACAGTCTTCTGAAGTTTACAGCCATTACCCTCCTTTAGGCTTTCGACACATACTCAGCCGATTCTCTACTGTTTATAGATACTAATAAAAGATGTGTATTGTTCGATAGCTTTTGTAACGCTCAAGCCAATGACACATCAACGGGTAAAGGTCTATAACTTCTGATAATTCTTATTAACGTAATGCACCTTGTAGCTTTAAGTTGTGGGCTAGAAGTGTTATTTGCAGTTGAGATTTGTGGCTGTGAGCTTATTCCGGCAGAGAGAACCTAGTAGCTTTAAATACAAGAGCTGTAAATGAAAAGACAACGATCTATTTAAAGCTAGTATTTATTACAAGAGCAAACTATAAGTTTATAAAAATAGACTAGATTACTTATTGATTGATTAATACTTAAAGCTTATGACGCCTCAGCGAGGCATATCAAGCCACCACACTGAAAAATCCCATAGATTACTTATATTTATTATTAAACAAACTTACGACAGGCTACACGATTCAAAGGATAGTTGCTATATTGACTATTCTAAAAGCAGCAGACATAATATATATGATAGTATAATACTAACAATATAACTTATGTCTATAAAATAGTAGATATCCCATCTCGTCAAATTGGCCCCTCCTTATGCCGAGTACTAGAGGACTATTCGGGTCGCTGTACTCTGCAAATCCGGAAGATCTGGCTCGTGTTATTGTTGCCTTGGCCGGTTACGAAGGCCTCGCCATCAGTCGGCTGGGGATGCTGCCAGTCCAGATAGAGCGTAGAATGCTTTGCGTTGCGGAATCTCCAAGTCGTCAGCCATACTTATCAAACATACTACTGATGATAGTCGCCATTTCTTACCTGACAAGAGGTGCCTCCGAAATTTCTGAGAAATCACACCCCTCAAGATACCAGTGAGCAGTATCATGGTCCTCCATGCCCTGGTCGGCGCCAAGATGACAGTCTTTGCCTATATTTTGTTAATATAGACGTTCCAAAGCGCTAAGCTGTTACGTGCTCCAAAACCTCACCCTTCGAGTAGATCACAGCGTCATCAATCTCGCTCTTGAAAAGGATACGCGTGTCTGTGCCCGGGACCTGCTCAATCTTCCAGTTCATGTTAGGGTTATACTCCCTCGACTCGTTTTTGCTGCCAGCAACAAAGTATTAGGACCCTGGTAGTATATGATATGCAGAAAGTGGCTGACGTACTATCCAAGAATTGGTGCTTGTGCAGGGCCATGCTTATGAAGCTGGCTGAGGAGGATAAAATAGCCGTAAGCTGTCTAGGCTCTTCGAAAATATGCAATGCATGTTCCACCTGTAATGTGGCGAAAGTACCTCAAGTTCATTCATTTGTGGGCAAATCTAACCACTTCCAGTTCTGGGCCTAATTGCGAGTGGAAAGGGTCGGCTGACCATCCTCGAGTCCCTACGCAAAGAAATTCCTTTGAAAGTCCCTAGATATGCTGCACAGGAGCAGGTCAATGGAATTGACCAAAGCCTGTCCTGAACACTATACGGAACCGGGATTTTGTTCCGGTTATTCAGGTTTTTCAGCTACGCCCTTAGGTCTAAAGTCCGGTCAACAATCCACAGCTGACGTGGCTCTATTCGATTGTCCTTTCAAACTAGCTTGTTGCATTGTCATGTCATGGCGCTAGATGTCGTACTGCCCTGCTCTACACAGTGCACAATCTAGGAGCATGTTCTTAGTCTTAAGACTTAAACACTACAAGTCAGAGTTAGTCACAGGTTTGAGGCCCCCTACAGTTGGAAGACGGTGAGGAAGGCTCGGTGAACAGATCCACTGAATGCTGACTCTGGGGAGGGATCGCTGTCTGGCTCAAATCGTGGATGTCTGCCGTTTTGTCTTATTGAGGTCACACTATCTACTTCAGCCAGCCACGTTCCCCGTTAGCATTCCTTGCTTCTGTGCCGCGAAAGTCCTTCCTGAATGCGACTGGTCGTTAAAGGCAAGATCCGCGCCGTGCACTACTGTGCAACAGTGATTATCACGGAAGTAAGGGGCCGGGCCGCTGTTAGTACAACCGCCCGCGCAGAAGGATAGTGGCAAAAGTGTGGCTAGCTGAATTTACCAAATAAGTTAAGCCTTTCAGTCTGCCGCTTAATCGTGTCATGGAATATCTATCCTCGCATACAGCTGCGGATCATCGTTGTCACTCCGATCAACCCCGGGAGTTGTCTGGATCGTTGCCCTCGGAAAATATCATGGATGCTGCTACTAGCTCTATATATGGTGGTCCGGGCTACGTGCTAATAGTTTTTTTGTTCTTCTGCCTCCAGATCCTTCCTTCGTGCTTATGGCTGAAGGCGTGGCTGGTATGCCAGAGCAAGTCTGATACCGAAGTAATATCAGAGCTTCGTAGACAAAGCGAATCAAACTTGAGCATTAGTCTAGGCCATCCAATTCGTGATGCAGCGCCTAGGATCCTCAAACCCAGATTCTCTTGGCCTTATCTTACCTTTTCATGGAGGCTTTGCACCTTAACAGGCCCTGAACATATGTCTGCTACCACTGAAGTCATTTAATTATGCCCTTGAAGTTCAGAGTCAGACTTTGCCTCCAGAAAGACTAAGTTTCTGTAATAAATTCAGTATCTTATCTCACCGAGTTGAATTAAAGGGGAAGTGAACCTTGTTCTCTGACACGTCACGGCTGCCTGAAGCGAGAACCCTAACTTTATATCAGCGCCCTCGTACACCTGCGATCTTGCAGGTAGATCCCCTTCTTTGGAGACATGGCCTGTCAAAAAAGCTGCGGTTATCTACCTGAAATGACTTGGCGTGGGGTTCAAGACCTTTCAGAGCCTACAGGAATATTCCACGCCTTAGTCGAGGCTCTTGTCCACTTCTCAATAGGCTATGCAGTCATCTGTATTAGGCTCGAGCCACTGCAAAAATTTGTTACTCTCTCGGTTGGGAAACCTACGCGCTTTCATACGCGCACAATTCTCGTAAAACTTAATACGTTACGGAAGGGCAAACCCTCTCATTGCCTTTGAGGTACATAAATGGCCACAATGTCCCCTCCATTACAAACCAAGCATAAAAAGGAACCTCAGATGGCTCGACAAAATGAACACCAGCTTGTACCGGAGTCTCCTACCTCGCCCTTTCGACTTGCAGGCCGGCAACTTGGCGCAGCTCGCAGGAATCGACTACTTTCATCACGTACGCGCATTCCAAAAGGAGACTGTAACCGTCCTTTCCATCCTTGGCGCCGTAATATCTCTTCAATGGGCCCTCGGTGCATCCTCCTTCTTCCACACATACTGTCTTCATCGCAGTAAAATCCATCGCTATAACCATGTTTCCTCCGAAGGTTCGGTCGCATGGGCTCTAGTAACGGGAGCAGCTGGTGGAATCGGATACGATATTGTGCGCGAGCTCGCAGAAAAAGGGTTCAACGTTGTGCTCCACGGCCGGGTCGAACAAGATCTACTAGCTGCTATGGCGAGGGTACACGATGAGTTCCCTGACCGGAACTTTAGGATGCTCCTCGCCGATCCAACTGCGCTTGGTACCAGAGGCTTCTTCTACAGACAGAGCTACGGTAATTGGAGAATGGAACGTAAATTGGACCTTGAGGTTATAAAGAACGAGCTGTCCAAGCTTAACTTGACAGTCTTGATTAACTGCGCGAATGCAGAAGCCGGACACGCAGTAGACCTTGCAGGGATCCTCGATGAAAATGAAAAGTCTATTTGGAAACACGTCAACTCTGACGCTCTCTCCAATACAGCTCTTTCGCGCTCTTCTTCCAACGCTCATTGGTAACGCCCAATCTCTCATCATAAACGTCACCTCCCTAAGTGACAAAGGCATTCCACTCCAAATCGCAACCTCAGCAAGCCGGTCATTTGTTTCTAGAATTACCGGATCCTCGGCTCTAGAAATGAAACTCGAGGGCTACGATGTCGAAGCCTTGTGTGTACGGGTATCGCGACGAATGGGTCAAACGGACAGCACCCTTGCTTGGGCAATCATTGCGAGAGTTGGTAGTCGCCGGAGTGTCGTTGTCGGTCATTGGTATCAATATCTCTACAAAGGACTGGTCGATTGGCTTCCTGGATGGTTGTGGGATTGGTGGATCATACACTACATTCGTGGGAAGAGAGATGACAAATCTGAAGGAAGTTAAACATTTTCTTTTCCTTCATAGCCCCTAACCTACCCCATTCTACTCTTCAATCACAATTGCGGCTGCTATGCCTGCATATCGGCCCCCCCTCCCCCATCCATGAAGTCTACCTTGCTACTATCTCCGACCCTTTCCCTCAATTCTTCCCTCAGATACATATCGTGATGTCTCCTGAAGCTGATCGCAGACGGCAACGGCTCTGGCTGTAGTTATTTGACCAAACAGCCATATTGTATCACGAATAAATGTGAATAAGCTAACTATTTGACTAGCAAAGCACCGTAAGTATTGTCTGTCTCCGGAGAGGTACTGCAGTTGACGAAAATTCTGAAACTGCTGATCATTTAGAAAGGCGGATGAAGTTGCGTAAGCCTTGACAGCGATTGGCGAAAAGTTGCTGATTGTGCGCTGTCATGCATGCGCAAAATGCATGATTGAGCCCTGAAAATCAGTGCAGTCATGCACGGTCCACCACTGTATTTCGCAGACACTGATTGTGGATTTGGTACTGTAGTTGTATTGAGATCGTGGCTTGTTGGTAAATACATAAGAAAAGACCTGGTCTATGACGATCCATATATAAAAAAAAACTGCAAACAAAAATCGTCGTGCCCCTCATCTAGGCGTGAGACTTTCTGCGGGTATCATCATCAACAGCAGAGGGAGTCTTGGGGCCACCAAAGCTAAACATGTCCAAAAACGAGCTCCGCCTCTCACCCTGGCCCTGTCCCTGGTCGAGCGACTCACGTCTGCTGCCGGCGGGCGAAGCCTTCTTGGCGGCTCCCCAAAAGTCCATGATGGAGCTCCTCCTCTGCTCGAGGGGCTTGGGCGGGGTGCAGACCATGATCTGCAGCTCGAGGTTCTCAATGTCGTCGTCGGTCTCGACCTTTGTGCGGCCGCAGTTGGAGAAGCTGGTGCCCGAGTAGAAGACGTAGCCGCTGAAGGGACTGGCGAGGGCTGCAACGACGGCGCCCTTCTGACGCGCTACCTGCAGGGTTTGCTTGGAGAGCGTCTTGGCGTACCCTTGGCGCTTGTGGTGAGGATGCGTGATGACGGCATGGAGGAACATAACTTGGTCGTAGCGGGCGAGGTACGTCTGCTGTGTCTGCGTGATGCCTGATTGCAGTGCGGCAATTCTCTTTGCCGTCTTGCTCTCTCCGTTGCTGGGGTCTTCCGACAGACCGAGCACTGTAGGAAAATAAGGTTAGCGAATTTTGGTCTCACTAAACGAGCAGAATTGTGGGTGCCTGGGTTCACTCACCTCGCTGGATCTGCTCAGTGACGCCCTTCCCATCGTCTTCGTTCTGGTGAAGCGACTGGATGATTGCGAGGGAGACAGGGTCGTGAGTCTTGGGAGCATCGACTACGTAGCAATGCCAATTTTTGCTATTGTCGTCAATGATCCTCTTCAAGACCGTCTCGACGTGATTTGAGGCGGCTTCTGAGCGGCCTGCTGAGGGGTAGCAGTACAGCCAGACAGAATCATTTGACAACCCGCTGAGGATGATCTCCTTCAACGCGGGGATGTCTTGTTGGGTAGCGATACGGACGCCCATAACTGATAGTCAATACAAGTAATAATAATAAAAGTAGTTGTTGTTCAAGTTCAAGTTTGGTTGGAATGAAGAAACACCAAAAAAGTCAAGACAGTGAAAAAGGCTTGAGGATCAGCCAGCTTTCATAGTCGGTATGAATTTTTCACCCGCCGCCCGGCAGTAAAAAAATGCAAGAGTCCAAGTGGGCTTTGCTCTCAGAGGTTAGAGCCACGCAACGTCACACGCAAAGTGAATTCTGATCATGAGCCGATGCCAAGCCAAGCAACATGAGATCATAGCGGTGTCTGTCCAGGCCAAGTATTGGCCCTCCAACACGACGAGGCGCTGGCGGCCTCTCCTCCTCCCCACAGCGATCGCCTCATAGCGTAAGGTGCGCCAAGTCTGGCAATTCCGCCTTAGCCGTGTGTCATTTAAACATTTTAAGCTTAATCGACAAGGTTAATCAACGTCTGATGCTCATGTTTTGATGCTCATCGTATGAGATGAATTGTTGGTATCAGGTATAAATATGAGATGATGTCTCTTGGTATTGAAGTGGAAAAAAGCAAATGGTTATCGAGATTCGAGCGCCGAGATACAGGGATCTTTTGTGATCTGATGAGGAGATGGGTTTTCGGAAAGAATGCAACCTACGACACTCGGCATGCAGTACAGTACAACCTGTGCCTGGTTTTGTTCTTATCGTACAGCGCCTTTGTCGCTTGTCAGCGCTGTACAGATCAGCAGTAAAAGTAATCCCGGGAACAGCCGAGGCATTAACGTGCACTGCAACGCTCACTGCTGAGAAGAGTTCAGATCATCTCAGCTAAAGCCCAACCATCATGTCATAGTTAGTAATTCTTGTTTCACGACATGTGACGTTTAATAGCCAGTCCCGAGGCATGTGCGACAAAAAATACGGCCTATTCGCCAACATTTCAACACTAGAAACTGGAGCTTTGTTGGTGAAAGCCTTTGAACTCTTGATATGCACCCCCGCAACAATATTGCGGGGAGAAATAACTAAGCACGGCACTACCCATCCCCAGACCAAGAGATAGATACCCGATAAATACTATATCTTAGCCTTCTTGACTTGTGGGGGTTTGTTCTTATTTAAGAAGTCGAGTGATATGGCAGGCGCCGTGATTGGTTCGTGATAGCTACGTGGTCTAGGCATGACGGACGTTGAACCACTTGGGGCCATCGTGAGGCGGGCGTCTGAGCTGATGCGATATCCGCCTCAGAACCAACGAGTCGCAAACAATGAAATACCATTGAGGGAACTATTTAGACATAGAGTGACCTTCAACTTCAATTCGCTGGCTCTAAGTAATTCGTGTTACTGCCGTCAGCCCATTGCCAGCACCAAGAGCGTCGCAGCTCTCTTGGCAACGTCACGAGTCAATCATACCACTCTCCACAGGGAGCTTCATCACGCGGACAGGTCTCGGGCATGGAAGTTTCCAATTACTTCCATTATGATGATCATATTCAACCTCTCTCTTGACAAAACGCGAGCCTCATACTCGACGTCAGCCCATCTACAGTGTATAAACATACTCAGTTCCGCACTGCCACTTCTCAGCAAGCAGCCTCGTCTCACTGCCACTCAAAGTGCCCTCATGCTGAATATCATGCTCCCTCGCCTTCTCCAGCTTCTTGTTTCTCCGAGCCAGGAAGAATCTGAGAATAGTAGCCATGGCAATGCAAAGACCACTGAACGCTACGTTTGCGACGTTTGCTTGCCAATATCTGGGGCCTTGGGATGAAGGGTAGAAGTAGGATGCGTAGATGGATGCAAGATTGGAACCAGCGTTAACGACAGCGTATGAGATAGCGCGCTTCGTCGATGGGCGTGGCAGAGAGGAGGACACCCAAGACAAGATGCAGCCAAATGATCCATAGACTGACATCATCATGAACGTCGAGATGTATCGAGCTGCCGTGTTGAGAGTAACAGCTGAGATGATGAACCCGATGCTGCAGAATATTTGTGGCCAGACAACATGCAGCCATCGCTCATTAGCACGATCGCTATGCCAAGAATTCGTGATACCCAGCGCTGCAGCAAACACATAAGGTGGCGCAGAGAGCAGAAGGGTGATAGTCGAGCTATAGCCCAGAGTCTTGACAATAGTAGGGAAGAAATTTGTAAAGGCTGCTGCTGTGTTGAGACCAAGCTGCATGATCCAGATCATGTAAAGCGTAGGATCGGTGAAGGCCATTCTAGCACCCTCCCAAGCTGATACATCGGCTCGGTCATCTTCCTTGCTGGCATCTTCGGCCATGCGAAGGACTGCGATGCGGCGTTCTTCGTCGCTCAGCCAGGCCGTTGTTGCTGGGTAGTCTGGGACGACGAAGTATGTGACTATGGCTGCGGGATAAGTGGCGCAGCCTTCAATGATGACTAGACGTTTGTTAGTCGGGATATACAAGGTTAGAGATAGTGACATACAGAGCCATCGCCAGTTAGCTAAACCAGCTTTACCGTCCATACCAGCCATTATGGCGCTTCCGAGGAGACCGCCAAATGCACCAGCCATTTGACCAGCTGCATAAAGAACCGAGATGCGAACTGCGAGTTCTTTCTTCGTGTACCATGAACTAAACAAGAACAAAGCACCAGCTACTTAGGTCAGTTTAGTCGACAGGGCCAAAACAGCTAACTTACGAAAGAACGGTGCCTCCACAAATCCAAGGATGAACCTCAACGCAATCATCCCATGATAACTCTGCACAGCACCAGTGCAAGCACTAACAGTAGCCCAGCAGACCATGATACAGGGCTATCAAGAACAATCAGCACAACGATGCGCCACAAATACCTGACTCGGAAACATACCAGAAAGATTGACGGTCGCATCTTGTTTAGGATCATGTTGGTGGGGACCTGAGTCAGGATGTAGCCCACGAAAAAGATGCTGATGACGGTGTTGTATTGCTCGGCCACAAGACCGATGTCTTCTTCGAAGTTACCGAGACGGGCGGTCGCGATGTTATTTCTGTCGAGGTAATTGAGAATGTCTGAAGAATATGTTAGCTCTTGTTGACTGGATCAAGGCCGTCAGTACTTACAGAGCAGCATCATTAGTGGCATCATTCGCTTATCGATTCTTCGAACGAGAGCTTTTTCTTTGATGTCGCGATTCTCGATGTGAGCTGTTTCTCCACCGAGAGTCTCCAGATGGAGTTCCTCGCCTGTCTCTTTGACATCGGCCATAATGACTGATAATTTATCACAAAATTACTCTAGTCAACAAGGAAATTCAGAGGCCTTTTCAGACGTATTTATTAACGCCAGCAACCTGCCCAGACTAGCCATCGCATTTCTTGCCGAGATTTCTGCGACTTGAACCTGGGGTATGGGGGAGATAGTCTGGGGAAACCAAGACGAGCGGGGAAATGAACCTTGCAACGTAACCCCATGAATCATGTAGATCTTTGACTCGAACCAATCCAACAACATTCCGAGCCGTTATCCGATGAGTGAGATGCGCTAGGAGGGACGTTTGTTGCGTATAGCCGAGCCGACGCGATGGACGAGTTGTATTGGTGATGGTCATGTAGTAATGGCGACATCCGACATGCATGGGAGGAGATAGTAGGAAGTAAGACGCGGGGAATATGGGGAGCTCGGAGGGAAGATCGATCTGATCCACTGATTAATAATGTGTTCTTGTGTTGGAATCGTTTATATACCTTCTTTCACAAAGACGCAGGAAGACTCTCTTTAGCATCATATCCCAGCCCTCAGACATTGTTTCTTCGCACTTCATCATGCCTTCAGCCGAAAAGCCCATAATCCTCCATATCGGGGACCCAATCAAATACAACCACGATCTCTACAAACAGCTCGAGTCAAAATTCACCATCATCCGCCCCTCAGCAGAAGAACGCCAACGCGGTCCCTTCCTCGAAGCTCTTGGCCAGAAGAAATGGGGCGATTTCCAGGCTGTCATGCGGCCCTTTTGGATCACAGGCGGGGAAATGGGGCGCTGGGATAAAGAGCTTATTCCACTCTTGCCCAAGTCCATGAAGGTCTACGCATCAGCTGGTGCTGGTTATGACTGGGCTGACGTTGATATCATGGCCGAAAATGGTATTCTTTACTGTAACGGAGCAGCTGCTTCGACGGAAGCTGTTTCTGACATGGCACTTTACCATATTATTTCTGTATTTAGGAATATGCAGTGGAGTAACATGGCTGCGAGAGGCAGTGAAGAGGAGTTTCGAGATGCACATGCTCATACGCAGCTTACCGCGTTCAACCCTCGCGGTCATACTCTGGGGATAATCGGTCTTGGAAACATTGGTTATCAGATTGCTCTCAAGACTTACAAGGCTCTTGGTATGCGTATTGCATACTACGACCCCTTCCCCAAATCACCAGAGCAAGAAGCATCTATCGAAGCAACAAACTACCCCAAGCTAGAAGACATGCTCGCCATCGCCGACTGCATCGTCATAGCTGCTCCCGGCGCAGGGGGGAAGAAGATCCTCGGGCGGGAAGAGATAGCCAAGATGAAGAAAGGATCACGACTGGTGAATGTTGCACGCGGGAGTTTGGTAGACGAAGAAGCTGTGGCTGACGCTATGGATTCTGGACACTTGTTTGCAGTGGGCTTGGATGTTTTTGAAAATGAACCGAGGCCGAACCCGAGGTTGCAAAAGATGAGGAATGCGACCTTGACGTGTCATACTGCTGGTGGTGCGCTTGATACGTCGATTGGGTTTGAGAGGTTGGCTATGGAGAATGTCATGGCGGTTCTGGAGGGGAGAGATGCCGTTACGCCAGTAAACAAGCACCTGTTTAAGTAGGATAAATAGAAGGAGTTAAGCCTGTAACTATAATACTAGGTCTACTATATTAGGTCTACTACTCTAGGTCTACTACACTAGGTCTACTATACTAGGTATACTATACTGGGTCTTCTATGCAAGGCCTTCTATACTAGGTAAATACTAATAGGTAAATTCTATTAGCTAAAACTTATCTAGTTAAACTACTCCTCGATTTAATTCTTCTTCTCCATCCAAGGCATACAAGCCTCGTAGATGGCCTTGAAACCAGGATATACAGCACAACGCTGAAAGATCTCCTCATCAATAGTTCTCGCCGATTGGAGCGAAGCCGCGATGAAGAAATCAGTGTAGCTCGGCTTCTCGCCCAGCAAAAACGGCCCTTTATCCTTGTTCGTCAACATCAAATCACTCAGCTCACTCATCTTGTCCGCAACAGCTTGCCAGGTCTTCTCCTCTTTCTCTGGGTCCATCAAGTCTTCCAACTTGCATCCCATTCGAGCTTCATTCTTGGCTCGGAAATACTCTTGAGCTCGTGGCGACAGGATGAGGTTCTCGCGTGGCGTGACGGAGATGCGGAATGCGGGACCGACAGCGCCGCGGGCTTTTGTTTCAATCTCGCGACCGAGATCAGAGGTCAGGGGGATTGGAGGGTCTGGGTAGGTTGATTCGAGAAATTCGGCAATGGCGGGTGAGTCCATGATATACTTGCCGGTGGGGACATGGTGGATTGTTGGGACGGTGTAGCGAGTAGAGCCAGAATCATGAGCCTCCAGGCCGCTGGTTTTCATTTGTCAGCTCGCCTCTAGGGAATCAAGGAGTATATTGATTGAATCGTTAGTGAACTCACAACTCCTTGAGCTTTGGCTCAATATCGGGGAATTCAAGGAAGATCGTCTTGTAAGGAATGTCCTTGTAGTTGAGCATCAATCGAATCTTCCAAACGACAGGGGAAAAGCATGTGTTCTTGATACATGCAAGATCATACAAGATAATCTCAGGCTGTCTGTCGGCGGCCATTGTGCTGCTGTCGATTCAAGGTGATAAGTTGAGGAGCGAGGAGTCAATGATGTGGTCTGGGGTTTGAAGGATGATGTTGCATAAAAAGATGTTGGGAGGAAAGCTGCCTGGACCTCATTCGTGCTATAATTAGTACGTTTCTGCTGTTGTGTAAATGCGGTGGCAACGAACCAGTCAAATTCCATGTCATCCCGTCCTAGCCGGATCTAAGCTTGATAAGGAATAGCTACTATGAGCTGATCGATAAGAAAGTCATAAACGAATATCGAGTTTCAAAGATACTGGAAGCTGAGCGCAGCATAGTTATCGCTCTCACTAATGGGGCAAGTTCTACTGAATTTCAAGGGTCTCCTTGAATATCCCTAGTTTTGAGAATATCTGTCCAATTATTTATGTAAAAATCGAAAACTGGAAAAATACAGCACTGGTGTGAAAGTCTTCAAGACCAAAGTCACAAGCATCCAGGACTTTGTTCATCCAATGCTCTCAAGCCACTTCAGAATCGCACCAGTGTGGCGCCTAAAGTGCAATTGATTGTCCCATGTTTGACTGGTTCCATTATTCCAGAAAAGCTCCCTATCATTGGCTGAATCAGCATCAAAGACATCTTGAGCATCCGACCTGCCTGTCTGATAAGGTTGAGAGTTCAAAAAAAAGGCATAAAGGTAAAGAGCATCCGACCAATGAGTCGCAAGATCATTGCGAGCCTATAACATGTATGTCAGGTGTTGGCGTGCCTAGCCCAGGGGATGGGAGATTGTTCCTCGAGGCGGAGAGACGTGCACCAGTATACCATCCCCTCGAGTTCTTTGAGATATTCAAGGTCGATACCAGCTGCCTGAATGGCAAGAGTCTGTTAAGAGATTGTGCTATAGTCTGTGGCTTCAAATCTTAGCAATAGAGTTTAAAGATATCCATACAAGTCTCGAGTCCCAGTATAGAAAATGCATTGTATATTTGATTGGTTGCTATATCATGGATGTGCAGTGGAGCAAGCTCACAGTTCCTCGAGGTCATCCAATAGACATGTTCACGGGGGTCACGACCAAGTCCTCCTACGCAACTCAGGCAAGACCTTCATATACTAACAAGCTTCTAAAATAAGGATAAACAGGCTAATATTCCTCTAAGTTATCTATATAAATAAACAATACAAAAGACTAGGTAATACTATTTTAGAGTACAGGTATCAAGCGCTCTCTCTTACAACTTCGCCTTAGGACCACTGCCGTTCTTACGGAACAGCACATCTGACTCAGGATAAGGGTCAAACACAATGTCGTTAACAGGGTTGACCTCCGAAGCACGATGGAACAGATCCTCGTAAACCTTGCCGTCATAGCGACCAAGGGCACTGTCAAGCTGCCAATCAGGGAACGCCCAAGCATCGACGAGTCTGACGGCGTGAGGTCGGATCTCATCGAGCAGTGAGAGAGTTCGCTTTGTGCGGGCGAGCTGAATTTGGCGAACCGTTGTGGCGGCGCTGGTGAAGAACTCGGAGGCGGAGCTTTGGAGGTTATGCAGAGCGAAGAGCTCAAAGAGCTTGTGCATGATGGCGAGGGTGTTGGGGTCGAGGGACTTCTTGGTGGCTTCGTCTTGGAGAGCTTCGTGGAAGTTCTTGACGACCTGGTACTGAGCGTAGGCAGTGGACAGACGCCAGAAGTCGATGAGGAGGCTGTTCCATGATTGCTTCTCCTCATCTCGGTGCTTGAGAGCCTCAAATGTCAGGAAAGATACACGCCATGCGAAAGCATCAACGAGGTCTTGGTCGCTGTCGAGAACGTCGAAAGCAGCACCGATATCCTGTCGGCGAATGAACTCCTTGAAGATACGGGAGATACCGTTATCAGGAGCCTTGCCGGCGAGAACAGCGCGGGCAGACTTGAGGAGGTATCGGGCGACTTGCTGGGTAAGCATGTAGTTGTCACCCTCCCATGTGACAGTAGGAAGATAATCAGCATACCAGCTGCCAATGCCGGAGAAAGCAGAGTAACCGTGACCACCGCAAGCGCGACGGCAGACTTCCAGACCCTCAGCAGCGGTGGTGGAAGCAAAAGCCTTCAGAGAGCAGGAGATGGCGTGGAGGTCAGCAAGATGATCGCTGCCAGGGCTGAGCTCTTCAGGACCAGGCTTGCGCTTAGCGTCGCCAGCATCGCGACGTTGAGCCATGCGCTTCTGGTTGGCGTTGTAGAGGTTGATCATAGCGCGACCAGTGAAGAATAGCGCATATGAAGAGGCGAGAAGGGGTAGGAGACGGTGCTGAACCATTGTGTAGTTAAGAACCTGGTTCTCACCAGTCTCGCTAGCATCAGCATCACGGTCCTGGAACTGTCGGCGAACAGCGCAGTAACGCGTAGCAATGGTGACACCACGAGCAAGAACGGAACCAGACTGGAAAACGATGGAGGATCGGATGAAAGTCAAAGTTCCGTAGATGAGAGCTGGGTTCGAAGGACGGATGTATTTTCCGGTCTCGGGGTCAACGCCAGAGAAGCGGTTCAGCATGTTGACGTGGGGAATCTTGACGTTGTTGAAGAGCAGGAAGCCGTTATCCATGGTGTTGTAACCGAACTTGGGGCCGATATCGCCAACGTGGATATCGGGAAGAGGCTCATGGGTCTTCATGTCGCGAATGGGGACGACGAAGGGATGAGGACCGTAGGGCTTGCCGTCGAGGATGAGCTGCGCGACCACGACAGCGTGGTTGGCGGCCTTGCCCAGAGAACCGATCCACCACTTTGAAGCTGTGAGGTGAGGCGAGTGAATAGTAAAGGTCTTGTCCTCGTGGTTCCAAGTAGCAGTAGTCTCAAGACCGCGAACATTGGAACCGTGACCCAACTCGGTCTGAGCGTAGCATCCGATGATCTCATAGTTTCGCGCCCTCTCAAGGAAAAGCTTATGCTGCGCCGGTGTACCCTGCTCCTCAAGCGTCTTCAAGAACATAGTAGCGTGAAGACCATAAGGCGTAGGCTCACTGATCAGATCATTGGCTGCATGATGCTCCTCATCATTCCAGTTATGCTTGACAGACAATCTCCTCAAAGCCTTACCTCTGGCAAGCGCGGCCTCAAGTCTATCTGTTCGCCCCCTGAAGTAGTTCTGCTCCTTGTCAAAGACAGGATCAGCCTGCAGAATCTTGAGAATCTTTTCATTTCTGTCGAGGACTTCTTTTGTGAAGAGGAAAGTTGACAGCTGGTCGACGTTGATGTCAGAGTTGGCGCGTTCTTGGGCCAGAAGCTCTGAACCTTGGGGGCCGGAGGGCTTGAGGGCCTTGACCCAGTCTGGATTTTGCGGAGGCATTGTTGATGTGGTTGTGTGTGGTTCTACCCCGGATTTTGGTGAGATGGAGGAGAGGTTGATGATGATGGAATGGGTAGATTAAGGGGAGAATGAACTTTATGGGGCGTCGCTCGGTCCAAGCGATGTCGGGAAAATCGATGAGGCTAAGACTTGGATACCTCGGCTTCTCTAAAAAGTGGATCATGACGACGACGCTATTAGAGGCTGCCTCGGTATGTCTGTCACTGAAAGATGATGAAAGATGTCATGATATTACAATTTGTTTATATTAACCCTATAAGCTGTCTCTAACTATTCTTTTATATTTTCTGACTCTTCTGTGCCTGAACTGTGCCGCTTTGTTGTCTCCAAAAGATGATCAGAGATATCGCCGAAGACGGCATAAAGTCCGACGGACATTCCCGCATCTTTATTCTTCCTGATCCGATCAGATAAGATAACCATGCCGAGGTTCTGCATGAGATGGGGTCCGGGGTACTCCAGATGACACAAGTAGATGGGGTTCGATCCGACTTACTCGTGACAGAAAATGGCAGGTGATCAGACCATGACTCTCTAGCTCAACGCTCTGCATCAGTCCGTTCAACGCTTGAGATATTTTTCGCTGTTCTAGACTATCACGCAAGACATGGAGAAACTAATTTCCGTATGTTCTAGAACGCGCTCGCCTTGCCCTTGACTCCGCAGCAAGGTCAGCTCTACATAGTACAGGGTAAGTCGAAGCTCATGCTTCGTCAACATCGTAGCTGATCTGATACAGTGAAGTTAGAACAATCTGGATGAGAAAGATAATCAAATAAAATAGTATAATGATGTATCTCATCGAGAGATCTGGAACTGTCCCTGTTTTGTCTGTTTATGACGTTTCTGGCCAGTTTTAGCTGAGCATGTCACATCCAACACGGATTGCATACGAACAGTATTACAGAAAGTATTTCATTTTTTCTCATTCTGGTAAGCCAAACTTTGGCTCGTTTATCTTAACGTGATATCCAAGTCATCATTCCCAAAACATGTTACTCATAGAACCGAGCTGGCATGGCTACTTCGGCGACTCAAGTGAGCCAGAACGAAACAGGAAATGAACGAGCGAGAGGGAGAGACGCGTAAAATTACATCACAGCGTTGCATATCAGAGATGACGTAGCCTCGAAGCCAGTTCCAAACATGCCTTTCACAGATTGACACGACGCATTCCGCGGGCGGACCAATCTCTAATAAGCTTTCGTATAAATAAATCCACGGCCGTGACAGCCATGATGTGCTACATGGGTCGCCCCACTTGGGCGAACTTAGCGATGTACGAGCACAGCCCTGCAGACGAAAGAGAAGAATCATTTCTTCTTCAATATTAACAGAAGAAACTTTATAATACTCTTACTTAGAGTTAAACGTCAAATCTGCTTAAAGAGATGACGTACAGGTCCAATTGCCGACGGAAAACTGGCGCTCCGAGTGAGTGCAATGCAACTCCGGGTCCGAGTCGGAGGTCCAAGTTCCAAACATCGAGGGCGTTTGTGCCGAATTCCCGGGAGCTGCCACCAACAAAAAACATGATTCTAACGTATCTAGTGTAAACAGCTTGAAACAGGAAACCTCCGAGAATACTCGTTTACACCACGTTATTTCAGCTGAGGCTTAAGTACCTCCTCATAAAAGTCATGATGTTATTCTGTTGCCTCGAATCCTTCCATCGGCTTGTTGACGCGTCCGGGTCCAGCAAACTCAATCACCAACCTCAAAAAAAGCCACCCCTATTCCCATCACATAAACCGTGCCGTGCTTACGCTTCTCCAAAAGGCGCAGTCGTATAACGGTAGCGCCAAAATGGCACTATCGTGACATGAAAAAACCCGCGGCGTTGTCAGGTCCTCAGGTCCAGAACGTGTCTCGACCAATCTTGGTCGCTTCTATTGGTGGAAGCGTAAACCTCTCCACTGGAACTAACCCCGTCGGGTACCACCCGAGGAAATACGCCTAGCCACTTCAGAAATCCCTTGAAACTCGGTACCAGCAGTAGCGCTGTTGAGCTGGTTGGTGCTGGTTATAATTATTACCCCGTTGGACCCCTCTTTTTCGTTCCTCGGATTCGAGAGACTGTAGACACTGCGTTCGAGGGATATATCATGGAGTCGAGGCTTACTTACAATGATGCGAGTTCGTCGGAGGAGGTTATCGTGAGGAGACTTCCTCCTAGGGTTATTTTCATGCGACACATGAGGACCAATTGGCTCAAGTATGCGACGGGTTTGTTGCTCATACTGTAAGTTATTCGCCAAGCTCTTTCAGGGTCCTTGCTCATGCGTCTGCAGGTCGATCAGCCAGTTAATCTACATCACCCGCCTCGGCACGGGAATGGTCCGTATACCAAACGATCCCTACGATTTACGATTCGGTCACCTCAGTCACGATAGTCCTGAAATCTGGGATGATAACCATCAATCATTCCTCCGAAGCGCTCGTCCTGTACCGGTCCACTCGCATAATGATTACACACGGCATATCCCACTGTTTGAAGCCCTCGGCTCCGGGTGTATCAGCATCGAAGCAGATGTTCATCTACGACACGGAGATCTATTTGTTGCGCATTCGCGATTGAGCGTGAATCCTCACCGAACGTTACAAGGAATGTACCTGAAGCCCCTCCAGCGCATGTTGGAAGCACGCAACGCGGGAGTAAAGGATGATGACTGGCAAGGCTTCTTCGAAATGGCGCCCAAGCAAACCGTCACCCTCCTCGTCGATCTCAAAACAGCTGGCCCGGAAACATTCGATGCGTTGAATGCTCAGCTCCAGCCTCTGAGAGACCTCGGCTACTTGACATACTGGAACGGCACAGAGAGAATAGTCCGACCTCTCACTGTCGTCGGTACCGGAAACACCCCCTTCGAGTCCGTTATGGCTATGAACTCTACCCATCGCGACATTTTCTGGGACGCCAAGCTCGAGAGTCTTGTCTCAACGGACGACGACTTCTCAACAAACCCTCCCTCGTACAAATACAACCACTCCAACTCATACTTTGCATCAACAAGGTTCGAGAATGCTATTCTCTACAGATCAAACTTTCAGCGCGTACTGGATACACCGCCGTCAAGAGAACTTGACATGTCATTGACGCAGATTGAGCAGGCCAAGGCTCGTGGTCTGTTGGCGCGGTACTGGGATACTCCCTCAAAACCACCGAATGTGAGGGATATCGCCTGGAGGGTGTTGATAGACAACGGTATTGGAATCCTGAATATGGATGATATGGGGCTTGTGAGAGGGAGGGCTAGAGGTTGGGGTGCTTTGGGCCGTGATTATCTTTGACGTAGCGAATTGTTTTGTTTTATACCATGTTATGATAGATTATACATCCAGTTTCTGATTTTTAAGCTGTTACCGCTTTGATTCATCGTGTCTTCACCAAAAAGCCATCTTCTCTTGAGCGCTAACATATCTACCCCCGCCGACTCCGTCCATCCTTGGGACTAGCTATTCTGGACCAATTATACGAGCACAATTATGATTGGTAGAAAACGTTCACAGCTACCGAAACCGTAATCCTGCTGCAATCCGTGCGTGGCTGCGCCACGGCCAAAGCTCTCCCCGCGGGGCCCTTGCCCGGCCGTAAGCATGAGTGACTGTCAGCAATCTTACGACTTTCAACATACTCCACTCGCAATACCTCGTTCCTTTCGACAAGCGATATCTTGCATATATAGTAAGAATGTCTCAAAGGCATTTAGAGATTTTCAATCCTGCGGCCAATGTTACAGGCCCATCGTCGTTCACGCAGTTCCCCTCACTTCCAGCAGAGATACGAGTCTCAATATGGACATGGGCTCTCCGACATCAAAGAATTATCAAGATCTTTCTCCGATCACACGCCAGCTTTTGTGCCAACCGAACTAGGAATGAGATTCAACTTCCTCCGCTAGAACCTGGGGGGGATGATCCATCCTACTATCCCGTTGTCGCCGGCCGTCGACTCCTTAGCAAACTTCTCAGAGTCAATGCAGAATCTAGAGAGGTGACGCTTTCTTTCCATAGGGTGCGTCTGCCCTGTTGTTTGACGGCCCATGCATCCAAACATCGCACCACCCCTTGGACTTCTGGAACGATATATATCAACCCTGAATATGACTTTCTTCATATAGAGCAAGACACGATGGCGATAGTGGACTTTGTATGCGACTTGAAGACAAAGCATGATCCACGTAACATCGGGATTAGAAACCTTGCTCTCTGTCGCAATCAGGTAGGGGGGCGCGCATACGGGCTTGACGCAATTAGGCCATCTGAAATCGAATCCTCAAAGATGCGGATGTTCAAAGAGATCATCAGCGGGCTTGATGAAGTTTGGTTGGTTTATATCCAGGCATCTATTCGGGGGATGATTGGTGGTGAAACTGAAAGGTCAACAATCCGCAAGAGGTTCTTCGAAAGGTCATTTCCCATTCACGCTACGCCACACAGCTTCGATCGTATTGGGCCTGATCCTCGTACTGTCGAAGACGATCTGAGCCATCTTCACGTCCGCAATCCTAAGCGTTTATATGACTCATGGCTTCAAGCCCTAGAAAAGATAGAAGTAAGACCACGTGAAGAACGATACCGAATTTTACTTGGCTTCAACCCTCGTCGATCGATCTGTAACCTCAGGGATGCCGAGGATTGGTTACAATCAGAAAATAGTGGCTGGACAACAAAGTCTGAAAGCACGTGGTCTTCTCAAGAACCAAAAATTGAGGGAGTTGCAGCGTCGGAAACCCCAGAATCTCGGGATGAAGACATAGGCAAAGCTGTAAGGCCGGCTTTTGGCTTTTGGCTCTTCCCGGTCGATGCATTCTGTGATGCGAACAAAACTTCAGAGTCAGAGGGTTATTTCACTACGTTTGATGTTAGGAAATACCGGCCTGAGCTGGCGCTTCGTCGACTGAATGAAGGAGACTTGGGTCGGAATGTGTCGAAAGAGGTTGATGCTCACCATGAAGTTGCCATCGAACGGCGATACTTATACCGCGGACAGACATCAAATAATCCGGTGGAACCAATATTGCCATACAGGAGACGAGCCTATGGACCGTCGCTTACTTTGGAGGATGCTTGAGTTGGCAGCTATGGTGGAACTCAAACTTAAAGTCTATCCATACGTCATTTTTATATCTAAAACTGTCTTTTTCGCCTTGAAAGAGAAACATGTACTTTTTAAATCCTGGTCTTGATTCCAAACCAGTTCCCTGCCAGGACAGCGCGTGATGCAAACAAGCAGCCCAGGCCTAGAGCTAGGACGCCCATCAGGAAGCCGCTAAGAGCTTGAGTTCCCATCTTGTCTATCATTGTGCCGCTGCTTGGAATGGCAATCAGTAAAGAAAAGCTGATGACGAAATTCATGGTTCCTGGAAACTGATTAGTGAGGTGATACTTGGAAAAAGTCATCGATCATACCGTAATATCGGCCGTAGTCTTTTGGCTCACATGTCTTGCCGACACATACTAAACTCGTTAGTTACCCATTATCTTCTAAATTGCGTTATTCCTCTCACCTGGAGTGATGGACAAGAAACCTCCAGAGCAGAAACCCCAGAGGCCTGTGAACACGTATAACACGACACTGCTGTCGCCAAATGGCACAAATAATGTCCCCATAAAGACCAACGTCAAAGCCATCATGAATATCAAGACATTGTAATGACCTAACTTGTCACCGATCAAACCGGGTATAACACGACCGAAAGCCGAAGCACCGCCGATGATAGAGACGAGCGTATAGCCAGTTTCGGCTGTCAAACCAGCCTGAATCGCAAAAGTCGGCAACAGGCCACCAATTCCGTAGAGAACGAACTGAGTAGCGAAGAACATAACACAGACCAGCGTAAAAGCCACAGATCGGAAGGCAGAGAAGTTGAGAAGAGATAGGCCGCCTTTCTTGGCTATCGGCATGTTGACGAGCTTGACAAGTCGACGGTAAGGAATGAAGCAAATCGTTCCGAGTGTGAAAATACCGAGGATGACGAAGGCTAATATTCTCATCGACCAACTCCAACCAAGCTTTGGGAGCAATGATCGGAGCATGATGGGGAAGATCACTGTTCCTGTCGATGAGCCCGTGAGGGCAATTCCGATGGCGAAGCCGCGCTTCCGAGAAAAGAGCTTCGCGACCACTGCTACAGGGATAGTGCCAGCGATAGCAGTTGAGAGTCCACCAAATATTCCAAAGCAGAGCATAAAGTGCCAATACTGTTTGCACTCAGCTAACAGAATAAACATAATAACAATCCCGCCTCCCCCAACAATGCTCATGGCGAAAGGACCGCGCTGGTCAAGAAAAGACCCGACTTGAATGGCGACAAGCATTGATACAAACATGTACATGCCAGGGATCCAACCAATATCACCAGCTGAATAATCGGAGAGCTGATTTAGCTCGAGGTAAGATTGGAACGTTCCGACAGACTGCATCATGCCTAGACAGCGTCAACAACGGGTAATAGGGCTGAAGTGGCGTTGTACTTACCATATGTAGGCATCAGGAACAAAAAGCTTCCAAAAACACATATCCAAGCTGCGAAACTCTTCTCAATGTCTACAACCGCTGATTCGTCGTCCAACACAGAGGGCGCATTCGTTGTGGCGGTCTGTGGCTCACTCGCCGCCGTCGCTTCGGCAGTCTTTTCCGGCGAAGACATGGTTGCCTGCCTTCACGTCCTCAACAGCTACACTGCAACCCTCAATACTGAGGATCTTGATATAAATGGCCAGATGTTGTTAAGGAGAGTTTGGAATTAAGGACTGAGAAAAAAAGACTGATGTCGGATACGCGATCCGACGCCGGATATTGCACCCCCAAAATGTGATTAACCCAAAAGGTGCATCGAAATCGCAGGTCTCCGCGATCGCACTCCACTTTGGCAGATTCATCATCGGAGGATTACAAATGCATTTCTGGGCAGGGTAACCGTTTCTGTCATAGGAGGGCGTTCTTCTTGCGGAGTGCATGCATGTATCTTGGCATTGGTAGAGCGGTATTCAGTGACGGTAGTCAAATATCTCCATTATTTGTAAAGTCTGAAGCCTTTTTATGAACATGCCTGAACCTACTTGAGGGAACCCTTCTCAATTCTACCTATTCTCAGCCAACTGTATACTGCAAAACATCGCCAGAAGGACTTAATTGCCCAACTCTAGTACTCCCGATGGACCAATGCTGAGCTTGACTCCGGGTCTGGTAGCCCATACAACGTCCGGATGAGCGATGTAAAGCCAAGGCGGATTTTCATGTACCCTCTTCAAAGTCTCCGCATATGCCTTCCTCCTATCATCCCCCCTTGCTCCTCTCGCCTTTGCAAACAACCTCTGGAATTCATCGTCATGGTACCCCAGCCACCATGTACCATGCGATTCACTCGATACCTTATCGTCTAGAACTCGAAAGGTAGTGTTGGGCGTCGAGTCGAAGCAAGCAAGGTCCCCAATGTTCTTCCGCAGCCCTATTGACCGTGCGTACTCTGGACGATTCGTGTCAACCTCAACGTCTACTTTGAAACCAATCGCTTCTAGAGATTTCTTGACAAACTCGGTTATCTTGATAGCGTGCTCCGGCATCCATTCTGGCGTTCGAAGGCGAAGAGGCTTGCTCAAGTCGAGGTGCTTAATGAGTTCTTTCGCACGCTCGGGGTCATAGGGGATGGGGCTTAGGTTTGCTTCCTTGAAGCCGAGATGGTGAGGGCTGACGACGGTGGCAGCTGGCGCCGCAAGGCTCAAGTAGACTTCCTCAACCAGGGCTTGGTTGTCAATGGCGAGATTGGCAGCAAGGCGCACCTGCGGGGAAGAGAAGACTCCCTCTGGGCAATTGAGGTAGTAGATGACGGACAAGGTGCTCAAAACTCTTCCCCACTGCAACGAGGATTGGAAGTCAAGAAGATTCAGATCGTCAATGCGTTCCAAGTTCAACGCCACATCCACTTGTCCGCTTTGCAAAAGCTTCAGCCTTTCCTCACCACTGCGGGCTGCCGTAGCAACGATCTTCCGCGGCCAGTCTGGATGCTGAACAGGATGTACTAGCTCTAGCGTTGCAGAGCCAATGTTGTCTTGACGTGTAAAGTTGACAACGCGATATGGACCTGTACCAAGGATTGGCTTCCCATCGACGTCTATTCTCGATGGCCAGAAGTCATTGAGGACGTTTAGCAGATCTGGGAATGGCTCTTGATACTGAATCTTGACAACACTCTGATCCTCCGTGGTGAATGTCGTTTTGGCAAAATAGCGACTGTAGCTCCAGGACATGCCGAAGTAATCGTGTGAGTTAAGAAAGCCTTTGATGTATTCGACAATGAGGGGGGCGTCACAAGGCTTCCCATCGTGAAAGAGGGCTCCGTCTCGAATGTGAAAGAACCAGGTTCGCTGGTCGTCTGAAACGTCCCATCGATCAAAGAGCCCTGGTAGGACCTCGCCGTCTGGCTGCCACCGAATTAACGGTTCCAAGACCAAGCTCTTGAGGGCGAGGACACTGTTATCGTCGGTTACTTGCGTGGGCAGCCGGAAGTCGACATTTTCAAGAACGATGCGAAGAATATCAGACATATTGAGTTTAAACTTGTGACTTGAAGTGAAGTTCAGTATCTAAGTCGAATCAACATGGCTTCTTATCATAACTTCTTATCGATTACTCTGTTCAATGGTTTCTAAATGTGGACGCCGCCCCACGTCGTAGATGATACCATAGCGGATTGCAATGGCATTGGTCGGGAAAAATCGAGGAGCAAGTTCACAGAAATACTTTCTTCTCTGTGATCCTCCCATACTGCTCTGATGTACTCCCATGTCGCATTGGCATTTCGGTACTAGCTTGTTGTCGCATCCCCAGACTATTATTGCGCCATCACCTTATCACGCTCGTCTCAGAAAGCTATGCACACTTCGCCTAAATCTATAGCGCGATTAGAGATGAGAATATTTCCATGCTCGGTGGTATTCTACTTCTGGGGTGCGATCTAGGCGATTTAGATCCATACTGCAAAAATATCGTCCGCTTTTCTTGACTAAGGTGTTGCGCTCTATCGGGCAATTTCGTGTTCATCATCAGTCATGTTTATATAACTGCGAGATTGTTCCAAGGGTTGACGAGGTAAAACAAGTGACCAAGTTTAAGGCAAAATGGCACATCAGATTGACACTCACAGTCACAGTGACGCTGAAGTCGCGACAAAACCTAGCCTCGACGCCAAAGTCAACCCTGTGTCGGACACTGAGGTCATTGATCCTAGCCTTGACCCCAATGCAAAGTCAGGTTCCAAATGGCGTCGCATTGCTGGGTTCTTCTGGGACTCGATTGATGGAGATCCCAAATACCGTGCATATGTCAGACGGTTGGATTTGATCTTCTTGTAAGTAGTGCCGTCGCTTCTTTGCATTGCATTAGCGAGACGCCTAGCTAACGACGCATAGTCCAACGGTTTTGCTTGGCTACTTCATCAAATACTTGGACCAGACCAATTACAGTGAGTTCTCGAGCAAAGTTCACCATGACCCTTCGGCCCTCGTTAACACTTCTTAGGTAACGCCTTTGTCAGTGGCATGCAAGAAGATCTCCAACTTTACGGCAACGAGCGCAACTGGCTTGGCACATGGTTTAGTCTAGGCATCATGGTCGGTACTATCCCGGCTCAGATGTTGCAGCTAAGCCATATTCGCCCTTCCATCTTGATCCCTACTTGTGAGATATGCTGGTCGGCTTTGGTTATTGGCATGGGTTTCACACATAGCATCAAAGTGGTAAGACATAGTTTCCCATTCTTGCAAGATTTACTGGCTGATATACCAAAAGATGTATGCTTTGCGTTTCTTCATCGGCTTGTTCGAATCATGCGCCTTTCCTGGATACATCGCCATGCTTGGCAGTTGGTATGGCCCCAATGAGCTGACAAAGCGTCTGGCCATTCTTCTCGAGGTTGAGTCTATTGCCAGTATGTTCAGTGGATATCTCCAAGCTGGCCTTTATAGCAGCATGAATGGGCGCAACGGCCTCGCTGGTTGGAGGTGGCTGTTCATCATGGACGGAGTCATCTCAGTCCCTGTGGCCATCTGGGGTCTTTTCGGACTACCTGATCACCCACACAACACGAGAGCCTTTTACTGGACAAAAGAAGTGAGACAGTTTCCCAGGGATATCTTGCTAGTAAACTTACTAATTTACTAGCATATAAAGTATGGCCAGGAGCGAATTGCCAAGTTTGGCGTCACAGAGCAGATCAAGCTGAACTGGGCTGAAATCAAGCGAATATACCTGGGATGGAGAATCTGGATGTTTGTCCTCCCGTATACGTAAGTCACAACCTCACTCCTTTTGAGAACGAAGTAGCTCACAATTTAAAGCATGGTCGCTGCCTGCCACACAGCTACGAGCTACTTCAACCTCTGGCTCAAAGCAGAAGGATACAGCGTGCAAAAGATCAACTACTTGCCAACTGGCGGAAACGCCCTTGCAATTGTTGTGACGGTGGCTTGGGGCATGATCGCAGACCGAACCAAGCAGTACTACTGGCTGATTTTATCACTCACGCTATTGATGATTGTGGCCAATATTCTGCTTTCAGTCTGGCACATTCCAAAGTCCGCTCTCATGTTTGCCTACTACATCTCCTACGCCGGCTCAGCATGTACCCCTGTGCTGATTGTAAGTTCCCTAGGAGTGTTCTTAAGCTCATAGCTAATGCATGAAACAGAGCTGGACATATGGGTTGAATGCTGCTGATCCCAACACGAGACAGCTTTTGGTGGCTACAGCTAACCTTGTGTCATACGCTTGGGTCCTCTGGGTACCATGTGAGTATCCGAAAGCATAAGAAATGTCACCGACAGAACTGACTTTCCTGCAGTGGTCCTGTTTCCGACGTACGATGCGCCAAAGTACAAGTATGGTTATCAAATCTTGATCCTATTTGGTGGAATCGCCATTCTAAGCATCACGGCGATGAAGTATCTGTATAGCCGGAAGAAGTAGCTCGGCAACTCCTTGCTTGAGGGTGAATTGTTGCTAGTGTAGTCGAAGAAAATTTGAGTCAGATGAACAAGAGTGTAGACTCAAATCTGTGGAATAACATCAAATACTAGGAGTCGGATAGGTTAACGTTAGAGTGGAAGATTTAGGCTTTTTATGTAGGCGAGTATGGAACACGAATGAATAATTAGGACAGTTATAATCACCATCTTTGGATATCCAAGGCAGCAGGAAGTCTTCATATCATTGACAGGCAGCTCAAAATCCGGCGTTGTTGGCTTGTTACCTTATCTATGCAGTGCTTCTTCTGGCGAATGACCAACGACATTTACTACGCATTCATGTCACCAATGACATTTATATGGTACGAAATGACGTGCTCGGCTGATGTGGATACTGAAAATCAGAAACAGCTTCAAATCGCTTTTTTGATCCGTATCTTGACCCCGTTTATGCAGTACATGCTACACTTTGAACTCTCAACCTCTCTCCATTGTAGATCACGCCCACCAAGATTAAGAAGAAAAACTCCCATAACATGGAGGACTTGTCTTCGTTGAAACAGACTGGAGTCGCGCTGGGTCAGAAAACGCTATTTACTACCCTCAAGGGTGACAAAGTCTCCTTATCTGAAGGCTACATCCCACTACTGGTGAACCTCACTGTTGAAGATAAGGCGGCCAAGGGTTTGCGAAAGCACAAAGGCGGCAATGCAAGAGAGGAGGCGGTATACGTCTCTGCACTTGAGGCCTTACGAGACAATCGGCTCTTACTTCTCTCTGGCGCGAGTGGTTCAGGAAAGACAACCTTTGCAGAATATCTGATTTTCGGTCATTCCGCGGGTATTTTCCAGAAGGACAGGGACCCAGTCCCTCGCAACGAAGGCGGCGAGACACGAAACGAGACATCGAGTGGGTTTGGAACGCGGTCATTGCTCTTCACAATCACCAATAAGCAAGACCTCGCAGATGTCGAACGAAAGCTACCAGAGATTCTACAATCTTGGGACAGTAGAGAAAATGGAAGCGAAAAGGAGGAACTACTATTAATATTGGATGGCATTGAAAACTCAGGATCCGAAGGAATAAGGAGTCTGGCTTCTATAATCCGCACTATTACTCCAAAGTTACACGTTCGGGTACTCATTCTGGGTCGAGATGATGCTATCCAAGATTGGGACCTGCCCCCCGGCTTTTCGAAGATTCAGCTACTACCACTGCTGGCCATTCAAAGGCGACAACTGGCTCGGAAACTATCTCTAGATGCAGACTTTGGTTCTGGAAACGCTGCTTCAATACCAGCTATATTTGCTCTGTCTCTTGCAGGCGGTCATGTTGGCGATACCAGCGAAGCAGCCTTGGATGCTTGGCTAGTACTTTGCTTTCATTCTCCCGAGAAGCGTCAGGCTTTGCTACAAGGCGCATGTAGCGCATGGATGCACCAGAGGCATACCCAGCCCAATGAGCTGTCGGAAGCGACTAAGAAATGGCCATTCGTCTCGTGCACTGCAGTCCAAGAACTCTTGGTGGCTGCTCAGCTGCAAACGGCATCTTTTCAAGAGAAACTGCAAGTCTTTGGCCAAGATGCCAAGTCAGCAGTGCCGATTGTTCGAAGTCTTCTGTATCGGTTCTCAAAAGGAGAAAGGCAAGAGACGTTCATCCGTGAACTTCTAAATCAGCATGCCTATGACCTTGATGGGGAGAAAGCCCAATATGCTACACTTATGGCCTGCGAGTTCATAGACCCTCACAATGTACCCTTGGTCACCCAGGTTGTCGCTCGTTTGCTGAAGGTGGCCAAGCTTGGAGCCCTCCCATTTCCCTATCGAATTCTAGCCGGTCGCTACCTCTCGCTATTTGGAGATCTTCGCGAATTGGCTGAGTTGGTCGAAATCCCAGGAGGAACGAGCTTCTTTGGATCCTCAAATCATCCGAACTCCAGTCCTGTTCATGAGCTTCATCTCGGACCCTTCAAAATCGGAGCGTTTCCGGTTGTGAATCGAGACTATGGAGACTTTGTGCGGCAGACGGGTCGTACTTGGCTGAGTCAAGACGGCTACGATCCATATACACAGAACGAACCAGCAACAGATCTCACGTGGTATGACGCCAGAGCGTACTGCCAATGGCTCACACAAAGATGGAGGGAAACAGGTAAAATAAAGCCCAGTGAGACTGTACAGCTACCTTCGGAGCCACAGTGGGAGAGAGCAGCCAGAGGAGATCGGCATGAGTCACAGGAAGGAGAGAACATTTATCCATGGGGCACCAACTTTAAAGTAAGTCTATCAAACGGCGAAGAACTGGCGCTGAATAATAAATGTGCCGTTGGACTATTTCCCCAGTCTCGCTCACCGTTTGGCTGCTACGACATGACGGGTCAAGTGTGGGAATGGTGCACAACATTATGGGGAGAAGACATGACGACGCCAAAGTTTAAATACCCTTGGTTAAGCTCAGATGGTCGTGAGGATCTGGACGCCGACGCGTCAACCAGGAGAGTTCTGCGAGGTGGGTGCTTTTCGAGTGGTCAAGCCAAGGCGACGTGCACTTATCGCGGTAGTCTTGAGCCGACTGGGTTTTGGAGGGGTAACGGGTTCCGCATTGTGGTCGTTTCTGAGTAGTGATAGATAGCCCCAGAGAGAAAATACGAGTCAGGTTGCGGTGTAACAATCAATGGGTCTGATGACACCATCGCTTTATCCCCACCTACCTAGGAGGATAAATACTCCACACCAACAGCACATAAGAGGTATTATAGCATCAACAGATAGGTACAAATATGCCAGTACTTAACGACGTTCAACTTGCAGGTCCCAAGGACCTGGCTCCTCTTGTGGGGAGTGGTGAGCCTATCTATGTCATTCTCACCAGCTCCAACGATGAGGAAACCGGTGTACCATGGTGCTCTGATGTCCGGGCTGCTCTACCACTTTTGAAAGAAACCTTTGATAAGCCGGCCGGACCCAAGGCTATCTATGAGAGCGTTGGTCCCCGGCCTGGGTGAGTGACTATTACAATCAATGTTGAGAGTGCTGGCTGACGAATCCACAGATGGAAGAAGCCAGATAACCCTCACAAACTCGCTTGGAGCATTTCAGCGATCCCAACTGTTATTAGGTTCGAACTTCGCAACGGGGAAATAGTAGAAACTGGGAGGCTTGTAGAGGCCCAGGTATATGAGGAGGGAAAGCTACAGAGCTTCGTGTCTTAACCTGTTTAGATAATTGGCCGGCTTGAGGGAGATTCGACCGGCAAGCTATTGATTAAGCTGTGAATGGACAATAAGACATATGGGGAACATCAGATGAATATGTGTATACCTTTTATACATTACGGGACTTCTTTGCTGCGATCTATACCATTACCCACTCATGATTGCATATCCTACAGACTATACAACCTGCCTTTACACATAGGAGTCTCATGCATAGTCCTTGGTCTGTTCATCACACCAATCCCAAAAATCAGCCGCAATCCCACTACCGCCATCCTCTTTGGTCTTCAAGCTCTGGACAAGATCCTTCCTCGGGCTCGGGTGCCATCTTCCCCAAGGAATACCATACCTACCACCATCCCCAAGCTTGATCTCTGTGCTAACACCAGCCCAGAGTTCCGAGTATGCCCCTCGCTTAGGTGGATGCAGAAAGACTTTGTTCGGTACCCTGAGATGCCACGGCACGCGGTCCCAGATATTGGTTGACAGGTTTCCTGGGTTCTGGCAAATGCAGATAACTCCATCTGAACGCACACGTCTGTCGAATTCGGAGGCGAGGAACCAATTCCCTGTCTTCGAAATTGTGTAGTTGTGTGTTGGATCTTTGGATTGTTTGCCGGGAGTGAGCTCAGCCAGCGAGATACCGCCAGGAGGGGCCATCATGTCCATTACACCTGAGCCTGTGAAGATGACTCGAGTCGAGGGACCAGGGTTACTTCTGGCTGTTTGCTTCAGCACGGGGAGCAAGAGTTTGGTGAGGAGGAAGGGTGCCAAGCAGTTTATTCCCAACTGAGGCTCATATCCTTGGGCAGTAACTTCGTGTGATGGTGCGGCGCTAATGCCCGCATTATTCCATAAAACGTCCAGACGCGTCTCCTGCGCAAGGAAGGCAGATGCACAAGCTGCCACGGAGGCAAGATCATTGAGATCAATGTGAAGAGTTTTGAGGTTGCCAGTGCTCTCTGGGTATGCGGCCTTGATGGTCTCGATAGTCTTTTGTGCTTTGGTGGCGGACCGGGCTGGAAGATAGACTGTGCCTCCTTTGGAGTAGAGCATATTGACTAACTCCAGGCCGACGCCATTAGTGCCACCCGTCACCATAAAGACTCTGCCTTCTAGTGAAGAAACATTGTCTTCAGTGAAAGTTGGCTTGGGTGGAAATAGTTGCGTCCAGGCGGCTTGCATGTTGTTAGATTAAGAGATAGTGACGGAAAGCCGGGCACAAGTAAAATAAGTTGGGATTCTGCTTTGAATGAATTTTGCAGGAAGGAAGAGTAATTATTCTTTTTATATGTAAACATGTTTCAGCTTATCAACCCAATGCTGTCTTTTTCTTCATGAATTCTGACACCCTGGTCATTCAGACTGTCAGATTGAAGGAACCGAGAGTATTTGTGGTCAGAATGCACCCTTGGCGTCAGCGCCCTTTCACAACTACCAGGACATCGATAATGCAATGGGATTGGGTTTACTGATAAGTAATCTATCATTCAGCTTTGCAGAGATGCCAGAGTTAAAGGCCTTTCTCCCCGCTGAGACCTCCAAAAGTTAGTCGTCTGAAGTATCCCACTATCCATCAAAAACCACCACCGCTTCGCAAAAGACTCGCCAACCTCCCATCCCATCGGGTCCCAAGGTACAGTCCCCCATACTTTTAGACTTCCATACTGCATATCACGCGCAAATTCTTCTTCGTTAATAATGGAGAGAGACTTGAGAAGTTTGTCCCGCAATGATGCCCAGGGTAACATGTCCAGGTACGACAGGTGAGGCACGCTCTTTTGTAATTGAGTAGGCGCTATATCAGGTGGGAGAGTATCGGTCAGGGCTCTAATGTTAAAGCCTGGTATTTGCTGGCAGTTGAGGTCGAGACGTTGGGCTATGACGGCCAGGGCGGTGGCGGCGGTCAGGTCGGTCAAGATGAGGTAATGACTATCCATTGTAGGCTGCTCAGATGTGTATTGGGTATGAAAGAGGCTTGCATCAAACATCTCTGTAACCGCCATGCTTGAGCCCTCTGTAGATGATTGCCCAGGACTAGAACCCGCATCTCTTCTCACAAGGGCTCCTGCAGCCTCATTGACCTCATACTGTGCCGCTTGCTTCTGTTTGCCGGCAAGCCGTGACCCTGGAATAAAGTCAGTCATGCCAATCCGCGTAGGAGCGCAATCATGCTACATACGCCTGGCTCTTTGGGACAGCCTGTTCTGGATCCGCTTTCGCTGAGCAGGGTCTGGGACGGCAGTCCAATCATCTTCGGTAGATTTCACAAATGGCTCCCAGTTAGGCTTCATGGTGGATAAGAATGATTGAGTCTGGGAAAAATTGAGAGAACGCTAATGTGAAAGAAAAAAGATGACTGAAGGCTGCTGATATTGTCAACTTTCTGACAGTCAGACTTGTCAGACTGCATAACCGAGATGAGTCGTCCAATCACAAGCGCGACTAGTCCATACACAGTTAGTATCAAGTCCTGGGACTGACCCTTATCCAAGCGAGCATTTGGTAATTATAGGACAAGGGAAGTTTTCAAGACACGTATATTTCTCTGACGTGCCTTTGAATATGGAACGGATCGTATCCATAATCCTCGAATACTTTGATGACGCCTTAAGATTTCTAACTAAGTTCTATCTGCTAATTTAAGCTCTCGACCACAAGTTTCACACAGGATGACTACATCATCATCTCAATTGGTTGCAAGTGGCACGGGTCTTCCTTTCCTCTATATTTTTCAACAACAAGTAGACCATAGTGAAGTATATACTTCAGCATTTTTGAAATTTGACCAAGTTCCATTCGGAGGCTGCTGAACCAGCGACAGCAATAAAACGGCTATGAGGGGCATAGCCGTCGGATTAGTTCCAAAAGTACAATACTCCCCATCTCTCCATGAACATGCTCCTCAAAAGCATTTCGCAGTGAAAAGGCAGCACGTATATACTCCGCAACATCCTTCTCTTCATCCTCAACTTTACGTAGAGACTCTTGAGGAAAACAAAGGGTTTCCTGCTCTCTTGAGTCATGCAAACCCAAGGCTGCCTCCAGCATGCGTTGGCTAATTATGGCTCCCTTTTCAACCAACATTCTAACTATATCACCGCGGACACACTTAATCGCATTTAGTAGCGGACCCTCATCATCTGATGCTGGCCTAGCATTGATGTCACAACCGGGCGTCTTAAGAAGTCTATCGACGCACTCAAGAGTCCCCGAACGAGCTGCATCGTATAGTGGAGTGACGTGAGATTGAGCTTCGGCATTGACATCCGCCCCATATTCGATTAGGATGTCAACCAAATCTGGAATACGTGCATAATGCAATGGGGTCCTCCCATCACTGCCTTGTGCGTTAACGCTTGCCCCTAATACGAGAAGCATGACCACGGTTTCGGTTTTGGATTCTTTGACAGCCCAGTGTAGCGCTGTGTACGTAGGACCTCTACCAAAAAGCTGGAAGGTCTCATTCGGGCTAGCACCATATTCGGTAATCTTAGAAAGTGTTTCCAAGTGCCCGCCGAGAGCTGCCAAATGCAATGCAGTCCGACCATGCTGGTCTTTCTCGTCTACACTGAGACGGAGAGTGTTGATGACAACTTTGTTACCGTTCTGGGCTGCCAGGTGGATCGGCATTCTACCGAAGTTGTCTCTAGTAAATTGATCCGCGGGTTGCCCAGGATTGGAGATTAGGGCTCTCGCCATGTCGTCCATCTCTGAAGTAATCGCGCAGTGCAATGGTGTTATTCCATCAACACCTGCTGCTTTCACATTTGCCCTCTTTTCGACAAGTCTATCAAATGCTCTGCTGTTGCCGTTGCAGATGGAGTAATGTAGTGGTGTCCAACCTCGGATATCAGGAGCATCGATATCAGCTCCATTCGAGAGCAAGCCGTCTATCCATTCGGGGGCTTGATCTCGTTTCCAAGCTGTGACATAATGTAGCGGGGTCCATCCGAGGATGTCTCGCGTTCTAACGTATTTCTTTGCTGCCTGTGGTACATGTCCAAGAGATACAAGACCATTGCCCCGCAAGAAATACCTCATTCGTGTCATCCTTTCGACTATACACACGACTTCATCTTCAATATCAGGGCAGGCAACTAGGTCGTGTAGTCGTGTAAAACCGCAGCTGTTGATCTCATTTTGCTGTCGATCGCTGTACGTTAAAACGCTGAAGCCCCCGCTCGTCTTACGACGCTGTCGCTCATATAGCATCTCCAGCTCTTTCCGAATCGGGCGGTAGCGGCTTTCACTGAGTCGCCTTGATAGTCTTTCATGCATGAGATCTGTCTCGTGACGCTGGTACTCACCATATTCTGGTACCTTGGGCAATAGCGCTAGACCTCGCATGAACTCCATCACTATCGCGACTGTTCTTCTGAGGCCGAAGCTATCCTCGCGAAATTGACTTGCTAGGTCCAACATGCTACGGTAGGAGTCATGAGCTGCTCGCCAATTTGAAACCTTTTCATGCTGTTGTGCTTGGCCAAACACTATTTTAACAACACAATCTAGATCTCCAAGGCGTGCATATGAATCAAGTGGAGGAACAAGAGTGAGGTAGGCATGATTCAAGTCCATGAGACCTGAGCTTCTGATTGATCCTGCCAGTCTAGCAAGGCCAGTGCCACGAAGCCGGATATTGTTCCATTCGCCTGGTATGACTGATCCTAATGCTTCCATCTCTGATTGTTCATCGATTGGTGCTTTCATCTTCGAAACAGCAGCCCACAGAAAGGCATGAAATATGTGTCTGGCAAAAAGTTGCTCTAAAGTGTCGTTGGACTGAATGCAGAAAGTGGTTGCCGTGGAAGGGGTTGGAGGAGCCAAACCCCCAGCATTCGCCTTTGTCTCCGCTTTCGGACCCAACAGAATCATTGGCATGATCATGTTGTTCCTCTTCCTCTTCGTCTGAGTGTTCAGCAGTTGGTGACTTGTAATGGCCTTCACAGAGCTTTGTACCAACAACTCTCCATGCCTCGCTATATCGTTCTTGGATTTGACTATCTTCGATTTCCTCTAGTTTGGGGGCGTCTGTTGGCAACCACCAATCGAATGCCTGCTTCAAAGCCTGTGTGTGCTCTTCCAGAAGTATCAGGCCGCCCCTGATTTGGGAACTTCTTTTACGGAACCATTCATCATCATCCCCGATCCTTGACCTTTCGGCTGTGCTTGAAGTGAACTCTCGCTCTTTGTCGATTGAGGCGAGCCACAAAGACAACACCGAATCAAGTTCATCGATGCGTGCTCTCCATAGCCTATTTTGAACATTCAACTGTATAGAGACTGGAAGCGACTTAGGTTGCTCGCCTTTTGCGCGTGTCTCGACCTTAATGCTCCAATTCCAAGTAGGGGGGTCAGTGGCGGTCCAAGGGCATAAGGTATTCATCGTAACTTCAATTGCCTCAACAAGAGAGTTAGCTTCTTTTGAAGCTGAACCACGCCACCCGGATAAATGCGCTAGATGCTTTCGAATGTTCAAAGTCTCTTGGGCAGCATTGTCTCTTCGTTCCACCATGAGGCCATCTTTATTAGGGTCATCGCCTTGAGCTGGTCGTTCCATATTCCCATCCCCCCCAGTTTCGGAGTTATCCTTACCCTCAACCCTTCGCAATACTGGCTTTTCTTTCAGAACCACTGTCCAGGCTCTGTCTTTGGAAAGACTGAAGTCAAACCCATCAACATCGTTCATCGGTCCACTTCCTGGACCTAGGTTTGGGTCACCAAGGGCCAGAGCAAGTCCATCCAGCTCGAACCCGTCCCTCAACTCTGAGCAATATACAGGTGCAATGAAACCAAGACGAACGAAGGCTCGAAGGATTGTCATGATTATTACCGCGATGAGTTGGCCCACTGAAGCTGACCAATGCATGGCCCTGAGGCCGATAAACTGGATTATGAAACCGGCTAGACAAATCCCTGTTGCAACAACAGTAAGGTCGAGAGCTGGGCCTGAATCCAAAGCTGAACGTGAAGATGCGTCTTCATTGTCATCTGACTGAACGGACGTTGAGCTCGCCTCATTGAGTAGTGGCTCTGCTGATGAAACGGACTTTGGTCTACCCTTCTTGTTGCTGGTATCCCTTTGCGAAGTAGTGACGACCTGTGGAAATCGTCGAGGATATAAGGCGAATGATCCAAAGATCTGATCACTCACAACCTGTTTCTGTTGAAGCCAAATCATTCTCATCTCGCGACCTGAAGCCGGTTTATATCCGTCCTCTGTAGTACTCCGATCGACAACACGGGCACACAGCAGCATTCCAAAAACGAGGACCAGTGTACCACCGGCTGAAAAGGGAAAAGCATACCCGAGAACCTGTTTGTCGTCTTTCTTGAATTTCAGAGTTGGATAGTAGGTGATGAAGCCGAAGTAGACTAACACTCCGAGTTGGAGCAGAATGCCAAAGCTTGCAACCATGTGTAAATGACCTCGGTCAACCTTATGATGCCTATTTAGAGTGATGTTTGGGGCGTGCGTTGTGGTTTTCCTTAGAACAATCAGCTCAGACGCCGGAGCAGACTGAGGTTGAGCTTCCTGTCCTCGAGATTCAAGGGGTATTGGCGTTGTGACCTCTGGATCCATGCTCTCTCGCCGCGACCTAATGCTGCCCCAAAGGTTTCTCATGCCGCCCTGAAAGTAGTGACTGCTGTGATTGCGCGACTTTGGCACTCCGTGGATCAATCTCGAAAGGTTAAAGACGCTGAAGACACCTTTTCTCCGTTTATCTCATTCTTCGTTAGCTTTAAGGAGAACCCAAGAGTGGAGGCACAAACCTTTAATCACCAGATTTTGTTCAATGGCTTCACTCAGCTTCATGAACCTGATGCGTTTGATCGTCCCGCCACTATTCACTGGCGCAAGATAGATAAATTCTGTGACAGGGGCCTTTCCCTGGCATCTGACCACATCCCTCCCGTTCCATAGCTCGCAGGTTTCCTGAGACGTGGATGACATGAGTTCCATCTCTGCAGATGATAGGTTCTCTCTAGACCGGCCTATGATAGCCTTAAGCCAAGCCGGTCCATCAACTCGGATCGCACTAACAATAGTTATAATGATGCCAAGGGGCGCTACTGCTAAGATGATGCAGTCGGCCCAGCCCATGGATTGACTCAGGAATTGCATCGTGACACGTTCCCCAAACAATGCAAGTAAACTCTTCTGAGTCAGTAGCTACAACAGAGAGGACCCAGAATGAAGACTTACGGGGCAAGGTCCGAGAATAGGTTGTTACTGAAGTCATCACCGGAATCTGCACGGGTTGGGACGAAAAGAAATGCGAAAAACACAAAGATACAACGAATGAGATGCAGCATTTTAACCGAAATGCCGGAAGTGCCGTCGATAATGCAATCGTATTAGATAGGCAAGAAAGCGTGGCGGTTATAGAGTAGCACTTAAGTGGTCAATACAAGTGAAAGCTTATGCCTTAGTCTACGACTCATCTAACTTGGTACTCCCGAGTTTGAAGAGAGCAGTAGAAGAAGAATTAAGATCCTGTGGCGCTAGGAATGCGGGGTTGTAATTGTAACAACAGCCTTGTTTTTTGCCTTTCGTAAACCGGCCAACAGAAGCTGAACTGAGATATGCCTCAAGAAGATCGCATGCACGATAAGCACAACTATCGAATCATAATGTTTTATCCTGCGCTTAGCCGCCCGGATCACCCAATCGTTGTGGGTATGTCTCATGACGCTTGTCGAATATTGAGGCCTGCTCCCGCGGATGCTGGCTTGCGGATCTTGCACTGAAGGTCACTTTCAGCTCGAACATTCAACTAACGTACCAGTACGTCCCTCATTCCAATCTCCAGTCGTAGTTAAATTGTATTCTTGAACTCGTCAAACAGCTGAGGCAGAAATGTAGCCAAATCTTCAGTGTATCAGTTATTGTAACAATGTCCAAGGGGGGGGAGAACTCACGCGACATCTCAACCGCGCAATGAACGCTGAGATCATGTCCTTGAGTCTCTCCGAAGACGTCAAGGAAGAATCGGGATCGTAGCTCTCGCTGTCCATCATCCTTTCGGCGGATCTGATGCATGAGGTAGGAGTTACCAGTGACGTTGGTAGTATGTCCTAAAAAGGTCAGCTAGAAGCAGGAAACCTGAGGAGGCCACCCACCACTAGTGATATGAGCCATGACAATTGTCTCGATGCCCTGCGGTTCGTAGTCACTGGTATTGAACCCGAGAGTTGCAGGGTCCACAAAGTTGACGGTCAGTTTAGTGGCAAAGTTACCGATGAACTCGTCTATCCAGGAGTATGATCCGATGTAACGTTCGGGCAAGGTCTTGTTACTCCAGTCAATCGCGTTTGGCATTCGGTCGGCATATTGATGAGCGACTGGATGCCAAAGTTTATATCTGATTTGACGTTAGCCTTGAGTAACGCATACCTTATAGCAAGGAAGCACCCATACCTTTGAGGGTCAACAAGGTGCCACCCAAACCACCAATCATACATATCTCCCGTGACTACCAATAGTTAGCATCTATGTTTCTATAGTCATACTTTGCCGCACCATTGCCCATATCATTACGGACGGCTATCATCAACTTGTTATCGTCGGTCACAGCCCAGCCGTTCTCCAACTGCAAGTATCCGGGCTGAGTTAGATAATGTGCTGGCTCTTGAGGCTTGAAAGCTAGATTAATAGTCAGCAGGGACGCAGAAATGATCTGAGGGTAACATACCGAGACTGCTGGTACGGGGACTTTCAGTAATTCCCTTTTGCACTTCATCCGAAATTTGCTTTATAGCAGGTTTCCAGTATTTGACAAACGGCCGATACCAGTCTTCCTCCTTGTAGCCGAGATAGTACAGCGACTTAGTGGACTGATAAGGCACTACGTTAACGGACGTCGAGTTCTCGGACAAGGTGAGGAGTGGAATCGGCGAGTAATGCTTTCCATCACGAGGATTGGCTGCGACTTGCGCAACGCTGGTCGCTGCAAAGATGAGAAGCAAAGCAACTTGGATATTCATTGTACTGGCGGCAAGAATGTGATAAGTCAGCCTGGTGAACGATGTTTCTCTAAGGTCTACAGAATATTGAGGAGATACGTAGCAGACGATGCTTTGATACTTCGGAGGTTGATGTCATAGCTCAACAGTGATTCAGATCGATCCACGAATGAATCACAGCGACCACCGCGTCTAATTTGGCTTAATACCAACGCTCCGAGATTGAACAGCACAGTCTGTGGAGATATTTACTGGCGTGTCTCCATTTGACAGCTCGCTTGGATTCGCCCCCATCAGATCCACACAGACGAAAGCCTTATTGTTATGCTGAGGTCATACAGCTGGCTCTGGTATGATGACTTAACACAGCAGTTGATGAGAAATGACCACCAGGATGGAGTGGTACTGATTGCTCTCATAAATACCTCCATTTGCTATAATGAAAGCACTGACAAAACAATATTTATCGAACAAGCCCACTTGATCTGTTGAGAAGACTAATTATATAGTTAAAGTATGTACACAGTAAAGGAATTCGAGACAGATAGTATGTGAGTATGCTAATTAACTTCCTCGAATGTCACAGCGTCAAGGTTGGCACCGGCATTGGCACAGCTGAATCCAAAAGTAACGCTAACATAGTCATACTGAGACAGCATCTCCTCCGTAAGCGTGCAAGTTGTATCCAGCGGCAGCCAGGTGTTTACGGCGCCGACAGGGCTGCCTACTACAGTTGAGTCCTGAATAAAATTCAAGTCGTTTGGGTCTCCAACGGTACAACCAAGGACGAAAGTATTGCATCCATCGCCAGTGACGCTACCAGTATAGTAGTCGACGCGGATGGAGCCTGCGAGTCGGTAAGAGGCTGCTTTGAGGTCTTTTATCTCGATCGCCTGGCAAATGTAGTTCGCGTATGAACCTCCGCCATCAATTCCAAATTCGAGTCGTCCAGAAGCGGGTCCTTCGAAGGGACTGGTGGTGTCGCGATTGACGGCGTCGGGGCCAATCGACAGCCAAGGCTCAGTAGTATCGAGATCGAAGCTGCTGTTGATGAGAAGAGGCGTTGGGTCTGCATCGGCTGCTGTAGTCGTGGTCGCAGTCTCGGTAGCGATCGTTGAGCCCTCGGTTGAGGTGACCTCTGTAGTTGCTTGAGTGGTAGTAATTGCCATACTAGTCTCAGTGTTGGTGGCAGCCGTAGTAGTATCGGAGGCAACCGTGGTAGTGTCGGTGTTGGGGATTACAGCAGCCGGCTTGAGCTCAACAGCGTCGAGATAAGCACCCGAATTAGAACAGGAGAACCCAAACACAACGCTGATATCGTCATCCCCAGCTATCATCTCGTCGGTGAAGGTACACGTAGTTTCTATCAGGGACCAGTCATCGGCGGAATTCTCTGCGCTTGCCCGCGCCACCGAAGCTGGCACGATAACCGAATTTTCACCAGATCCAGTGAGGCAAGCGGCGATGATGACACTGCAGCCATCTCCACTTTGACTATAGCTATCAACGCGGGTATGGCCTTGGAGGTCATATGAGCCCGCCTTGAGGATCTGCTTGTTGATCTTTTGGATAATAAGATCGGCATACTGGGCGCCACCGTTAGCTTCAAACTGGACTTTGCCAGAGGCTGGACTCTGGAATCCGCTGCCAAGGACCAGAGCATCTTCATGCTCCGTTAGCAACTGCCACGGGGCAGTTGTGCCATCTTCGAAGCCAGCGTTGGTGAGAAGAGGTTCGTCAACTGACGTGGTTGTCGTAGCGCTCTCGGCAACAGTCGTTGAGGCTTCGGTGCTGAGAGCCTCTGTAGTAGCATCAGTGGTCGCAGTCACTGTCTCACTTTCGGTCACAGTCTGGCTCTCAGTGATCGAGGTGCTGGTCTCAACATAAGTGGAAGACCCGGTAGTTTCGGTGGCAGACGTAGTGGTGGCCTTGGTGAACGACGGCTTACAGGGGCTTGCATTGGCCACTGAAGCCAGAGCTGCAAAAGCAGCAACAATCAACTTGTTTGAAACCATTTTGCGATGATCTCGATGAACAAAACAAACGAGTGTGAGTTGTAAACAGAAATCAGCGAATGGATCCAAGGCGAATTCAACACATGAGCGCAAATCGGGGGTATTCACCCTTTTATTCTGTATTTGAAAATGACGATGGGGGTCTGGACTCAATAGTTTGACCACACGGGCCATCAAGACAGACTTCAGCTGCACTTAAGCATATTTTACAGCGCCACTACTGGATCGATTGCAGTAGCGCCTCAATAGTCTCGAAAAATCGCGACCGCCAAGATCAATAATGCGCTTACTTAGCTGTTTCAATAAGGGCTTTGTCAGTTTAACTAGAGACTATTTATACCAGGCAGGAAGAAAAAGAAGGTTTACAGTAGTCAGAATAACCACTACGTCGGTTGTCAAGGCATTTCAAGGCATTGCCCGAAATGATGCAATGTGCAAGTGTGTGCGGTTTATATAATCTCTATACGCCAGGACAACGAGTAAGTATTTACCAAGCATAAGACAGTCCTTCATGCGGTGTGCAATTAATATTACAACCATCAGCCTTTGGATGCAGATGCAAATTCAGGATAGTAGTTGAACCTTAGCCACAGTTTAAGATGGCTATAAGACTTAGAAAATATTAAGCTATATCCCTCTATCCCTCCCTACCCACAACAACTTCCACTCCGTTCAGTAGATCGAACTTCTTGAACTGTCTCGCAGGAACGCGCCTCTGGAAAAGGATATCCAGCTCCTCAAATGTACGACCTTGACTCTCGGGAAGCCGGAAATAGCACCAGACAAGACATACAAGACTTATTCCACCAAAGAGGAAAGCCGTCTTACTACCCCAATTGGCCTCATCAGTATTGAGCATTAAAGGCATGACGATTGTGAACACAACGGAGGCGGCAGCCTGCACTGCTGTAGCCACAGCAATGGTCTTTTCTCTAAGACGGGTAGCTGAGATCTCGGAAATGATAACAAAACAGATGGGGCCGACCGTCATTTGGTATACGAAGGTCCAGATATCCATCAGCGTGGCTGTAGCCCATATGGCACCAGTGGTGCTTGAGATGCTGAGGAAGCCGATGATGAATAGGAGAGTCGTCATGACCATCATGCCCGCATTATAGATCGTGCGTCGACCAAGTTTGAACTATGTTATCCATGAGCTGATGCTTTGAAAGTTCAAGACTGGCGATGATACGTACCCAGTTCAGTAGAAACCACGAGAGAACCGTACCGGTAAAGCCCAGAGCGGTGTTACCAACACCCACTAGAGTACCAAGTCAGCATGTCTGTAGTTTTCGGCTTTAGGAACACGTACTGTTGAAAGAATCAGAGGGATTCAGGCCGGCCTTTTGGAAGAAGTATGTTGCATATCCAATAAGGGGATTACCACCAATGACTTGAATCAGGTAGACCATAACTGAGATCTCAGTGCGAACCAAATTCGCACTCTTGAAACACTCCAACCATGACGTGGACGACTCGATTTCTTGCTCCAGGAGATCTGTCTGTTCGATTCCAACAAGAGCCTTGTCAATATCGGGTCTGTTGGTGGATGAGGATAGTCCCACGAGCGCGGCACGTGCTGCCTCACGTCGGCCTTTGCGGACCAGCCAGTACGGACTTTCAGGGGCGAAGGGTAGACCGGCGAGAAGGATCGTTGGCCAGACCCATTGTATCGCAAAAGGGATCTTGTACGCCCACTCGTCCATACGGGTCTCTACACCAGCTGCGCAACCTTGGGCAATGAATTGGCCAATCACAAACGCCATGTTTATCGATGTGGTGAGGAAACCTCTCAGTGCCAGTGGGCACACTTCTGAGGCATACGTTGGTGCAATGACGACGTAGAATCCATAAGCCAAGCCGCCGAGAATCTCGCCCGCACAGAGCATGCCGATGCTTGTAGAGAAGAACTGCACAAAGACCAAGGCAATGGACCAGACGCAGCAGAAAGCTAATGTCTTCTTTCGACCAAACATCTCGAGGGGATAACCACTGGCCAGTGCTCCAAGAACCTGACCGATCGGATTACCCATTCCCAGAGCTGTCTGCCACGGCGCAGAAATCTCATAGCCATCGCCGCCATCAACCCGCTCACCATATTTTGTTTGAAATGCGGGCAGGGCGTAGAAAGAAGTGATGATCTGGGCATCAAAGCCAGCCATTATAACGGCAATTCCGAAGAAGAGAGCCCAGAAGACGGCCCATGGATACTGGCGAACGGCCTCACGGAAGCCAAGGTTGTGCTCTTCGACGGTGAGATCGCGGGTGGCATCGATCTCAAGGAGTTCAGATCTTTTCAGATCTGCCACTTCATGGTTATCTCTATTGGCTTCTTTGTCCAGGGTTGCCATTTTCAAAGATGTTGTATCATAATGGAGATGGTGGGGGGTGTGACAGCGGAAAGAGGAAGTGGTCCGCCTATAACGGCGAAGAATGGTATTTAAGTATCCAACGAAGATCAGTACACCAAGAGATATCCGTCTTGCTTATCCTTATCACCAGTTCTGCAGGGACCAGCCTAGAAATGTGATACCGGTAGCACCCCGCAGACATGCGTGTGCACGAGATAGCATCTCATTTCCCTATCGATAAAATGTAACACGCCAATGCAACGTTTCTTGGCCCCTTACGATAAGTAGTCAAGACTTACGTAGAGAAGGATCGTACTAAAATGCGGGGAAAGATATCGGACAGGGTTTGCCGGCATTCGCACCGACCGTTTGCCGGGTATTGTGCCTGAACCGGGTTAGTTTGGCTTGTCGAAGTTATCATCCATAAATGTGCAAGACTCCTTCGTGCTCATTGATACTCTCTATCGTGACGCTAGACGACAGAATCAGACAAGCCAGCTCACCTAATCAACCCCTCTTACACTACAGCTACCAAGTACGACACAAGATGGTTGCAACCGGCTCTCTCTCCGGGCCTCTATTCTCCCCAGACCTGATTGGAACTGATGTTGTGACATCCTTCCCTGAAGGTTACATTATCCGACCTTTAGAGCGAGGGGATTATGCAAAGGGATTCCTTGACTGTCTCAGCGTACTCTCTCATGTAGGGGACGTGTCTCAGGATCGCTTCGAGGAGAGGTTCGACTGGATGAAGACACAGGGCCAAGGGGTGCATCACCACGTGGTTATCGAGCATGAGAACCGAGTTGTCGGAACCGGTGCTCTTATCGTAGAGAGAAAGTTGTAAGTCTCCTAATTTGCTAAGGCGTCTGCATTGTCTTGATGCTAACCTCGTTTCGGCAGTATTCACAATCTTGGATCTATTGGACATATCGAGGAAATCGCCATTAGGAAAGATTTCCAAGGTAAAGGCCTTGGTCTAAAATTACTGGCCAGCCTGTCGTCTATTGCTAAGAATGTCGGGTGCTACAAGACGACTCTGGGGACGAGTCCGGACAACGAGCCGTTCTATGTCAAATGTGGCTACAACAAGTCGGGCAACATCATGAACCAATATTTCGAAGAGCCCAAGGAATCCTATTATCGGGGATAAGCCCGAGAAATCATCCTTCTCAATAGTACAGTCGTAGCTATTCCTAATCGATATCAATGGTGATCTCGACTCAAACAAGCTAGTTAGATAGGCGCCGGCCTTTTCCCGAAGTTTGCCGGTTCGCCGATTTATCGTCTCACCGACTTGAGGTCGATCACTTGCAAATTGATAAGAGCTAATTGGACCCGAATGAGTTTCTCAAACGTTGCATTCTCCATATCTGCAAATCATTAACGCGGGGAAAGTTATTATTGGCTGCAACGAGATAAGCTACCAAAGCCGAATATCCGTAGTTATGTATTAATAAGGAAACCCTTGCTAACGAAGCATCTTCACACGATTGGAGATAGCTTGCACTTAGTACCAAACCCATAATTTGCAATCTAAACTTTCTCGGTATCTGTCTCCTTGTTCAACATGGCACCCCATGCTGAACAGGATGAGTCTGCCCAGGGCATCACTCGACTCCCACCACCAGAACGTCCAGCCTTTTCTGCCTCGCCTCCACGTTTACTAATCATCGGCGCTGGGAACCGTGGCAAGGCCTACGCCGAGGCTATTAAGAATTCGAGTAATGGCGTTATCGTGGGCGTCGTGGAGCCTATCGCACTCAAGAGACGGCATCTCGGTCGCAAATACATCTGGGGTACGCGGGAGCCAGCTCCTGGGGAGGAGTTCCGCGACTGGCCAGAGTTCGTTCAATGGGAGCTTAGCCGACGTGAAGCAGTCGCTTCTGGGACTGCAGATGTGCCTGAGGGAGTTGATGCAGTCTTCATTTGCGTCCAAGATGGCATGCATAAGGATGTTGTTCTTGGCCTTGCACCGCTGAAACTACACATCATGTGCGAGAAGCCTCTAGCCCCCAATCTGGAGGATTGCATGGCGATCTATAGGAGCCTTTCGCCCGATCCCTCCGGATCCTCTGAAAGGCTGTTCGCTATCGGCCATGTCCTTCGTTACAGTCCTCACAACATGATGATGAGGAAACTTCTCCTTGAGGACAAGGTGATCGGAGACATCATGGCTGTTAATCACACAGAGCCAGTGGGCTGGTATCACTTTACACATAGTTACGTCAGGTAAGTTGTTGACTGATGGGTGGTCACAAGCGATAAAGACTAACACCGCTCTAGAGGAAACTGGCGCAATGAAAAGGCGGCAGCTCCATCCCTCCTTGCCAAGTCATGCCACGACATAGACATCCTCTACTGGATTTTAGCGGCCCCGCTTCCCGGCTCTAACAAGCCAACCCATGTCCCCAAAGACATAAGCTCTTCTGGATCCCTCCAATATTTCAGAAAAGAGAGAAAGCCTGTTGAAGCGGGAAACGCCACCAATTGCTTATCATGTGCTTATGAACCATCGTGCCAGTTTTCGGCCAAGCAGATTTACACAGGAGCTGATCTCAAGAGTCAGCAACAAGAGCACTTTTGCACGGTCGTCGCGCCGGAAATTGAAGACTGTATTCCAAATGGTGGGCCAGAAGCAGCCAAGAAGGCTGTTCTCTCCAAACTTGCCGAAGACTACTCGGAAGACACCCCGGCAGAAGAGGTTAGCAAGAGAAACACCTTTGGACGTTGTGTGTACGAATGTGATAATGATGTCTGCGACAACCAAGTTGTAACACTCTCTTGGGACGCCGACCCGATCGCAGCCCCGGGCGAAAAACCTCTGCAGGCTCTTAGTGGTAGAGGTAGCAAGACAGCTACATTGCATATGGTTGCGTTTACAGAAAAGATATGTACCCGGTTCACGCACATCTACGGTGTCCACGGAGAGATGTACGCCGACAGTTCTTCAATTACAGTTACAGACTTCAGGACCTGCAAGAAGACGGTTCACTACCCGCACATTCCCGAGGGCGGTGGCCATGGTGATGGGGACGAAGGGTTGACGAGGCAGTTCGTGCTGGCGGTTGATCGGGTAAAGAACCATGGTGAGAAGGTGTCAACGGCTCAGCGAGAGTATATCAAGTGCAATTTGAGGGATGTTATTATGAGTCACAGTATGGTATTTGCTGCTGAGGAGGCAAGGAAGGGGAAGAAGGTTATAGATTTTCCCGAGTGGTTTGAGAAGGAAGTTATGATAAAGCTAGGCACGTAAATGTTTCGAGTACAAGCATAGGTTGAGGGTAACCCATATCTCGTTTCTCTAATAAGCTCAGATACATTGTATGTGTGCTAGGCATGTCTGTTTGTCATGACTGAACATATTCCTGCCCTCTAGCCAAGTAACGAGACAATGCCAAATGGGCAGCGCCTGTCACGACTTGTGTTGCAGGCTCCATAAGTGGATAGAGCCTGTGACGGAGACTTTCAGGTAATTTCAACTTGATCCCCTGTAGCAAGTACTCCGATGTACAGAATTCTCCTCCAAGTATGATCCCCTTTTGGAGATTAGCATGTAAATAGTAAACGGATATTCAAACATACCTCGATAGGACTGCTAGACTTTACAATTATATGAGCCAGCAACCCCATAATGCCATCTATGAGGGGCTGAAAACAAGACAAGATTTCGGCATTTGTGTAAGTCATATAACCACCCTTGATCCCTGCTTCGAGGAATTCTGTTTCAAGTCCAACATCGATATCCCATTCTTGCCCATTGTTTCTGAATTCTGGCGTGATGCGTTTCTCGAAATCACTGACACACTTTGTATACACTTTGTTGGCTATTCTGGAGCTACTTGGAAGTCGCATAAGGCGGACTCTAGTCCGCACTATTTCGGCAAAGTGTTGTGCTATTAGAGTAGGCCTGGGAACATTTAGATAGTGTAACAAAGAAGTAAAAGGAACTCACACTAGCTTCTTACTAAACATAGACCAAGAAACGACAAAAGGCGGTTCTTGCAGAAGCTCACAGGAAGATATCTGTAATACCTTTTTCCCAAAGTGAGCAAAGATAAATATATCTTTCGGCTCTTGGTTAAGGGAATATCTGGCTATCGCGTCGTGAATTGATACTTCAGCTTGACTGACAAATGACACGCGTGTATCACGTTCGTCTCTTAAATATCCAGCTCTTTCAAGAACACGTTTCCATATCGTTTTATCCTTACCTTCCCAGATGTTTGGCCAGGTGAGAATCCAATGGATCCTCTGCTCATTCTCCAAGAATTTGTTTCCTATGCGTTGCTGCAATTGAGTTCCAATGGCACGCCTGACCTTATAGAGGAAATCGGCTGAGACATCTACAGCGTTAAGACCTGGAGGCGGCCGCGGAATTGACTCTTCTGTCTCTTGGGCCAAGAGCAGAGGAAGACCTTCAACCTTCTGGACGCCCGGCTTCGGATGTCCAGTCGACTCAATGGCGTTAGCAATGTCATGGCCCCAGCCAACTAACTTATTGTACTGATCATAGTAGATAACAGTGGGAACCTAGAAAGTTAGATATCATTCAGTGAGCTTCTATTCTATAATTTACCGATGATTGGCTGTAGGAGCCAGCCCCAGGCCACTCCCTGAGTAGCTCTGATATCGGGTTCTTAAGGTCGTTGATAACGTATGCAACCTTAGTACTGGCACCTCCTATGTTCATGAAGTCGATTGACACAAATATCTGATATTGGGGTTCAGGTGTGGGCACAGGTGCCATGCTATATGGCGATGGTGGTGGGGGGGATTGATAACGATGTGGTTCGTAAGTGTAGGCATATTGCATGAGCTGTCGATCTTCTGTTGTTGAATGGGTAGGTGGTGGTAGTGAATAAGCCATAGGAGCTGTTCTGGCACTTGGTGGCCGAGACTTGAAGTAGTCAATGATGATTTGCTGATTCTCTTTGATAAGATCATCGTTCCAACCTCTGACCCGAAGACCGGCGCCAATGTGATTACGCCATTGAGGATCGAACGCATCCAGGAGTCCAAATCCAGCCAGGTTGTTGCTGTGGGTATATGATATATTGGTGCTTGTTTGGGGCTGCTCTGCTTGTTGTTGAGGATATGGCCCCAGGCTTTGTGGGCGATGTATTGTGTCCGGATTTTGGATAGCCTTTCGAGAGACAGGAGGTTGTAAAGATGGCCCTACTTTTGGACTTGTTTGCATGTGCTTCAGAGAATAATGAGCCCTGGTCTGATGACTATTCTGTGTTGGTGGACTTGTGTACTGAGAACCGAAGGTTTTGGGGTACTGAAATCTACCAGCAGCCGGGGCTGGGTCAGAAGCTGCCATCGCGTATGGTTGGCTCTGAGGATACTCTTGCTGAAAAGCCAATGGCTGCTGAGTTTGTGAGACCGCGTCACTATCGTTGCTTGGTCTGTTCAAGCTCCCAACTGAACGGTCCAGATAGGCCAATGCTCCTTGATCGGTCTGAAGAGTCGCGTGGCTCGGGATAAAGCTTTGATGGACCTCTGCTTCCATCGTCTTGTTTCTCGCCACGCAGATGCGCACAAGCAAACTCAGGGTTTCCCAGCATCCCCAATGATCCTTACCGAGAACCTTTCTCTTGCCCCAAAGGGCACGCTTGCAACACTTTTCGGCTTCCTCAAGCTTGGAGTCATCTAAATAAGCAAGGGCCAAGGCGTGCATTCCGTGGTACACGAGTATGTCATTTGTCTTTCGCTCAAATGCGATTGGAGACATGATTTCGTCTGCTTCTGTCCACTTTTCTTGCCGCATGCATGCATATGCTAGTCGTACCCTCATGGCAGTGATGTCGCTTGCAGGTCTCGAACTCAATTCACCGTGCTCGATAGCACCTCTATAGAATTTTTCTGCCTTTGCGTGGTCACCTTCCGCCTCATTCTTGATCGCTAGTTCTTCTATCCTTCTAGCAAACTCGGTCTCACTGTCCGAGTCGGCGTCGACAGGGGAACGTGGCTCTTCATCCACTGGTGGAGGTATCCATCTCTCGATCATTGATGCTTGCGCTTCCGTTAGAGGGTCGCCCATGATACTTCCTCCCCAGACCGTGGATCTAGGTCCCTCTCTCATTATGGTACTTGCGCTTGAGTGGAAGCTTTCTGCCACCTGAACAAATTGGCGGAGATTTTGGGTGGCTCGATCGTCCTCTTCGCGTCCGCTAGAGGGGCCAGGGCTTGCCGAGCTACTTGTGTGCAAAGCGACCTCAACATACCGCAGCTGGGACTTGATTTCGGAGAGGGCCTTGAAAACCGAGTCCTGTGAGGAATTGCTGTGAATTAGGAGACAGCTATCCACGTTAGTCATCACTCCAGACCCCGATGACCATACCTACACATTGATCATCTGAAAAGCACCAGTCATTGCAGTGTTGTATGACTTGATTCTGTCCTTATAAATAGTGATATCTTTAGACCGCAGGCTAAACTTGATTTGCTTGGTTGGCTTGCGCAAGAACCTTCGGTTAAAGCGGTTTGTTTTCTCAAGCTCGGCCATCAGCTGATTAAGCTTGTTGAACGTGTTGTTGATATCATCGAGGGTGGCACTAATACTACCCCAGAGGGCATTATCAGGATCGATCTCGGCCACAACGGCTTGCGGGACCCGGCCTGAGGCATTGCTGACGGAGTCCAGGACTCGCGACAGAATCGAGACCTCCTCAAACAAGTTGGAGATATTCTCGTCGACTTCGACAGTGTCTTGTATCCATGTGTATAGCGTCTTAACTATTGTCCCACAGCTGATAGCGAGGCCGGCGGCTCCTGACGCGATGGATAATGGATCCATCCGAGGCGATCTGGCGCGAAGGTTGGGTTGAAAATGGAGCGAGCCACAGCTGAACTCTTGGTGCGGGGTGACATTATGCTCCAATTGGGAATGCCGCTCCTACGTCCCAAAGAGGCAAACCGAGTCCCCAACTCAGATTCCAATAAGACTAAAGTCATAATTTCTACCTCGTAGCATTCAATAAAATATCTTGTACTGGCGTAAGGTTAGGGTTTTAAAATGGTAGTACAGTGTCTAATTCTTGTGCTACGCAAGAGGCCAGCCCTCGATTTGTCTACTCAAAAGTACCACTTGATTTATTGCCTTGCGGTATGTCTTTTCATGATCGTACTGCCTGACAGTTTTTGACAGGTGGTTCCCCTTTTTCTAATCATAACTTACTCCAAAGCGAAAGCAAAGTCCCTGCTATTCTTGAAAGTTTCTTCTGTGGGGTCTTTTTGTGCCGGATATACGGCTGTAAATATGACACATGTTAGCATCTGTATGAGACGTTCAAGATCCGGCAAGTTATAGCGCGATCAGCCCTAGAGCCCGCAAAAACAGCAGCATGATATTAACTCGAAGCCATGCTCCGCTCTGCCATGGATAATCCACCTGCGCCTCTCTTGATGTCCTGATGACGCATGACGGATGGCCCGTTGCAGTAAAAATAGTTGCATCCCGGATGATCGTTGATAGCCGCCCACATTCCGACCCGAGATCCTCGTGGTGGAAGGACAGAAAACTCGGCACATTAATCTCAGTTGAGATAAACACAGAACTAAACTTGGTGTAAAATTAATGAAGGCTGTGAAGTGTTAGTTTTGCTATTCTATTTTAATTTCCTGGGTCTTTTTGCTCCAGTCCTTCCCCTGGTGCATCAAGTTACTAAGCGGCGCGGAAGTTGACGACGCAATTGCCGCCGCGTCAAGGCGCGCTAGGGAATGCGCAGCATGTTCTTATAATAGGACGCGTAAAGGTAGTTTAAGCTTGTAATAGAAACATACGAAAAACGAAGGATGAGCCTCATGCGGGTACTATACTTAGATAAAGATGAAAGGTTTGCATCTGGGCCTGTGCCATGATTGACTATAAGATATGAACAGAAGTATCATCTGGAACACTTGCAGCAACTGTTCAATAACACCACTGCAATACAGTCGCTTCATCCCCACAATGCGTTCTTCATCGTTTCTCTGGGCCCTAGGCGCGAGCGTCCTTGCGCACGCCCATGGTATCCGGGTCGAACGCTCAGAGAATCGCCTTATCAAGAGACCCGCTTCACCAGATGACGTCTCCTCATCCTCCATCGATTCAGTGTGGCATGCAAAACTACAAGACGATGGACTCGTGAAGTTGGACTTCCACCGGTTGATCCAGCGTCAAGACAGCAGTTCAGCGGATACCGGCACTTCAGCAGACGCTAAGAGCACGTCAACCAAAGATACCTCAGTGGCTTCTACCACTAAAGATGAAGCTACGACGACAGCTGAGGATAAAAGTACCACGCTCGAAACAACTGCGTCGACGATAGATGCATCAACTACTGAAGAAAGCTCCGTGTCATCGATAACCAGCACCTCAACCTCAACCTCAAGCATAGCATCATCGACAAGCACGACCTCAACCTCCACGGAACCCGGCGCCTCCTGCTACAGCACGACCGTCAAGAGCAGCACCATCTGCGAAACGACCGGAATGACCACATTGACATGTTATGCCGCGAATATTACTTCGAGCACCTGTTCACCGGGTCTTCTATGCACGACACAGTCAAGCAACGGAGTTACGATCTGCATGGAACTTCAGAATGAAGTTGGTACAGCTGGTATTATCATCGCTTCTGTTTTCTCAGCACTTATACTCATTTGTGCTTGTACCCTTATTACCATGTGTTATAGGGATAAGAGCAAGCAGAGGAGGCAGGAGGAGTTGAGACGAGTGAGATCGGTCAAGATTGCCGAGAGGGCTACTCTGTTGCAACGTGCGCAGTAGGGCTGGGGGTTGGAGGATAATGGGTTGGTGTAGGGACAAGTATGGCACCTAGCAAGGGATCTGATGCGATCGATTCCATAGATCGATGGGATTGAGGGCTACGCTACGATATCTAGATGAGGAAGGGTGTGTGAATTAAAACCACGATACAATAAAATTTAGGCGTTGAACTCGTTGCCTTCTGTACTGATGACAAAGCGCATTTCGATCAACATGATGTTCGGGTTTCTTGCCGCGGTTCCCCTCAAAAGGCGGGGTCTAGATATGAATCCAACACTAACAACAACACAACACCCTCTACTATTTGAACATTTACCGCAAACTGACGATGTCATCCAAACCGTCCTTCGACGCCCTACCCCTCCGAAAAGATGGTCCTCCGGGAAATGCCTGGGGTCTTTTCGGTGACAATGACGAATGCGGGATGTTAAACCTCTTGACCCCAGAAATCATAGCAAAAGCGGCATCAGAGATTCGCGATGGCGTTCGAGTTTCTACTGATTGGCCTCTCAATCGAATGTCACGACCTTGCTTTGGACGCGCCCCTTTCAAGCATGAGATCACTACCAAAGCTCCCCGTGCTGTTAATGATGATACTCTGACGTTTAATACACAGAGTAGTTCGCAGTGGGATGGATTCAGGCATTATGCTTATCAGAAGGAGAAGCTTTGGTTCAATGGGAAGAGCCTTGATGATCTCTTAGCTTCAGATGTCAACGGCATTCATAGTGAGTTATACTCGCTCCAAGTGGACATTACTGACGTGTATAGCTTGGGTTGAGCGAGGCGGTATTGTTGGACGTGGAGTACTACTCGACTATGCATCTTGGGCAGATAAGAACCACATCGCCTTAACTCCCTTCGAAACCAAGTCGATTACCGTCTTGTCACTAAAGGAAGCTGCAAAAAGCCAAGGAACAAAATTCCAACGAGGCGACATTCTGTTCATTCGCACAGGATGGGTCCGAGCCTATGACAAGCTGTCCGATGATGAGTGCAAGACATTAGCAGATTACAAAGTCCCGCCAGCTCATGGGGTCGAGTCTTCAGAGGATACACTCCGATGGCTCTGGGAGCAAGACTTTGCAGCAGTTGCTGGTGATCAACCTAGCATGGAGGCATGGCCTTGTCAGAATACGGATTTCTTTTTGCATGAGTGGTTATTGGCGGGTTGGGGGATGCCAATTGGGGAGTTGTTTGACTTAGAGGCTTTGAGCGAAGAGTGTGAGAAGCGGGGAAGATGGTCGTTCTTCTTTTCGAGTATGCCTCTTAAGGTAAATTTATCCAGATGCCCCATGTTTATGAGCTACTGATCTGATGCTTGTTAGGTACCTGGGGGCGTGGCTAGTCCACCAAACGGTGTAGCTATCTTCTGATTCAATGATTAAATGTGGTCATATTGCGATGTTTATAGGATGAATCAACCAATGGGGATGCCAAAGAGTGGCGGGCTTTTGTATCGTAGCTCATAATAAGTCTGTCCAGCTGTTAATGTTCATCCAGTCCTGATCCGATGTGAAATTGCTGAACTGATGCAATCCCTCCCCTCCAAGCAATCTATTCCAATCAGGCGGACTCTCCGGCACCATAACTTGTTCGCCCTGCAACCTCTGTGTAACAAGCGTCTCATACTCACGATGCAGTTCCTCAAAGACACTATGTACAGCCTCCGCATTAGGCCAGTGTCTCGCCAGTAATATCGTTGACCTCAAGAGTCTCGATAACCTTTCAAGCGCATTAATTGCGACTAAAAAGGTCTGTGACGCGACAGCTGCGCGAATTTCACCAGCAAACTGTATACCAGCTGCTGTTACTGCGCTGACGGAGGTAAAGTGGCATTGGCGCAGTTCATCGCGTGCCGTAAGCTTCTCGAGCGATGTAACAATTGCTTGGGCTGCTGCTGAGCAGATTGACTGGCTGCTTTGTTCAAGGAGATTTCGGTGGAGGTGCAAAAGGAGGAGATTGTAGTGCATTCTGAGATGGCATGTCCATGAGTCGTCGTCTTCTGCGACGGTGGATATGCCTGAGCGGAGGGACCATAGACCGAGACGCGCGTCGATTGATGCTACATCTATGAGACGATCTCGCGCAGGTGCGTTGAGTGTAATAACGTCGAGACCGATGTAAGCCAGATCGACGAGGTGGTTCAGAAAGTCAGGGCTGACTCCAGATTCGGCGGTTGTTGGGTCATTACTCGGTGTATCGGTAATATCCTCCTGCTGGAGCGGCAGCTGATCAATATCCTCCGCTCTCACCGCACAAGGTCTTCCTGTCTCCAATGACGAAAAGACTTCACAGAAGAAAGCAGACCACCAACAACGTCGATACTGCGCCATCTCTGTAGATGGTAGTTGAGAGCTTCTCCGATGAGCACCGAGACCAGTACCTATTCGTACAGCAATTCCGGCCCAGTACCACGGTCCACCGGCAACTGTATCCCCGTCACCAATATGCCATGTGAACAGAGCAGCTGCTTGGAGAAGGTGCATCCGATCTGATTCGTGTCGCATATGGTACAGCATACTAGCTCTTCTGAAAAGTCTGTTCTGGACGGCATGGCGATCAGTGGCGACGAGGGGATGCGCACATGCGTGAGCGCCAGCCATGAGGACGGATTGGAACAGCAGAAGTGGCGGAGGATTATCGGGCGTACGATACCGAGCGAGAAATTCTGGCTTTGACACGATGGGCAGAAATGGGTGGATATGATCGAAGTAGGCTTGTACCAACGCATCGCGAACCTCTTGCGCCGGGAAAGAAGATACTTCCGTCACCAAGTCTTGAGTCACCCATGAGTTTGGTGTAGGTTTCCATGATTTGACCTGTCTAATCGGAGGATATGGGTAATGTAATGGCTTTCCACCTATCCTATCGCTGCTGGTGCTTCCATCTGCAGATTCTTGAAACGAGCCATGGGTATCCGGTCCAGTAGGCGCAGACAAAGGCCGTTGGTCGCCAAGAATTGAAGAATAAGGCTGCCTGAAAGAGCGATGTAAGTCGACAAGATGAACCAGGTTCGACACAGCGGTGCCGACGTAGGCGATGCGAAAGCTCTTTGTCGAAGCAAAAACAGCCCAAGCTGCAGCACCGATACCATGCTTGAAGAACCTAGCCAGTCCCTCCCGAGCGAGCTTCTCTTGGCCATCTGAGCGCGATGCATCGTTCGATGTCTTATCACGCCGCTCAGATGCAGATGAAGCCTCGGGTCCGAGCATCGAAAGATGATCATCCCGCTCAACGGCTCCGGCATCCGGATCCGGCTGCGATATTCCTGGTGATCTGCCCGGTGTATCGCGATCATATGCACTTCGATCAACCACCGAGCTTCTTCTCGCAACAGCCCATTTCGCCGTAGACCTGTGCCGTCATCAGCTTATCATTTTCGTTCTCACGCGGGCGCGTCGGAGCCGTACCGGCATTCGAACCCGGACTTTTCACAGACGGAGCATGGGCCTGATGGTCGGTCTACTATGTCGCAGCGGACTTTGCGGCGGCGGCATAAATCACATGCTTTTCTCTGCTGGCGACGACGTTTGTCTTGTAGGGACTTTTGAGGCGTCGGGTCCATGGTTGGTAGAGTAGATGAGTGGATTGAGGAGAAATCGGAACCGGTGGATCAGTGGGAGGCTGACATGAATGGTTAGTGTCGGCTCCTGAGCGGAGAGCCGAGAACGGGCATTAGACGGGGATAGTGGCATGACCAGCAATCTGGCATTTGTACAGATTATTGACGCGATTGAAGTCAATAATAAGGTCCACCGTCCCAAAATGTCGAAATCACTTATCATGAAGCAGATTGAGACCGTGGGTTGGTCCGCCTCCTTGATTCCGAAACCGGTCTCCCGCGTCAATGGTTGGAGATCAGCCTCCGTGATGTGGAGCTACCCCGTACTTGTCTCACCAATCCGACGCATGCCTCACGTCCATCAATCATCGACTCGGCCAAGAAAACACCGAACTCTGATGTTAGGTGTCAAAATAATCTTAGTTTAAAGTCCCCTAAACTAAGACTAGACTTACCTAAACGCTTTTATCACTTAGGTTAAGGTCCTGAGTTTTCTTTCCTCCCCTATTCAGCCATCATCGACAGTTACTAAATCATGACGCGATCTCTTCAAGGCTCCGTTGTTCTCGTAACAGCCGGTACATCTGGTCTCGGTCTATGCGTGGCGGAAAAGTTGATTCAATCAGGCGCCTCAGTAGTCATCAATTACGCCAACAACGAGGAACGAGCCCACGATGCTTTCATACACCTGAACGAACTAGCTGCGAAGACTTTCTCACAAGATACTGGACCGCGCTGTTTGAAAATAAAGGCTGATGTGACTAAGAAAGAAGGAATTTATGAGTTGGTCAACCAGACGGTATCTGCCATGGGGAGAATTGATGCCGTGGTTTCAAATGCTGGATGGACCAAGTTTGCTAACTTCCACGACATCGATGATAATGTTGATGAGGAAGTTTGGGATCGCTGCTATGCGGCTAATGTCAAGTCGCACATGTTCCTCTGTCACGCAGTGAAGAAGTATTTGGAGGAGGCCAAAGGTGCATTTGTTATGACTGCTTCTGTCGCGGGAGTTAAGCCCAGCGGGAGCTCAATCGTGAGTAAAATAGCAATCACCCATCTACGAGAAGATAGTGCTAAGGTTTTGTCATAGGCCTATTCTGTCACCAAGGCTGCTCAGATCCATCTAGCAAAGACTTTGGCGACGGTCATGGCACCATCAATTCGTGTCAACTCTGTATCCCCAAGTTTCATGGAAACGGTAAGCTCTGAGAGTCCCTAAATCCGTGGTATTACTGACTTGATTCTTAAGAATTGGATTGTCAATATGCCGCAATCAAAGATCGACGATGCAAGAGAAAAGACTCTCCTCAAGCAAATTGCCAAAGTCGAGGTACGCAAGCTGAAATTATCATGCCATTGGAAAAGTACTAATTACCAAAATAGGACGTGGCAGAACAGATTATCTTGCTCATCAAATCGGAATCCGTGACTGGATCCAATATCGTCATTGATGCCGGGTTTTCTATCTAGGCTTGCGAAACATACTGTAACACGAGAGTAAAATGAGATCTTAAAGTGATCGATTGGAAAGATGGGGCGGATCCGAGGATGACGCTCGGCGATTTCTCAATTCGTGGATTACTCCCGATGCTTAGATCCTACGCGCCAAGCTTGGTTCAATCTCCATACAGGGTAACCATGAAATACAACTCAGATGCAAATTTACGTATATTTACTTCAATTGGGAAATGCCTACATAGTCTAACATGGTCTGATCAACTTCTGCCTTGGAATTCATTCTCAGTTCCTTGAAATGACGTCCGTTGAGCCAGGAATGATGTATATGTTGGGGGCCGTTTGCTCAATCATCCTTATGAAGGATTCACCAAGAGTAATTGTCACTCTGCGCCTGTCACAAACGGAATGATACTAACCAACAGAGCTTAAGTCTATCACTCTTGGCAAATTGTCGCGTGACATTGAAAATGCCCAGGAACAATGACGATGATTCCCCTTGGCATATCCCCCCAAACACAAAAGCCCCCGCTTATCGCGTTACAGATCCATTCTTCAGCTTCTTTGCCGTTACAAAGTATAGTGAGCGAGCTTAAACGAATATGCCCACTTCTACAGAGTTCTTTGGTGTTACTGCCCACAATCTGGGTCCATTGACTACAACCTTCACAGCCCCTTCAGCCTGTGCAACTGGCACAGATCATCATGTCATCGTCAACGGAAGCGCACCAAACGAATTCTGGGGCCAACCGACGTGCGGCATCAAAGATCGTGGTAGCTGCATGCCCAATGGGAAATCTTACGATTCGCTGCGAAGTGTAACGACGCCGTTGGATCGGGTATGGTATCATTATTACTCGCCCGGCATAGCCTGTCCATCTGGTTGGACTACCGCCGGTAATCTAGTCAAAGACGGAGATTCATCTCTTAGCGCATCCGGTGTTTTTTCGCGCCCATTACGGACAGCTACCTTTGAGGCTCAACCACTCGAGCCTTCTGACTTCTGGGGCCAAATCATGAATGTCTCAGAGACGATAGCCTTGTGCTGCCCGAGGTATGTTGGAACATGTATTTTTGCATCGAGACCTAGACTGACAGTTCAAGTGATTACGTGGCCGACCCCCAAGGAAACTGTTTCTCAACGGTCGGTCCAATGAGTGAATTTAACTATTCATCCATGTGCTACAGCCCGGCGCCCGTGCAAGTGATAACTGTCACGAGTGTGGATGGCGCTTCGTTGACAAAGCCATTGATTTCTTTCGACGTTCAGTCAACAGCAGCAGCTTCGACATATGAAGATGATAGACTGATTACTCATTCACGATATTCATCTGAGCTTGTTGTTGCTACCTGGGTGCCTTTTGTGCCTTTGGTTCACCAACAGTCTGATCTGGATGAGGCTGAGGAGGAGGATGATGGTGATGAGAATGATGACGGAGATGACGGTGACAGTGAGGGTAGTGATGGAAATGCTGCTTCCACTAAGGCTCCTGGAAGTGGAGTTGTGAGTGTTCTTGGATTGACTCTGGGTATCTTGGCTGGAATGGGCATGCTTCTATGATATATGTTCATATTTCTTCAGCTTGACGATTTTGTTTTCGGCTGCCAAGGATTAACATTCGTTTTAATCCAGGGCAGATGTTTACGGACAACCCAATCGCATTTAAGAATTTGTGTTCAGGCTCGATGTTTTTCTTAATCTTATACCCTATTATCGAGATATGCTACCTTGAGACATTGATGAAGCTCGGCTCTGGAGATTTCCAGGTTTCTGTAACATGCGCGATGTGACGTTCACTCAATGACGTGGCCTTTTAGAGGCTAGAACTCGCACCTAATGCCTACTCGGGAAACAACCTTAATCGATTTGATCGTAGCGCAATAAGATGGACGAATGATGTGCTCAATTGGATTCACAAAACCAGGGTTATAGGCTCTAACACGGTCCATTCTCATCCGGTAGCAATCTGACACATCTGGTGTAGTAACCCCTCCAGGGGCCGCCTCAGCCAAAACTGACTATGTAATCGTATACATGAAACAAACCACCAACGGCATTCGGCAACGTTTCAACCGAACACATTTATTCACTTACAAGGCACACGGTATTACCAATGAAACCAAACCCCAAACTTGACATCCCTAGTCGTCGATTCGCAACTCCACTATAGATCAACGATTCCGCCAAGGGAAAGCTTAACAGTCGATCCCAAGTTTGAGACCTGTATCAGCATCTGGGGAACAAGTCCATTCTTGGCGTTTGGTGTATCAGCAAAGTTTCCGAAGTTAAGCTTTTGGTTGGAATCTATTTTGAGATCTTGTTTGAGAGGGTTGTAGTGGGATCTGGGAAATACATGTATAAGAAGACTGGCTTGTTCCCACCAAACATATTTCTCGTCATCCACACTCACCTCTCATTTTTCTGACTATTAAGATTCGCTTGACGCGACTAATTCTCTTCTCTTTTTGGACTGGTGCCTTTTTACAATCAATAACTGCCGGGCAGCTTTTTTTCCTTAATTGTTTAAACACAATCATTTGACAATACTCACTATGTATTTCTCCAACATCGTTATCGGTGCTCTCGCAGCCCAGGCCCTGTCGGGTGACAGAAGGCCAACTCCAGCACTAGCTGGAAAGTTCGCGGTATGTATCTTATCTTCGACTTCGGTCCACCCAAGCTAATAAGTCCCCAGGCCTTGATGGCTTCTGCAGCTCTACCAGTCTCTGGTGTCCCAGTGATTGGCCTCATCGAACCTCGATCGGTAAGTGCATACGATCTGATGCATAGTTATCCATTACTGACTTGGGCAGCCCGAGATCTTGGTGCTAGGTGGTGGTGGTCAGCAGAACCAGCAACAGGGTGGCAACGATGACGCTCAAGACGATGATCAAGACGAACAAGACGACCAGAACGAGCAAGATGACGAGAACGCACAAGATAACCAGGACGGCCAGGACGGACAAAATGGCGGTGGCAGACAAGGTCGAGGTGGTAGAAACGGCAACAATAACAACAACGGCAATGGTCAAGACAACGGCAACGGTCAGGGTAACGGCAATGGAGGCAACCAAAACAACGGAGGAAACCAGGGCGATCAAGCTACTGCCACTGAGTCCCTTGCTACCGGTGTTGACACAGCCACTGGCACCGCCACCGACGTTGCCACTGATGTCGGTGCCATCCAGAGCCGCATCGCCAATGAGACCGTCGTCACCCGATCTCTTGGTCCCGGCCAGCTTCTCCCCCCGGGCCAGACTGATGCTGTCAACACTCCTGGCCAGGAGACTCCTGCAGCTACCCCTACAGGTGCTGCCGGCGAGACACCTGCTGCCGGCGATACTGCTGCCGTTACTGAAGCCCCTGCTGCTACCAACACTGCTGCTGCCGAAGCTACGGTCACTGTCACCGCTACGGTCACTGTTGACAACGGTAATGGCAATGGTAACGGCAACGGTAATGGACGGGGACGAAACAGGGGCGGTAACAATGGCAACAACGGCAATGGCAACAATGGCAACGCTGGCCAGAACAACGGCAATGATGCTGCCAATGGGGGTAATGCTCAGAACGGAGACAATGCCCAGAACGGAGGTAACGGAAACAACAACGGTAACGCCAACGACGGCGCTGCTAACAATGGTGGTGCTGCCAATGGAAACAAGGGCAACGCTGGTAACAACGATGGCGCCGCTGCAGGAGGCGACGCCGCTCAAGGTGACAATGCTGCTGGCGCCGCTGGTGCCGGAGGTCTTCTGGGCAGCATCCTTGAGCGCCTGACAGGAGGAGCAGGAGCTGGTGCAGCTGCCGGTGCCGGTAACAACTAGACGACTCGTATCTATTTGCAGGAGGGATCTCTCTGATATGATACTGGGATTGACTGGTGCAGGACACCGGCGAGCAGGCCTGGGATGATAGATTGGTTCTCGGTGTAGTGTAGTTATATGTACTAGTAATCCAACCGGCTTCTGAACTTTCTTTGCCTCATACCCAAAAGTCTTCTTCATCATGATTATCTGGATTCAACTTGCAGTCCATCAGTGTACGAGCCTCCTGGTTCATCCCCTCCGGTATAAGCCAGAAGCGGTATTGTGGCCCCTCGTCATGTCTATAACCGTGTGCCTGGGGGTCGATAGCGCTCCAGAGTTTGTAATATTCACGAGGCCGCTCAGTACCCTCTTTACGAAAATCATAATCTCTGGCCATGAGCCGCAACTCTTCTGTGACCAGTTCAACCAGTGATGCATCGTCCGTAGCGATTGTGAACATGTTGATATTTTCCATGAATCTTCGAACATCTTCGATGTATTCGATTACCTCCAACAGATTTGCTGTTTCTGACGGGACGTCGGGTGTAAATCCATCATATCTCCAGTATGTATTGAATTGAGATTGGGGACCGAAATAGAGGACTCATGTCGATCTGGCCAAGAGGCGGTCTTTGAGGAATCCAGTAGCGAGTCTGATGACAATTATATCGCCAGCTGGCACTATGGGTCCTGCCGCCTCCAATCTGGCTCCAAGGAATGATATTTGCTTCTCAGGGTTGAATTTGATGAGTTCGTCGTACGCAGTATCCTGGAGAATAGGAAGCTTGCTTGGGTGGAAAAGTTTATTGACTTCCACGTTAAATACTTCCTCTTCATCTTCGTAATCCTCCTCCTCATTGTCCTCATACTCTTCTTCCTCTTTGTACTCTTCTTCCTCACTCGAGGAAGATTCACAATTCAGGAAGTCTTCTGAGGCAGACATTTTAGCCGATGGGTGCTTAATTGAAGGTTTACTGATGCTCGTGCTCAAGATCGTGGATTTCTCACCGCCAATTGTAAACCCTAGACCAGTTGGCTGCATAAGCCCTGCATAGCATTGGTGCATAACTTACAGATAAGATAAGAATTCCCATTGCCAGCATTTATCCGCTTTTTCATAAAATTCCAACATTATAAGCGGGCAGGCGGGCTTATCCTTCATCAATTGAAAGCGCGATTCGCAAGCGCATCAGCAGCCACGTTCATCTGTCTTGGGACGTGCCAAAACTTGATCTCCATATTCCGACCACCAGACCAAGTCAAGTCAAGTCATCAATGATGTCTTTGATCTCCAGCAAGAAATTCCAGTGCGCCACCCTTTGACCTCGGGAATTTCTACCACAATTATCCATCCATGCACTCATATACTCCGTAAAGGCTCGGACCAGATATAAAGAGTCTGACACAATGTAAACTCTTTTGAGACAGAGCGGTAACTCATCACGTATCATCTCCAGTGCTACGAGCAAAGCATAAAGCTCCGCGTAAGTGCTGGTCTGCGGCGCGTTGGGCGGCAGAAGACTCCAGTTGTTGTACTGCGAGTTGGGACCAAAGAAAACTCCCCAGCCGCCTCGGGCATACTGTGTTCCATTTCGTCGGCATGCTCCGTCGATTTGAATAGCCACTGAAGATTCATCTTTGACCAATTGGTAGGGCCCTGCAAAGTATCGAATATGTTGAATGCCTATACGCCGGTTGTAGGCTATGAGTACGTCCTTGGGAACATTCCGGTGTTGTTGACTGTTATCTGGGTTGAATAATTCGATGCTGGACTCGTATACGTCGCAGTCTTCAACAACTTCACACCACCCACAGTAGCCAGTTGTCTCTATAATCATTTTTGTTGTTTTTGGGTACATTAGAGGACGAAGATTGCAAGAAAAGGGGTGAAATGAGCATGCATTCATTTCATCAGTAGACAGTCATTTTATTACGATTGATTAGACGAAAGGCTATCTTGATATCAACCTTGCCCATTGCAGTTAGCGTTAACAATGGCCATGTGATGATAAGATAAGAAACGTCTGAAAGCCGACTACCCTAATCCAAGCCAAACATCGGCGACAGGAATATTCCTTGCGCTCGCGTGGGTTACTAGAGGGCATCCAAGTTGCACGTCTTTCCACTAAGTGCATAAGATAATATCCTAGATGGCAAAGGGCTCCTACAGCACAGATCAGGTGTTGGGGACATAGTAGCTTGCGAACGGGCCGAAAGACGCCTCGGTCTCGGAACACGGTAATAGCGGGGATATACACCCGAGCCTCGACACGTTTTTGACAACAGTAGCTACGTCTAAGCGCATCCTACAAATGAATGTGAGCCAATAGAACGTAAAAAGCAGAGATCGGGCGCTCGGGTTTTTCTGATTTCCCCAGATCTCCTTGTGATCCCCGGATTTTGTTCCGCGTTCAAAACCCCCACTCGGACCGTCGATCCTTGTCGAGATCGTCTGTTCTTCGCCCCAACCACGCTCTTGCGAGATATCAGGCCATGGAACTTGTGACGTGTTGAAAAGCTTTGATCTTTCTCCAGCTGACGAGTTCTGACTGGGGATATTGGATGCATGCGGCAGCGTTATCGGTGCCGACATTTTGTTGAGAAATCTTGGTTGCCAAGCATATCCCTGCAAGGTGGCATTTGTGCAACACCATGATGCATCCTTGTTTCATGTCCTATGTGCTTTTCGGCGACAAATTCGATCTACGATAAACTCAATCTTGCCTGTTTGCCCTTCAGACTTTCAACTAGATCTCAGTGTCCAGATCTGCACATCAGCTCTGACTAGTTTTTCCTGACTCGAGTTCCTCGGAACCCTCCATCAGGTGATATCTCCTCCTCGGAACATGATCACATTTGCCGTTTCAACCTCCCCGCATCGATCCTTCGCCATGCATGCCGGGCCAACGGGCATACATGATGTCAAAGCGACAAGTCAAAGCAATCCACAGAAACAGACAAGCTCCTCTTGTCCGTTGCTCTTTACCAGATTTGTTACTCGAATGGTTGAGATGCAGATAAGAAACACCCTTCTGGATCCACTTCGTGTCACCTCATTTGACCCCTCACCATCAGACCAACAATCACCCTGTTTCCGCCCTGCTTCGAAAGATCCTGCGGAATCATGCCCGCATGGAATGTTGCCTGATGTTAGTTCGGTGGATCGATCGGTACTCGAATGATATAAAAACTCAACATCCTCGCTCCTGTCTTTACAGATATTTCAACTCCAAAACCTCTGAAACAGCCTCCTTTGATCAAGCATCACCTCCAACTCATAATGTCAATTCCCTCTCAGCAAAGAGCAGCAGTCCGTCAAGGACTTGGCCCAGAAGCAACAGCGCCCATCCGTACAGTCGACGTTGAGAAGCCCGGCCCAGGCCAAATTCTCGTCAAGATCACTTGGACGGGCCTCTGCGGCTCTGACAAGTCTCTCCTGCACAATGATTGGAAGGACTTTGGCGTCAGCATGATGGATGCTTCCAAAGGCATCGCTGGACACGAAGGTGCCGGTAATGTCGTGGCTGTTGGTGAAGGCATGGAGAATAGGTGGAAGATTGGTGATCGTGCTGGAGTGAAGTGGATTGCCAGTACTTGTGGCGAATGCGACTTTTGCAGGTCCGGTACTGATGAGGTTCACTGCCCTAATCAGACCAACAGTGGATTTTCTGTCGCGGGAACATTCCAGGAATATGTTATTGCGGATGGAAGATATACTTCAAAAATTCCAGATGGTGTTTCTGATGAGGAGGCGGGACCGATTATGTGCGGAGGCGTAACAGCATACACAGCTTGCAAACGGTAAGTCAAAACACCCGCTACCATATAAAATACTAATGCCTTTGAGATCTGGAGTTACACCAGGCCAATGGCTAGTTATTCCCGGCGCTGGAGGTGGTCTCGGCCATTTCTGCATCCAATACGCCAAAGCTATGGGCATGCGAGTCATCGCTATCGATGGCGGTGACGAAAAGCGAGATCTATGCCTCAAGCTCGGTGCTGAAGTTTTCATTGACTTCAAGACAACAAAGGATATCACCGCTGAGGTCATCAAGATTACGAAATACGGCGCTCACGGTGTTATCATCACGGCTGCTACACGAGCGGCGTACGAGACAGCCCCCAACTACCTCCGTCCTAATGGTACTGCTGTGGCTGTTGGTCTTCCTCAAGACCCTACTGTCATTGCTGGTGCACCTCCAATGGCAGTTGCTCTCCGCCGATTGAAGATCGTGGGAAGTGTCACAGGAAGTATGAAGGATGTTGAGGAGGCTCTCGACTTCACTGCTAGAGGTCTCGTTCGAGTAAGTTTAACGAAGGATACAAAAATCTAATAGCAGTATTCTAACATTTTGTAGCCAATTCTTTCCAAGGGGAAGCTTGAAGACCTTGATCAATGGATCAAGAAACTTGCTACCGGCCAAGTCGCTGGACGATGTGTTTTGGAAGTTGCTGCTTAGGACATTTACCGGGGAGTGAAATGAGATTCAGGTTCATTGATGGCCGATTTGTTGACAGTTGGTGCTTGAGGAGTTTAGTTGGAGTGAATATGGCCAAGGACGGGCGTCAGTATATCGGGGTGGAGTTGGTGGAATGTATGACTGAATAAACCCGAGTATAAACATGTTTTTTTTGATATGACGCATGACCGTGACTCATTTTTTTCATATTCATATTTCCCTTTACTACATATTTAACCCAGTCGAACCGAGATGGGCAATCACCTTCACCATGTCCTCCTACAATGTCTAATATGTTATCTAGATGTGTTATTTGAAGTTGAGACTTGTGGCTGAGAGCTTATCCCGGCACACGGAACTTAGTTAAGACCATGTCCTCCAGTACTCCTCAACCTTACCCACCTCACCCCGTTCCAGCTTTTCAAGCTCCGCATAGAACGCGACCTTGTTCAACTTGTAGTGCTCTGCGATTTTCCTCGCTGTCCAACCATCTGCGTCTATTTTATTTGCATCGATTCCCTTTTGCACCAGATACCGACTCCTAAAAATCAATCTGTACTGGTCAAGCCCAGATCTTGCAACGATATGCAACAAATTTCCACCTTCTGATGTCTTTGCCTTCCAATCATAGCCGGCCTCGTCCAGAGCCTTGAAAACCTCAGTATCGACGTCACGCCAAGGGACACCTTGATCATTGTCCTCGTCTAGCCAATTTTGTAAATCTTGATCCTCGTTCTTGTCAGAGGAGTGAAAAGCATTTTACTTATCTTCGCCCATATGGCCATTATCGTCCAATATGAGCTCTGCCACAGTCTTCCCGGCGTTGTTTCGCATATTTATATCACCGCAAAACGCTATCTTTAACAGGTCATGAAACAGTTGTCGCTTTCCTGCCCCGTACCATTCGGCAGTCAAATCGTCATCAGCTAAGTAATGCAGCGCGGTGTTTCCCTTTCTGTCTTTGGCTCGAGGATCAGCACCAGCTCTTATAATATCCTCGACACACCCAAGAGGCTCTCCCTTGGCAACGGGGTCATCGCTTTCGGCTAAGGGGTGGAGGCGCATCCGCCGAAGAGCTGCATGTAGTGGATATGTTCCATCGTGGTCAGGTTGCTCGACCAAAGACTGGTATCTCGACGAAAAGATGCGTAAAGAACGCCGAACTATAGGTGAATCCGCATCTCGATTATTACTGACTTCGACGAGGAGGTGATGCAATGCGTTTTTGCCTTGATTGTCTACCGCGAGAGGGTCCGCTCCAAGCCGGAGAAATACCTCAATCAAAGATTCCGAGCCTGGCTCCGAGAAATCTGACTCACTCGGCCCCAAAAACCGATCCCAACTTGGAAAGAACTTCTGGCCTGCTTCTCCTTTTTCCACTCTCCAATCAACATCCACCAAAGCGGTCCCAGCAAGTATGTCGGCTCCAGCTGCACTTCGACACGCACTGAGCAGGGGTGTACGTCCTTGGGGATCACGATGTTCAAGGTCTAAAGATTCCAGAAAGCCGGGATAGTCCATCAAAGGCTTGAGCCAAATCCCGTCCTCGATGATGGCATGTACAAGATGCCGAGCCCCCCAAACAGGCGTTGGTTTCTCATCGTCCCACTCGTCATCCGAAAAGTGCGGATGGTCAAGATCATAGTCTTTCAACGACTCAAGACTACTGACTTCAAGGGGGTAGTCTGCGACTGGAGTTCGTGTAGGGTCCTCACCAGGGAACGACGCTCTGCTTCCAGAGGAATGTCTGGGACTGCGTAGAGCTTGCGGAAATTCAAGAAAAGGGTTGGATCCATGCCGAAGAAGCGAAAGAATCATTCGCAGTCTTTCATTCTTGAACACTGGCTTGCTGGAGAATGTGTTGGCAGCACAGTAAAGAGGAGGCTGAAACTGCTCTCCATACAGTTCAAACTGTGGTGGTGGATCTCGAGCATCCCAAAGTGGCTCAACAGAAGAGAGTAACTCATGAGCTCTCTCTGGCTGATTGTTGGGGTCAGCTCCTAAAGATAGCTCTTGGTCCAAACGATCAGGAGAACCGTGGCCCCAAGATTGGGAGCAAATAAGCGAGAGCTCATTGACTTGATGGAAGGGAGAAGTTGGACGCATTTTGTTCTGCAGGTTAGGTTTTAGGGATGGTGAATATGTTCAAGAGTCGAATTTTGCTGGGCAAAGGAAATCATCAGCTTTAAGAGGAGTTTACTGTTTTATACAGAAAGCGGGCCGGGTGAACCACGATTTCAGCTTTCAATTGGCTTGTTGGTTGTTAGTCTGTAACATACTTTCGGCCTTTTACAAGCTAGGTAGCTGAAAGTAAAATTCCCTGCTACAGCTGTGTGATCTTTGATATGACTCACTCTTCGAGTGCCGGATAGCCGGGGTGAACCAACCCAACATCCCAAGTCTCACAAGCATAGGCCTGTTTTGAGGCACCGAGCATACGAGGATATTATAAAACCGAGACTATCATAAGCTCTACGATCCAATTCCAGTGTTACTCTAATGGTTGAAATCAGGAACATAATGCCTCTACTAGTTGCCAGTAGTATTTCTGCCACCGCTGGATACCTTATTCTACCAAGCTGTCATATATCAGGTATTGGACGCAGAAAATAACGGCTTAAGGCTAGGCAATCCTTTGAGGTAAGGATGTATGTCATTAGCAAGGTCGAAGGTCTCTGTATGCAGACTTGGAGTAAACTGCACATCAAGATTCGTTTCTGAAAATCTCTCACCATGAAGGGTCAATAAATTTCCTTTAGATTTAGCATGTGAATAGAATAAGATAAGTTTTTAGTAATAATCGGCCATCTACTTATGATCACATGGGTGTTCAACCTGTCGGGTCAACTGTTCTTATTGTCCCTGACACCGAGAAACTTCGAGTATTAGACCATCTCTTCTCGCGACGAGAGAACTCAACTCTTCTTCTTTAACCCAGTCCTCAATGAAGATAAACTTGACTGATAATAAGTTGGGAAACCGATCTGGGTAGATGAGAGTGTCCAGAAACTCCTCGAGCTGGCTGAGGATGTTTCTTCCACAGCTATGTATCTCAAGATACTGCAAGTACCCTGGAATGCAATCAACAACTCTTGGAGCTTGAATAGATGCATCCTCTGTGTAGTGATATACCACGCCATTACCTAGAACTCCACAGATGTCCTGGGATCCTAGAACTAAGCTTTTCAGTTTGTGCATCTGTCGCAGCTCAGTGCCCATATACAATCGTTCCCGTGGTCCGCGTAAGCAAGTCCTTGTGAGGGCTTCCTCCATGAAATCAAGATGAAGATATTCCAGGCTCTTGTCATGGCGCAATAGAGCTTCCATGATATCCCGGGCTATCACTTCGAACTCATCATATTCTGTCCATTTTGTTAAATCGCAGGTATATGTGAACTTCCTAAGGTCCTTGCAAGCCCCGATTAAAGACTGTATGGCTCGGGTTACACACCAACTATCTCGTAAGATGATTGATTGAACGTTCGAGCACCCTTCTTTCAATGGATCTAAGTTAAACTCCTCCATTTGATCGCTGACTGCACCAACGCATTCATATGATCGAACACTGGGAATGCGAAAAATCCATTGTGCGTTATTATAGAAAGGGCGCCATCCGTGCCAGCTACCTTTCGCCTCATGCTTAACAATCTCCAACTTGGTTAGCAACTGGCAGGGAGGGAGTTCAACCCGTCTCATTCTGAAGGCCCCAGTAGCAGCCACTAGCATCCTGCTGAGGCAACCTGGATCGCGAGGGCAGCCGTATGTCAAAGTTTTGATCTCGGTGCACACAGCGAGTAGAAGATCCACGGCGGCGCCTTCGATGCCTTTTTCCAAAGTCCGTATCCAGTTGTTTGCCTGATACGGATGATATCCTAATTTCTCGGAATATATCTTCGAAATTAGTTGCTTATAGAAAATCATATCATTAACATCAATGTGAACCGTTCCATAGCGACCGCTATCATCCAGCCAATCATACGTCCTGATCGTGCGAACGTGCCGGGCAAGTTCTGGCTTAATGATTGAAACGTAGGAAAGAAACTGCACAATGCGGGAGCGAACGACAGAGCCTTTCTTCGGCTCTTCGGCTCTTGGTACGTCGTGAAATGTTTGGACTGAGAAACGCAGTGCAATTGCGTAGAGTTGTTTGCACGAAAATAGAAGTGAATGAACGGATTTGAAATGAGTCGAGTCGGCAACAAGAGATATTATCTGGCTCTGGATCTCTGGGGGGAGAGTGAGAATGAAAGCTTTCTGGTTCGCCGAAGAAGTCATTTTGAACTTTTCGAAGAAACTGATAATGTGAGAATCGTGAAGTAAAGAGGACACGGCGCAGAGAGACATTTTTATCATATGATGACCCCACATTAATCTTCGCTTGCAGAACCAACAACATTGCATAATAGCCGTAGATTTGCCATTAATCTTATGATTAAGGTAAGCCACGGCAATGCTATTGAAGGCAGCACGGTGTTAGCGGTACAAGACCGACCTGTACTTCTTCGTCCTTGGCCCCATTCAACGCGACTACGAGACGATATAGCGTCTTGAATGAATCTTATCTTATCTGATCGCTTGCCATGAAGGTGATTGGCAGGAACATGCCGTAGTGGATACTCGAAGATCCCTCGGCTGTAAGATTGACATGAAAATTCATCAAAAAGCTCCCCCTTTACCAACCCAAAACTACACTAGTCTCATTTAGTTACCGCATTTCAACGACGATATCACGAACTTCTCACAATTTCTTAACAAGATACATGCGGCCTTTCTCCAGAGCTCATTTATACTTTCTATTGCCTTGTCTCATATAGGAACTTCTCTGATGAGCCATGACTACGAGCGAGGATCACGTAAGAGATGCAGAGCTACAATATCTTGCCAATCCTTTGAACGGCAGTCATTTGTCAGACGGAATTGACGGCTCAAGTCATGGTACGACTACATACTCTCATCATGCTTGATAAATGACTAACTATTGCCAGACAATCGTCCACCTATTCCTGGTTCAAGTTGCGAAATCTACACCTTCACCGACGAAGTCATCGTCCCCTCATCAGCACCAAAATCTCACCCCTATCTCCTCGTCAACATCGGCTCAGGCGTATCATTCTTCCAGGTCTCAGAAAACAACCAATGTCAGCGTATCTCGGGCTCATCATTCGGCGGTTCAGCTTTATGCGGTCTACTCCTTCTACTCACCAGAGCTCGTACATATGAAGATATGCTTGAACAAGCTGAGAAAGGAAACAATGCAAATGTCGATAAACTGATTGGAGATATTTATGGAATGGACTATAACAGAATTGGCATGAAGATGACAGCCGTTGCTTCAACATTCTGCAAAGCTTTTAGTCTGGAGCATAGACCTGATGCTGAAATTCAAGAGGCGGAAAACCCCATGCGAGACATCAAGTCATTTTCAGATGCCGATATCTGTCACTCCCTGGTTTTCGCTGTTTTCAACAACATCGGTCAACTTGCCACGTTGCATAGTCGAATTCATGGAAACCCGGATATCTACTTCACTGGACCTTATGTGCAAAACTGCCAACTGCTCATCAGGACCTTGTGCATTGCAGTGCGCTACTATTCCCAGGGAGAGAAGAAGGCACATGTTGTTGTCAATCAAGGCGATTCGACTGCTTAAAGACTTGTAAAACAAGAATAGCATGTGGGACATCGTCAGCATAAATAAGCGAGTTAGATCATTATAGAAATTTGTAAGCTTGTATGTACATGATATCTTCTTCCTCATTCATATGTAGTTCTCTCAGCCCAATGCCTCCAGACAATATCTTCACCTCCCTGTTTCAACGGGTCTATCAGGTCTAAAGGTCCTCGAAGCGTTTAGTTTCTCCTCAAGCTCCTTCCCATCAGCCATCCTGTTCCGTCTATGCTCGGTTCCCTTTTGTAGATGCTCCCGAAGCTTTGCCCGAGTGTCATACTTCTTGTTATCGCAATCGGGGCAGCGATAAACCACATCCACTGCGAATCGCTCCCACTGTTCTGTCGCGGCGCGTTGACGTCTTACCTCAACGGCTTTCTTGGCGATACAGTTGATGTACTCACTTACTCTAGGTCCGGCCAAATAGCGTCTTGTTTGCTCTTCGATGAACTTGAGCGTTTCTTCGCCAGTGTTTGAAGGGCGCCAGTCATCAAGAGGGATGGTATGAAGGTCGCCTTCCACGTTGAGCCTGTATAGGTGCTCTGTGAATTTGATCGCTCTGCAGTGGCCTCGCCACCCATTAGTGCCGTTCATGCCTTCACAATCCACCATCCAGTTCTTCCATTCTTTCCCTATCTCGATATACTTCTTCAAGAACTGCTTGCGTCTGACATCATCTCTGGTCGCAGCCCTCCTGAGAGATCTGATCTCGCCATTGGTCTCTCTGGGTGCACCGTTTCTCTGGGCATCCTTAGAGGCCTTCAGACCTGTCCCAATGCTGACGAATAGGGCTGGAACTAGGCCGTGAAGATTATGAATCTCTCGTATGACAATTAGCGATGGATTGTTGGCTACCATACCACCGTCGAGGAACTTTCTTCCTATGATCTTGATAGACTCAAAGTACCTTGGTGCGGCAGTCGTTGCTCGAGCTACCTCCCATATCGCAGTGGTATGGGCAGGTCCCGCATTGGAAGGGTTCCAGAGATTAGAGTCATGTGCCTTGGGGCTAAAGTCATTGTCATAACTTCTCCAGACAAACTCTTTGCTAACGCCGCCTTCTTTGTTGATAGCCCAAGAGATGGCGATACTATGTAATCATTAGCAAATTAGGAATGAATCAAATTGTGCAGGGACCTTACGTTCTGGTTCGGTCTTCTCTGTACTTCAGTGGTTCTGTTTCTGCCTCGCTGGGGAAGCAAACCCTTTCTGGTGAATTTTGTCGAAGGGAATCTCGTCGAAGAGTCTGGTAGACAACCTCTTGGAACACTGCCTGTGTCTTTCGATATGAAAACTTTGCTCTGGGATACCAAAGAAACGAACGCTCGTGAAACCACCTAGGTTTACCGCATACGGCATTTCCGAATGCTTTGTATGTGTCCAAGGCTTCATCAACTGACATACGTAGTCTTCCCAGTATGATGCTACTCAAACTGAGTGGGATCAGTCTCGGAATCTGTAAGACATAGGTTCTGGTAACTTACCTACCAGTCGAAGTCCCAGCGACATAGTCAAAATAGTGACAAGGAAGATACTCACCAACTCTTTCTGACTCTGGGTTATCTTCATTGGCGTTTTGATCACGGTTTCCCATCCAGGGGTAGTAGCTGCTCTTGTAGGCTGGCTCATCGTGATTGCGCTCTATATCTCGTATCCGAGTTATGATACGCTTCAACACCAAAAGACTTACGTACCCGCGAACACCGCCACCGTCTGCAACACAGCTGTAAGTGTATGACTCGACAAAGTGGAGATGAAATGTTACCGAATGTCAAGATTATCTTCTAAGCCCAAGGCCCTTCCTCATCTGAGATGTGCTCAGGTCCGCGAATAGGAATTGAAGGATCGGTATCCGCGCTACTCGCTCCACTGACTTAGGGATGTAGCATACGAGAAGTCTCAGGCGGTGAAGATGCCATATCGTTTCTACTTCCAGGAATGAAGAAATGCAAAATAAAGGATTGTGTGCTAGCTGTGAGAGCCTTGTCCCATCTGGCAACGAAATAGAGGTATCTAACGCAGAACCCATGGTATCATTTTATGCCTCGCCAAACGAGGCTCCGAGAGCGCTTCAGAATCGGGCGCTTGATGGTGTGCAAGGCAGCCTGCTGCAGAGACCGCCCATCCTGTACGACTGTGATATCGCCCACATGCTTCCAAATATGATAGCAACCTGTTCATTCTGGCAAATAGGGCGGTAATCCGATACGCCACGCCCGGATAACCTGCATTGCCTTCTCCAGATGGATATGTCTGGGCTCGTCGACCGAAATTGAGTCAGTGCAGCACTACGGGAGCAAAAGAAATAGCTACTTGCTTCAATAACCTGTTGACTCTATACAGCATCGAAACCTAATAAGCTTCTCTAAAAGGTATCTATTCTCAAAAGATGTTTAGAAGTTAAGAAAAGGTTCTAGGCGCCGAGCAAAGCCATTGTAATGATATGCGCGCGGTCAATGAATGGCTTGAAATATTGGCTGCTGTGTAACCAAACCCCACCCAATAATCCCGCACAACCTCCGTCAGTCCACTGGCCTGGCCACTCTCTTCACTGTGTTTTGGTTTCCATTGGACTCTCTGTCGTTGTGAATCCCAGCACATCTGCAACAACTTTCAGCTGAAGTCTCATGGCTTAATAAATGGCGATCATTGCTTGTGACATTGACGACACTCTCCGTGCGGATGGACATCCTGTTCTAATGGGGTCACTCGGTTCGCCACCAAGCCTGTCATCATGCATACACCGGTTATGGAAATGGGATAAAGGTGCAGCTGACCAAGGATCTCTCCGGCTGACTTGCATCGTCGGATGAACTGCTATCTTCAACGATCCTGGTGAAATGTTACAATTACTACATACGAACAGTCCGTCTCCCCGAAAGATGTCTAAAAACCATGTAATGTCCGAAAATACCCAAAGTGGCGCACGCAGCCCGCTGCCGAATCTGCAAATAATATTCGAAATAATCACAATCTCCCGTAATCATCACACCAAGTCATAGGCTCCTGCTGACCATCCTTATGCATTCACGACGTAGAGCTGAGGCCCATCCCCGAGAAGTCTATGCAGGTTGTACCGGACCCCCATGCTCCAGAGATTGACCTCCGCGATCAACTCCTTCGTATTGTCCGGTCGGCACATGTAGATTGGGACATTGCTCTTCAATCGGGGAATCTCGACCGTGAAATCTTCTTTGCCTGTCGATTTGTTAGCAAGGAGCTGTCGCCAACTGATCACCATACCTTCAACGTCAGCTTTGTCGACCGGTCGGACTTGGTCTGACTTCATGTCGAGCACTGCGACTGGATTACCATGATACCCCATGCCAGCAGCTCTGGGACGAAGAGAGGATACAGGCTTGGAGATACTAGATCGAGTGGACATGGGTCGTTTCTTTGCTTTGGCGCCTCAGGCCCTGATGGAAAGGATTTTATTTTGTCTTGATAGATGATGCCTTCCAGAGCCTTCTTTGTGAAAAGCGGGGGAAGCGCTATACAAATAGGAGTTCTGTTATTTAAGACATCGGCGCCGATCGGAGCGTAAGAGTGGCGTTGTTCTGTAGGTAACTGTGTGTGATTGCCAAAACATCTGACATACCTTCAATTCGACCAGCAAGATTTTACACTTCGGGCACTGGCATTTTACCGCCTGATGGATGCATCCTGCCGCCGCAATTGCGAGTCTTGAGTCAAGTTGGGGGCCACCATGTGACCAAGTAAGGCAGAATTATGACTTGTGTAACACACCTCGGCGTCTTATTTGCTGGAGATAGGACTACTCAAGAAAGCCGCCCCGCGGAAAGGTCATCGACGTTTGGGGTCTGGTGAGTTCAGCCGCACCAGCCGTTCCCTGATCCTTGGCAATACTTGTCACAATTTCATATGCAGGGAGCCATTTTCGTTGTTCGAGTCCTGCGAGGCACTGGTGAGGCCATTTTTATTGCTTACTTGTACGACTGTGGTAGCGCCACGGCAATGACTGGAATTTGGCATTCTTCTTCTCGAAAGACCAGAACCACTTGATCATAATATTATTTTTGAAGGTGACTTCCAGGTCGTATATGGTCAATATCAACGCCACCTTTTCGCCTTTGTTCTTGGTAGGCATCCCATGGCCGAACGTGGGCTAATCTTGCTATACCACGTCTACCTAAAGGCACAAAACTTCTAGCCCAATGACTGAGCACTTGGGAGTCATAGTTGCGGCTATGCAATGACAGACAAAAAATTGAAACAGGTCAGAGTGTTACTCGGGCCATTCTGCCAGTCCTATCACCCAATTAGTCACGGGTCGAATACAGATCTGAAGCGCGTTCAACTGCGTGTTGCTGCTACCATTATCTACCAGTGTTTGATTGGACTACTGCCAGGTAGGCAATTCGAAGGGGAGCCTTCAAGAAGGAAGGATAATGTCGCATGTGATGTCACAGAAGAGTTTCAAGTACATGTTTGAAGATTAATATTGCTTGAAGAAGTATAGATATTATGACTAGAAAATATTACGAATACGTGAGCCAACCGTGCCAAGCATTCCTCATGCGCTCCGCCCTGTCTACTGTCAAGTAAGCAGAGTTCGCAAGTCTCTGCTGCAACTCCTTGAACTTCGCAGTAGGCGCCCCCTTCTCAAACAACATATCCAACTCAAGGTACGATAGACCCTTGGTCTCAGGCAGACGGAAGTAACAGTAGACGAGACAAAGGAGAGCTGTACCAGCGTAGACGAAGCATGACTTTCCCTGCATATTCCAAGCGGTAGGGTTTAGCATCTGAGGAACGATGACGTTGTTGATGATCATGAAGATATTGTAGACAACACGAGCCAACGCGATAGTCTTGACACGAAGACGGGTAGAGGGGATCTCGGCGACGATGACATAGCATGTTGGGCCGATGCTCAGGTTGTATAAGAATGTTGTTGTGATGAGGATAGCTCCGAGGGACCAGTTGAGACCCTTTTGGCCATCGAGGACGACAGAGAGAATACCACCAAGGGTAAGCATGAAGACAGCAGCGACAAGGCCAGTGAGGTACAACTTGCGACGACCAATATGAGACAGAAGGAACCAAGAGATCATGCCTCCGACCAAAGCCATACCATACATGCCAGTGGAGAGACTGAAGGACTTGGACGAGTCAAAGCCGGCCTGCTCAAGGAAGTAAGGAGCGTAACCAGTCAAGATCCAACCACAAAGAGCTTGGACAGACCAAACCATGCAGCAGATCTCAGTTCGTCGAAGGTTGGCACCCTTGAACAAGTCAAGATAGCTCGAGCCACCATAGTTGAGCTTACGTTCAATACGGTTAGTATGCTCCATGACAGCAATGGTGTCGTCAATATCCAGCTGCGACTGCTTTGTCAAGCGCTGCAGAGCATGGCGCGCTTCGACCTTGCGCTCACGACGGATGAGCCACCATGGACTTTCGGGGGCAAAGATGATGCCGATAAGGAGAGGGATGGCAAAGGCCCATTGAAGGGCAAATGGGATACGGTACGACCACTCTGAGTTGTTGTGGACGAGAGACTTGAGGATACCGGTACCAAGAAGTTGACCGATGACCCAGCACATATTGGTCATGCTGAGGAGACAGGCACGGATGGCTGAGGGGACAACCTCGGCGGCGTATGTAGCAGCGAGAGTTTGGATGACACCCCATGAGATACCTGAGTGAGGGTTAGTCTTGTGTGTCAAAGTGAATGATGATTGAGATGCAATGGATGTATGAGAGAAAAGATGAGTGAGAGACATGTACATACCACAAAGAGCCTGAGAAGCGACCAACACGCCGATGTCATGGGCAAAGAACGCCGGGAAGACAGCAAGACACATCCAAGCAAGACTAATCAACATCATCTTCTTATACCCGATGCTGTATGTTACCCAACCGTGAAGCAACAGACCAAGAACCTCGCACGCAATAGCCGAGACCTGAAGCGCCGTCTGCCATAACGGCGAGATCTCATAAATCGGACCATTCGGCGTATCAAACTCCTCGCCATACCGTCGTCGAAACGCAGGAAATGCGACAAATCCAGCGACGAGACTCTTATCGTACCCCTCCATAACAACAGTGAGGAACAGCAGCAGCGACCAGAAGATGGCTTTGGGGAATTGCTTGCAGCATCCCAAGATGGTCATCTCCTTCTCATTGTTCAGCGCGCGACGGACCTTCTCGCCCGTGTCGTCGGAGCTGTGCGACCCGCGGGGAAGCCATAGTACCTCGATGGCATTCTTGTTGGGGTGATTGTCTGGTAGGTCAAACGTCGGGTCTGGGATGGGGGGGTTAGTGTGTTGGTTTGGATCGTGTACTTTTGTCTCGATCTCTGTGACGCGGAGGATGCCGGACTTTGCTTGGACTGGCAGCAGGACTATCTCGTCCTTGCTGCTACCATTGTCCGAGGCTGCTTTACCAGAGCCGAACATGGTGTCTTGACTATTTTAGTGAGAAAAAGATGAGATGATTCAGAGGAAAGGAATGAATGCCTTTCGGCGGAGTCATGAATGAATGATCGGCATGGTCCTTGGGGTTACATCCTACAACGGGCCCTGACATGACATATATAGGATCGGCGCTGTCGAGTCCCCTCCCGCTTGGGTATTTTCGTTACAGTGCATCAATCAGTCTGAACGTCGACTCGACTGGGGAAAGTGAATCAAGGACCCATGCACCCCAGGTTCTGGTAGCTTGCAACTCTGCCTTCTATCACGGCCTCACTCTCGGCGTTTCTCACATTTTGGCGGCTTGCGGAGGTGGATACCGTACTTCAAATACTGGAGAAAAAAGTCGGATGAGAGAGGGTACGCTAGCTGGGCATTTGCCCTATTGGGTCTAAACATCCGATCAATTTTGCGGGTGAGCGTTGCAGAGAAACTCTGAGAAATGAAAGAAGGCAATTCAAGGTTGCAGACATTGTCTTTTCCACGTGGTATTCCAGAAGCTTTGACAACAAACGGCGATCTTCACGATGCGGCTCAAGATGGAGGCCGTTTGAGAGTGATCAAAAATGCCGATCTGGGAACGGGGACTAGGGGGAGCTACATACACGTTGATTTGTCTTACCTGCTTTGACTCGACTTGCATGGGATCCTAGATGAGCCGTTGGGTGGTTAATTGTGTGACCGAATAGTCATCATCCTTCGCGTCACAGCAAGTGAGACTAGGAGTTTTCTAGTGTCTGCCACGAAGCCTGGGTACCTACCTGTTCCGGCCACTCGTGTGTCATCCAGGGCAATTCTTTAGGTAAGAACTAGATCCAAAGTAAATTATACGTACAGTAGTAGAGCCTCATTTGAACAAATCTCCAGACTTTAGTTTGCGCCGCGAGTTTTTCTCGTACCAACGCCCGCGTCTCACCATCAGTAGTCACTAACTAAACTAAAAGAAAATGCGTGGCCGATTTTAGCCGGATCCACTCTTCTCCATGGGGAACTCGTGCGGGGATTGGCTCGGAAGTAGGGAAGTTCTTTCTAGCGCTGGCCCCCTTATTACGTATTGGGACTTTGTGGCTGCTGTCGTTGGTATTTCTCCTTGGAACAACAGCTCCGGGGACATATTAGGCCAAGATCGGCCTTACTCGTGTTCTTCGCGACGATGACCGGATGAGTAGCTAGTAGAATGAATAGTTCAGGGCCTAGACGGAGTATGGGCTCTTGGATCATAAGGCTGAGCGTTTGCTTTTGATTTCCATTCCGTGCCTGTTTTACCCCTTTCACCTAATACCCCTGCGTCTTGTCATGTCATGCACACTCCAGCTGAAGGACTAAGCTCAATCTGACAGGTAAGCCAGGGGTAAGTTGCAAGCTTGACTGACTCTCTTCAAAATTGACCTGCTTCATCCGAGGTTAGACGACGACATATGATATCCACCGCTGCCCCCCTTTTAAACCCATTCATCTTCCCCGAGTCTAGAATTACTCTGGTTTCCAATATTCTCCGTAGCTTTTTCAGCTTTTAGCTCTCGTGACATAGAGTCCAAGCACAGGTAGTTTGGTCACCCGGGTATTTTGGTTAAGCAAGATGCCAAATCGAGTAACGGCTCCGTGTCACTGCTTGGGCTATGAGTTTTGGTTATCTAAGGAGTGATCTGACATCAATTCTCTGCGGGCGGACTAACCGTCAACAGGGTATGTTGCCGCCTCGCCGGGCGTCTGGCACTGACGATCCTCGGATTCTATCGGCTACGTCGGGGAAGGACCCGCATAATGTCATGCATACGCTGAATCACGATACCTTCATGTGATTTTGCTCAGAAATTTCAGTGCAAGTGATTAGCTAAGGATTGTCACGTCAATGAAAAGTCCTAGATCACAATGGCTGTGCTTGTTGTCACGTATTCTATGCATGTTCTATAGTACGCAAACCAAGCCCGTTGAGGTTTTTGAGTTCAGCTACTGCAGGTTCCTCTACTAGGATTGGTGATGCAATGTGACCAGCCGTTCAACGGCGTGACGGATCGCATCCTTCCTCGGTGCGCCCCCGGTCGATATTTAACACGATATCATCCTTTCACGACCCTCTCCTGATTTTCTAGTCTTTGGCTTGCGACTAGCATACGACTATGACGGTGGACAATTTTGTCAATTGCAGCACTACCCTGTAGCTTCAGGCGATTTGAGCCAAATGCTATACGGCTCCTCCTCTGGCATGACTCGAATACTGCCAAGAAACTTCTTGCGCGAATGAATGTTGCATTGTCGAATGCGTCTAATCAAACTCTATTTATCGTTCCGCTGATAGCTCCCGCTCGTGATTGATGCACATGGATAGCCCTACATCTTGATTGATTACTTTACGCAGCATCGCAACTACCGAACGCGTGCCTTGTCAAATCGTAGAGATCGACAGTATTTTAATTAATGATTGGCTTATTAAGTTTCACCCAGAAAAAAGAAACGGTTTTAATCTTAGCTGCGATTATTGTGTTATTATGACTTTCTATTGTTTATACTGTACAGTCGCTCTGCGTTGTCGCAATCGCGCGCAGGCCAAATAAATAAATGCAAGCTATAATACTACCCCGGATCCCCCGGAATTCGTCTCCTCATTTCCATTCTAATTGAGAATCGATGGCTGAATGACGTGGTGCTAGTGGTGTCGCTGGTATTCGGCCCTTCTTGTGCCAATATTGAGGGGAAATAGAGTTTGGTGATGGAACCGGGGCTGGCTAACGCGGTAGACGCACCTCAGAACGAGGAGGCGGGGAACTATCGAATCTGGGGTTGATGTGATTGGGAAAAGAGGTTATGGTGTTGAGCACGGTGAATTGAATCGGCGCGAATAGTGATCCTACAGAAGAGTTATGAGATTGTAGTACACAAGGACTTGGCTGAGAAAACGCGCGACGCGATTAGCCCCAGAGTCGAGTGTTATCGGTAAGGACAATGTTATCAGTGATAAGTTGATGATAATGTAATAACGCAAGCAGCGACCGAAGCTGTATGTGATTTCATCAATATCTGTAAGACCGATAGTTAGTATCCTGAAGTAAAGCGTTGAACATACCACGTAGCACTACCATTCACTTCCGGAGAATCACGTAGCCTGTAGCCTTAGGTAGTGCAGTGCTCTACCCTACAGTTTTACAAAAGGAAATTCTACCCCGTGAAGCTCAGTTGTTTTATGTATTGTGAGCAACGAAAGTCATGAGACATAATCGACCACTGTGAGCTCCCACAAGCGCGGAAACGAATCAGTGCAGCCACCGAATACTGCCATGCTCTCAACCCACTATGAAATGACCTGAAACACCATGTTGTGCATCAAAAGACGCGTTGTTTGTCAAAGATGTTCAACCATGCGCGTTGGATTTACGGAAGTCAATCACTGAGTCTCATAATCTTACTATATAAAGCGCTTATACGACTACTGGCTGTCCCAAACATAACACTAACAACTTATAATTCTCTACATGCAATATGAGTTATCCTCATGCGCCATATATATCGCCTTATGGCCCCCCAGAAGAGAGTGGTAGCAGACCACCCGATGGTTGGAATGGGCAGCCAGCAACTCAATCTAACCCACTCGGCCCTCAATATAACGACCCAGGCCCCAGTGGTGCTTATGCCTATCGCAGCTCTTCACGTCCTAATCCGTTTTCTAGTCTAGGAATATCTTCCGGCACGGAAAGTCGTGGCGTAGATCAGCAGCTGACATATCCGTTTCCCGAGCATAATGCTGATCCTTGGTCACAGAATGATGGAGGTCTTGGAGGTTGGACCTACGACAGTCAACCTAATGGTGAACCGTCAAGCTACAATGCGAACAATCAACAGCATGCTCCGTACATCAATCTTTCTGAACTCGAATTATCTTCTGGAAATGAATCTCAAGGCTTGCAAGCATTTGATGACTTTTGGACTGAAAAATACAGTGCTCCAGGAGTCCACAACAGTTTGAACATCACTGCACCGGCCGTAGAATATCGACATTGGGGACAGAGGGGAAACGCACCTCTGCAAGTATATTGCATCAATTGTAGAACAGCTCTGCCCACATTCGGGATACGCTGCCATGAGTGTGAGCATCGCCGACAAAGTGACCCTCACGCTCTTCCACTAGAGTTTTGCCTAATATGTACAGCCGACGTCGACGATCCTGGAAATCTGTTGTGTCCACACCACATGAACATAAGGCGAGCTTTCAACGACTATGAAAAGGAAATTCTTAGCGAAAATCATATTTGCATCAATTGCTATAAACGAGATGCTGGCTCTCTTCTGCGATGTGGAGTTTGCTATGGACAGGTTCGCAACCCAAGGCATCGTTTCAGGCAAATGGGACTGTGTCGGTGTGGAAGGGAGCTGATGCCTGGGTATGGTCAGTGTCGGCGGTGTTCTGATCAATCGAGGGCGGCGGAGAGGAGAAGAAGAAGAGAGGCAGAAAGATGAAGAGAATTTCGGTAGTATACATTAAATAAGCTGGTTCAATACTTCTTCAAGAAGGACCTTTCACATCTGTCTCAACATTCAAAGTCATGACTGTAGACATGGTTGTTTCATGTCAAGGTGAAGTGTAGAAGGATTTACTTGAACCATGTCAAGTGATAAAGCTGGATCCTTATTCCGGTGAACAAGAAGAAAGAGGGCACAAGACGAATTGGATTGAGATTCTGATCAATAAAATCCTGATGCCGTAAGAGGGATTATGAAAAGCTCCTTGCTGGTGAAAGGCCACCAAGCTTGACTGCGACAGATAATAAGCACTGAATCACTATGTCAGGCTCTTCACTTACTGTACTGACGTTTCACAGAAGAACATCCATCAATGACACGCCGATCAAGAACAGTCGATATTAATCACTATGGTGATAGCCCTGATATGCTGTCTCTGTAGGGACACGGAATCAGAAGCTCAGAAAGCTCAGCTTGTGTGTCCAACAACTGCTGTTCATGTCTTGCGACAGTGAGGTAGAGCGCTTCAACGAGCATTTCACTGATACACAGAGAGAAACCGAGTGCATCACAGCAGGCTCTGTAGGTGTCAGTAATTGGCGAAGTAAGGAGTGTTTGCGATATATATAACAGTGAGTCCCCGGACCTGGACTGGTGCATCAAACACAAGACAATAAACGCAATCAACAACTGAACCATTATTCTTCACAGAAACGCTTAACGTCACCAACAAATACAACATCACAACAATGTCATATAACAATGATGAGCAAGCCCGACGGGCTCAGGCTGTCCGGGACGCTCAGTGGGCTAGCAACCGCAGTCAGCCCCAAAACACTTATCCCTACCAAACCGGCACCTACTCGAATCCAGATGAGCCCATAATTCACACAGTACAAGAACCCTCAATGTCTCTTTTGAACAGTCCTAGCAGTCATTCTATACCCGGGCTGCCACATAACCCAGCTCCTCTGCCGAGGACGTATCAGAATCCCGCTCGACAACAAGATTTGCGTAGGACAGCTTTGGAAAACGAGGCTTATAATCAGGGGCAAAGCTCTCGCGGACCTCCAAATGCCGGATATAGTGCACAGCCTTCCAGCTACTATGGACAAGCCCCTCAAGATCCGAGACGTGGAACCAGTGGCAGCTCTCAAGGATATCCGAGTGTCGGTTCTAGCGCACAGCCTTCCAACTACTACCCTCAAGCCCCTCCGGACTCGAGACCTGGGCCTAGTGGCAGTCAAGCAGCCCAAACGCACCGACTTGGATCTATGTCCAATCCTATCATTTACGAAGGCCGTTCAGCCAATGAGGTTCAACAACAGGAGAAGCGAAAAAAGAACAAAGAAGAAAGACTAGCAAACGAGATGTGCTCGGAAGCACCATGCAGTAACCGCGTTGCCCCAGGAAAGATATCATGTGAATATCACATGAAAATCAGGAGACGAAGTGGAATTGCGTATCGAGAGAGGAAAAGAGCAGAAGGCAAATGCTATAGAGGTGGATGCGACAGGCCTGCCGTGGGTCCTGGAGAAAGATGTCAAGAATGCATCGATGCTTCTCGGGCTTATCGTGAAGCAAGAAAGTAGTTCGAGGTATAGTTGGTCCTGATGATAAGAATTGAGGAATTTCTTTAGGTACCAGGGGCATTTCTTCAATAGTCTTCGTAGCCCCTTAATTGAATCAGATAGTTACACGACGAATAGAAGACTTAAGCAATGTTAAAGCATGAGGAATTGGAGTGAGACGCATAATTAGCATCAGCTATCAGGCCTATGTACTGAAAATAACACTCTCAAAAACACAGTTTAGACAGCATGCAAAATACTTAAGCAATTCTGTATTGTGGATATTCAATTGGTAAAATCACTAACAAGAGCTTCATGTCGCCATGTTAGAAAAGACTGCTGAGCACCAGCAACATCTGGCGGGAGGGTTTTCGGTCCAGGTAAAGCCGATGTAGGGCCAATGAAGTGACGTGCCTGAATAGGAGCAGTCTGCTAACAGTCAGTCACCATTGAAAGTCTTCAAGCACCTGATCAGTCAGGCCTTGACTGTGACAAGTAGTTACCTGGGCGGCTTTCCTACGAAGTACAGCAGCAAAAAGGTATATGAGCTCACAGACGGCGCACTTGAAACATTGGGACATGAGCATTCCACTACTCTTACAAGATTCTTACTAGAAAACAAGAATTTTCACTCAAATCCCACCTAAAACATATCGGCAGAAGAATAACACCGATAATCCTGGTACGTCTGATCATACACCGGCGCCCGCTCACTACCCCGTTCTGGTACATTCTAACTCTAGTCCCAGAACGCTTTTGCTTAGGGTGCACGCGAATTCTGCCACGTCTCATCTCCAGACCAACTTGTGATAGTTACGAAAGGGCCCCCAGCCTTCAAGTAAGTGGAGAGACTAATCATCCACCAAACCGTTACTGCATCGTTTGTGCGAAAGGCATTATGTATTCTGCAGTCGTGTGGAAAGAGCACGACGAGAAACAAGACTCTTTGAGAGACTTTGAGATCAATAAGGAGATAAAGCTTAAAGAACTTAATGCTATTTTGGCTATATTAATAAAGATAGTGGAAGTAGGCAGTCACAGATGCAAGATACTGGTAGGCCAGATGGCGAGACTAATCAGAGGGCCTGGGTTAGATAACGATCAACTTTCTTAAAACTCTACAGACTTTCAATGGGATAAAACGAATATAATCTGTCAGGCAATGGCCTTTTGATAACCCACCCAGCCTTGAACAAGGACTCAAGTCCACGTTTATCAAGGACTCAGAGGCCCATGGGCAATAGTAGCCATCCAGTAATTTACTTATGGGACAATCCTCCTCGGATGACATCAGGCACCCCAATGCTCATCCCTGGAAAGTAGTAGTACCAACCGCCTAGGGACCGCCAGGCTCACCGGCCGAGGTATCCAGCCACCTGTCGCCAATAGCGCGAACATACTGGCGTCCAAACACGCAGTAATAGTTTCCCCGCCTGTTCTGCGCATTGGGTGACCAGATAATGATGTGCCCGCCGACAGGCTGCCATGAACTGGTACACGAGTTGTAGATACCCTGTTGGACAGTATAGGCCGTCTGGGCCTGCTTCTTCCAAACGGCGAACCAGTCTCGAGGGTTACCCCAACACTCGTAATTGTTACCAGTGTCGATAGTCTGGACAACGCTGAAACCGGCACTGATCCATGAAACAGCGGCGTTGGCGCTCCAGCCAATCGAGAAGGACCGCGACTCGAATCTACCTGCAACGCATTGATTGTTTGCGGGGCACTCCATGGCTTCCTATATAATGTGTCAGTATAGAATTTCAAAAAAGAACGATAAGACACTGTTAGGCCTACACTGAGCTGGATATGCAATGGATTCTGGTGGGGATTGCCGTTGCCGACCGGACGGGTTTGGGTAACCCAATTACCACAGCCTGTCTGGCGCTTAGAGAGGCCGGCCGTCTTGACATAATCGTCAATCTCTTTCTGAGACAGCTCGGGGACTTGGCTCAGTACGTCAGAAGGGATCTCCCCATCGACCTTGCCCTCGAAGACGTCCATGGCTTTGGCGACTCCGAGAGACCCATCGGGGAAGCACTCTCGTAAGGACCGCTTGGCAAGAGGCTTGAGGTTCTTACCAAGTCCCTTGACAGGCACGACGCAGTTAATAACCAGCTCGTCCTCGGCAGCAATTCGTCCGCAGGCAATGGAGCCAGCGTCGCCGTCGCCGATGCGGTAAGTATCGTCACCGACTGTCACGTTGCCAGCGCCGTTCTTGCTCACAGAGAATGAGATGGCGTGCTTGAGAAAAGCACCATCGGTGAGAGAGTTGGTGCATGACTTGCCCAGGACCTCGGTCTGGTCGTTGTTCCAGACGGTGATGGCCGACTTGGAGTTGACGAGGTCGCGCTCAAGGACCAGGTGGAGGTTCTGCTCAGCAGCAAAAGCTGTGAGGACGAGTGGTGCCGTGACCAGGCTGAGCTTGGTGAACTTCATGTTGGACGATCGGAAAGCGAGAGGATGAAGGGCTGGGAGATAGGAGAGAGATGCCTTGGGATGATGAAAAAAGTCTTTCTTGAGCGGGAAAACATCACTTCTTATAGATTTCGTTCAGCCGTTCGTATTCCTGTGGTCTCTCCTGTTTTTGTATGGGTACAACTTTGCCGCCGAATCACCGGTCGCTAAGAGGCGTGTCCGTCGTAGGATGAGTTGTTTTCCACCATGACCTTCCGACTCTGACCATAGTATTCTTCTGTAATAAGGGTTACTTGTAGTATTGGGGGCCATTTGAGCAGAACCTTGACTCGTATTACGAAATGAGAAGTCCACAAAGATCTAGACAACGTCGCGAGGGCGTCCTGCTTGTGGATACTATGACTGACCGCTGGGCCTTGACGCATAAGTGCGGCTGTGTGAGGCATTTGATATCCCAATAGAGCAGGTTCTTTAACAATTCTTAAAGACGTTACCCGAAACTATTCTACAGTCTTGGCGTCTTACGGTCATAAGACAAGATAGACAAGGGTCATCACTACTGAGGTCTTGGCAATCTGGATCTAGATTTGTCCAAGTCAGCGGGTAGATTAGATAAGATCGCGTAGATTAAAACCCCGTTGGCGATAAGAAATTACTCAGTTTAATTGGGCAACTTAAATTTAAGGTTCTTCCAAGACGGGGAGTCCTAACTAAAATATAAGCCCTGTTGCCTTAGGCTCCTAGTGTAGGGACCTTACACTTTTATGCAGGCCTCTGGCACAGTGGTTTAGTTTAGCATGACCTTGTCGACGTTGCCGGTGAGAGATCATCTCGGTGCTCAGGCGTGCGTTGACTACAAAAGTCCCGCGTTTCTGCAGGGTCTGAAGGAGGCGACACCAGATGAAGTTGATATCTACTTTGGGAATGTCGGTGGAACGGTTTTGGATGGTGTTCTCACAAGGATGAACAAGTTCGGAACGATTGCAGTTTGTCGAGCTGGCAGTATGTATAATTTGGATAAGTCGACTATGTTGAAGGATTGGTTCGAGATCATCTAGCAGAGATTGACGCTTAAAGGATTTTTTCTCTTTGATCACCTGGACAAGATTCCTGGTGGGATGGAGCAGCTCATCAAGGCGGCAGCTGATGGACGAATCAATGTTGATATTGGGAATATTGTTCCGACGAAGATTGAGGATATGCCTAGAGCTTGGACAGATGTCTACAATGGTGGAAACAAGGGGAAATCTATCACGAAGCTAATCTAGAGACATGGCGAGGGAAGGAAAGAAAGCTCAGCCTCTTAACCCTAGCTCATAAAACGACTTATGCAAATTAATACAAATTCAAGGCAGAGTTTGTATAGCTTTTACTGATTTTATTCTAACATCTGATATTTAAGTCTGATGTTTCCTTGCTCTCTGAGGCCTAGGCCGAAACGTCACAAGCTTTATGATAATGCTAACTGAATTCCGACCAAAGCTAGGTTGAGCTAAGCTGATATGTCCATAGGATAAAGAAGTCAGGGTATATAAGATATAAAAGATTTATACAAAGGATACATAAATAACACGCCGTCAGTTCAAGCCATGCTCCTGAAGAATCTTAATCAGCTTCACCTTTTCCTCATCTTCAACTTCTACAAACGTCTCAACATACTCACAAGGCGAGTACTGCATGCCCGTCTTATCAGTATACAAATACTTATCCCTATTCCCAATACCCCTCGCATTCAGCACATTTAACATAGCCATAGTAACTCGGCTCCCATTCTCCAGTGCAAGATGCAGCGGAAGCTTCTGTCGATATCTCCAACTGGACAATGTCTTTGGGATCAAAATCTTTATTGTCTCCTCTAAACGAGAAAACCACTCTTGTTCCTCGTTAGCAACCTTACACCATGGGAAGGGTTTGGAGTAGCATGTTAGTGCCAGCGGAACCATGAAGCCAAAATTTTCTTCCTCGTAGTTTGGCTCGTGTGTTGAGAGAAGCCAGTCTGTGAAATCGGGGAGGGCAAGGAGAGCTGCTAGATGAAGTGTGCCGTCATCGGGGAGCATGGTGCTGTTGAGTAACTTGAAGGCGTCAAGGTTGCCAAGAAAGAGTGATGCTTCACGTGGCGGGATCTCGTCTTCGTCTTCGAAGAGAGCTGTAAACTCAAGTTTGGGCTTCTTCGGGTATGAAGCTAGAGAACTGAACTTTGACCCAGAAATGGTTTGGTTGAGAACGCTGGTGTCATCAAGCTTTAGCAAAGCCTCAAGAATGGGAGCTCGTGACTTGTTGAGGAGTGTGAGAAAGATGGTGGGTATCTTGGAATCTGGTGTCACGTAGTCTGGTAAAGCTGTCATGCAGTTAGTACTAGTTATTGGGTCATGGCGCTTTGACATACCCTTGCTTCCGTGCTCCAACAACCTAAGAATGACATTATTCCCAGTTTTCAGTGGGGATACAAGACACCAAATAAGCAACGAAATCTCTTCATCCGCCCAATTCTTATGCAGACGATAACTAATCGTCGCAGACGGCGACAAGCCGGCACTCAAAAGTACATCCAGACAATCAGTACCATTTGGAAACTTGCGTATGCACTGATACAAAAGCTGATCTGACAACCCCGCAATTTGAGAAGGCTGCATCTCAAGACAGATCTTGAACCACCGCGTCACATTGTACTCTTTCACGATGCGGCGTGAAAGCGTGGGTAGTACAATAGACAAGTCTGCGTATTTGCACAGAGCACGGAAGTGAGATTCCACTTTGTGTCGTGCCGCGAGATAGAAACAGTGCCCATCCTCATCATTGGGATTGACGCCATGCTCGAGAAGAAGCTCCACGATGGCAAGGTTGGACTCCGGTGAATCAAGGAAGTGAACCAACGTGGTGTAGATACTCTTCGGATCAATGTTGCAGGTTAGAACACTCTTGTAGATGTTCGCACGAACACTCTGTTCAACTGTAACACAAGGATTCTCTCGTAGATACGGATGCTCAAAGACGAGCCTCGCTGCCTCATCATGTTCGCCTTTCACAAGGTAACAGCAAAGAAGCTCAAACATCTCCAAGTTGCGCGACTGAAACGCTGCGGCGAACGCTTCGTTGTTCTTATAGTTGACCTGGGCGCCGTGATTGAGGAGCAACATAGGAATTTCCCTATTGGTAGGCTCGTTCCTAATTGACGTTACGAGAGCCTCAGAGATCTGCGTCTTGGCTACGCCTTGCTTCAAGAGGGTCTCGTAGGCTTGATGTCTATCCATCGACGACATGGTAGTTTGCATCCGGATATACTCGAAGATCTCATTGCGTATGTTATCGTCGGAGGCCTTTCGCAGAAGCTTCTGAAATAGGCCACCTGGAGAGGCTCCAGCCGCAGCCTCTAACATGGCGAGCTGTACTTGAGCACCAGCACCATGTTCTAGTAACAGGTTCGGGAGATGTTCATCATCAGGGTGACTTTCGAGGGCTTTGACAAAAGCTCGAGATATAATGTCAACTGAGATATCTTTGTTGAAAGCAAACAGACTTCCAAAGATGCCGGTCTTGATGAATGCTGGTGTATCTGCGTTGCTGGCAGCGTCAAATGCCTCCTCGACGGTAACATCTGTGGCGCCGGCTGAGAGGAGCATGTTGAGGATGATTGGGTATCCTGCTTTGTTCGAAGCCGCTGCTTGAACAGCTTCGCCGTTGTTAAAGTTGACGTTGGCTTTGTGGCCGAGGAGCAGCCAAAGCCCATCCATGTCTCCGTCAAGAGCCGCTTGGGTTTCTTGCAACAGTGCCTTGGATTGTCCGATCTCAGCTGGAGAAGCCTTCTGTAGCAGACGGCCCATAAGATCAAGCTTCATATCAGTATCCTCGACTTGACACGCCTCGCGGAAGGCGTTGGATAGAGTAGCTATACTAGGATCAAGAGCAAGAATTGACTTGATGAGGTCCATGTCGTGTTCTCGAACTGCGAGGCAGAGAATCATGCCAGATTCCTCATCGATGTCTAGACCATGGCGCAAGAGACACGGTAAGAGCTCTGCACGCTGTGGGTGGTCTTTGATGAGAGCATATGTATTGGTGAGAGATGGCTTGGGGGTGGCGCGCGATGCAGCGCTTAAGAAGAGCTCGATGTTGGAGAGATTGTAATGCTTTGGTTCGATGAGCTTAGGTAGAGTAGCATTGACTGTTGCTTGAGTTGGCGGAGATGAAGAACATAGCAGCTCTAGGAGTGAAGGCTTGTCCATCTCGATTGCCATCACAAAAGCCTGGCCAGACGAGTAGTTAACGTCAGCGCCGTGCTCTGTTAATAACTGCACAAAGTCGATGGGTGCATCTGATGACATTGCCTTGAGGAATGTTTCGTGTACTGGTAGGCCTGATGCACCTTGCTTGAGAAGTAGAGTCATTAACTCAAGCGCAACATCGTAGCCAAAAGAGGCAATTGTGCTGAACGCAAAGGGCAGAGCAGCAGCCAATGCCTCTGTTGTAGGCTTCGTTCCGCAAAGCATGTTGAGGACGGTGACATCTCCTTTCTGTATAACCTTTACAAGCGGGGAATTATCGAGGTCTGAGCCAGAGTCCAGTGGCGCATCATTGTCGATAAGAAGTTTGATGAGGTCAGAGTCGTTGTCACCTTCTTCAGATATGAGCTGCAGTAGAGCGGTGCCGAGTGATTCTCTTCCAACACCTTTTCTAATGAGACATTGCATCACATCAAGCCTCATAGTTCTTGGCGTTACGTCCATGGCGGTAGGAATGAGCGTTGAAAGTATAGCCGATGCACACTGCCCTTGTAGAAGCAAGCTGAGCACATACATGTCAGTAGACATGATGGCTGCGCGGATGGCAGCAGCCTCCTCAGCCTCGACTGACGCACCATAATGGAGCAGAGTACCGACAAGGTGCTGTTGCTTCATGTGCGCAGCGCGAACAAGGCATGCGTCAAGCTGTTGTCCTCCCAGACCCACAGATCCAAACATGTTCATGAAATGAACCATGTCAGGCTCTGGGATGTTATCGGGCAGATAGCCCAGGACTTGGGATGCCGGCGAGGACAAGGTCCCATGCCTAAGAATCTCCAGTATTCCAAAGTCTAGTTGTAAAACTGCCCACTTTAAAGCATTGTGTGGAGGGACATCAATTGCCACGCCAGCATGCACAAGTAGTTTGACAAGTGGTAAGTGACGAGCGAGTACCTCCTTGACAAGCTCTTCTCGAGTGACCAAGTTGTCTCCAACGAGGCCAGAATGAGATAAGAGGGTATAGAAGGCTAGCCTCTGGTTGGCGTTCTGGTACTGAGAAATAATTTCGCAGGCCTGGTGACGAATAGCGAAGAAGACCTGATTGGAGTATGCGTAGCCCAACATCACAGCTGTTGCCTGGTAGCTCTGTAATCTCAGTGTGCTGAGAAGAAAGGACTCCGAGACCAATTCTGGGCGCTGGGATAGAAGCAGAAGGATGAATGAGAGGGACAAAGCTTCTCCTGCCTCTGCCCGTGCGAAATCTTGTTCGAGGTATGCTTTCCAATCTGAGGGTGTCATCGAGTTGGGCGCTGACAGTAGAAGCTTGACCATCTCCAGATTCTTGGCTCGTATATGTTGGCTAATGAGCTCTTGGTAGTCCGATGCCACTGCCCCAAAGCTCAACAGAAGCTTCATGGACTCAAGAGATGATCTGGACAAGGCCATGCCAAACGCTCTGTTCAAGACTCCTTGGCTGACTTGTGTTTGGCACAGCAGGTGAACATAGTTGAAGTTATCGCGAGACGTCACCGTATCCAACCAAGTCATGCCGTTGGAATTAAAGTTCAAGATCTCGCTCATCCTATTTCTCTTCATTCTTTTCTCCAACTGCGCATCATTCAAATGACCCCAAAGCTCATCCAACGAGGTAAGCGTCGTATGCAACAAGAGAGCTTGCGCAACTCCAGCTGGCGGCAGAGTCTCCTGTGCTAGTAGTGCATTGAAGGCTTTGGCGACTTCATGTTTCGTAAAGCTCCATTGTGAAGTATCGCAAGCTTCGGCCTTTTGTTCTTTGGAGCGGAAGAGATGTCGCTTTTGTCGGTCTGGGGGCTTGTAGTTGGGATCTGATGTTCTCTGCTGTACGAGGAGCTGGCGGGCTGCGTCGCGGTTGGTAGTGCTGAATGGGAGGAAATCTTGGGCGGGTGGTTCGGTCAGACCACCGAGACGCGGAGGGGGTTGGAGGGATGCTTTGGAGAGGAACCATTCTGCGCGACGAGTATCTGCCATGGTGGTGCCTCCTTGTTCAAGCAAAAGGTGAAGGTATAGACTGAAGAACCATAGAAGGTATTGAGAATAATAATGGGTCTCAATGAATGTGAAGAGATCAATGAAGAGGATGGTGTTGAGACTGGTGATGTTGGTAACGAGCGAGGAAAATGCGGCACAGTCTAGACCGACGTTTTACCACAATAATTTACAAATATTCAGCCTCGTATAACCGATAAGGCTCTATTTGAGATTGCAAGATAGGCACCTACGGATGATGGGCTGACAGACGAAAGATAGGTTGAGTCGGGCAAACTTGGCTATGTATCTGGTGATGAACCCCGCCCCAGGCATTCTCAGAACCTCGATTCACAAGCTTCAAGTCTAGTGTTATCAATTAACTGCTCTCGGGCGTCAATCCCTGTAAAATTAGCGCTCAAGTTCGAATTTGTAAACTCAATGGGCGAGCGACATGACTCCACCAAAACACTGCCTCCATCAGGCAGACACGATCTTTCCAGGACTACACCCTCAAACCGGGCGAATTCGTGCATTGATACGATTGGTCAATCTGAACCAACAGAGAAGGTCGTGTCGATCAGTGCTCAAAGTGGTAAGACATCAGGGGCTGTGATTGGACCCGATTATGCGGAATGGGAATAACGGCGCGGAATTTGAGGCCTGAAAAACGCCCGGTTTATATGGCGGACTAGGGGAGGGAAGAATGCCCAGGACCTTGATCCGAAATGACAAAAAGACCCGGTATAAGTTTAGGGCATTTGTAGGGCGCCTTTTGCCGAGTTTATTTTGACACCCTATATCTAGGTCTGATGTTTTCTTGCTCCCTGATGGAGAGCCTCAGTGGAGATGCGTTTGATATGTCGATGCGCAAAGGGCGCCTTATCGGGCGAAGAGCACACACTAAATTTCCGAAAGAGCCTAGCATCGCGATAATGAGGAGTAGGTCGATCGACTTCGGTACCGGGTATGGAAATAGTAACATACGTTGAGATGGGCTGAATATATATACTTGCTTCCAATACAAAACAGCGATATTCATCAAGTAGTCCAATTCATCAAGACATACCAAAATGAGTGCCCCTCCTCCATATTCACCACCAGGTTCTACTGGAAGTGATGGAGAGACACGAGACATTCGTGTTCGAACTGACACCTCGTCCGCAACCTCCACTGCATCCAGTGCATCTTCAGCATTTACCATCCTCCCTCCCTATCCCCCAAGCAGAGATCGTACAGTACCAATTCGCAGCGATGAACCCAGATCCGTCCCGCCCATTGCCGGCGCTCTCCAACGTCTCCGAACACCGGCCGACTCTGGAACATCCAATGCCACCTCCTCTGGCACCCGCGAACGTCTCCGTCAGATGGAGATCGAACGCGATGATCTCCGCCGCGCAATGCAGCAGGAGCGCGCTATAAACGATCGTCTCAAGCGTGAAGCAGGTCTTACAGGCCTTTCTGCCGCTGAAGCGAGACTTCGTGTTCTTGAGCTCAAGCGAGAGGCTCAAGCTGCGGCCCAAATGAAGAGAACTCCCAACGAGGGAATGTTCAAGGCGGCTTGTGCAACAGACCTTCTGTTTCTCATGGACACTACTTCATCTATGGGACCCTTCATCGCTGCTGCGAAAGAGCAGGTCAAGAAGATCATGGAGGACATTACCGAGACGTTCTATAATGAGGCAGAGGTTAGGATTGCGGTGGTCAGTTACAAAGACCACTGTGATAAGAATCACATTCAGTTCATCGACTTCACTACCGATGTGGAGAAGGTGAGGGGCTTCATCGACAAGTTGAAAGCTCGAGGTGGCGGTGATGCACCCGAGGATGTCCTGGGTGGTATCCAACAAGCCGTCCATGCCTCCTGGAAGAACCAGACCCGATGCATCATCCACATCGCTGATGCTCCACCACACGGCAACATCTTCCACAGTTGGACGGAGAAGAGTGATGACTACTACATCCCTGGAAGCGAACCACATAAGCTTCAGTACCAGCCCCTTCTGAAGCAGATGATCGGTCTGAATCTCAACTACGCTCTTCTCCGCATCCTAAGCGCGACTGACAAGATGGCGTACGTTTTCCTCCAGGAATATGCTGCTGCGTCGGCGGACTGCAAGCTTCTGAAGACGAACCCCCACTACCGAGAGGCTTTGAAGGCAAACTCTGGGCCGAGGAGTAGCGTTCTCGGTAGTTCCAAAGGTACTGCCAAGGGTGGTCTGCTCTTTGAAGAAGCCGAGCTGGGTACCACCTATAGTGCCCTTCGACATCTGGTAGTCAAGAGCGTTACTAGTTCTGCCTCACGCACTGCTGTTCGAATGTCAGAGTCTTCTTCCCGAACTGGTGAAAAGGGTACCAAGACTGCTCAAATGTCTCACCTTGATGCCATTGGCGAAGCGGAAGATGATGAGTTTAACGAGAAGCAGAGCGAAGCACTTCTCGAAGATGTTGAGAAGAAGTGGTCTGATCAAAGTTGGTTCGAAGATAAGCTCGTTGTGGAAGGTTTCAGCCCTGATACAGTGATTCACCGCTCTGGTACACTGAATGATATGATGGCTCACGATGATAACATCAAGCTTAGTGTTATGGAGCTCAACGTTCACAAACGCCGCATGCCCTTCGCTCAAGGCGCTCTGCGTCTTGCATACTGCGCTAAGACGACGCACTCCACAAACCCATACGTGGTCAAGTCTTTCAAGCGTGGTGGAAAGCGTCTTGCGCATCTGGCTGAGGATATGCGCTGCCAAGCTCTCTGCAAGGCTTTCGCTCTAGAGTTCAACGCTCTTACAGGGGATAAGCATGCAATTGACTTTATCGTCACGTCATGCCTAAAGGGCAAATCCGGCGATTCTGGTACCGATTACATCTCACTCGAACCCTTCATCGAGGGCGATTATGTCAAGTACAACAATAACTGCAGCTACGTCAACGAGGACAACCCAGACGACGAATTCAATAAAGCAGCACAAGCCTTCTCACACTTTACCTATGAGCGCTCATGGGGAAGCTTTCTGGTCTGCGATCTTCAAGGCGTAGGCCACGTCCTCACAGACCCAGCTATACACACCCTCGACCCAGAACGCTTCAAACTCGCAGACACAAACCTCGGAAGAGAAGGGTTCAAATTCTTCTTCGCAACACATGTTTGCAACGAAATCTGCACCCAACTCGAGCTCAAGAGCAAGGCATCCATGATATCATCCGAAAAGGCGTCTTTCCGCGAATGGTGGCCTACCATTGACTCAACAGCATGCTGCTCGAACAAGCTCTGTGGAAAGATCATTCAAGTCACCAACGCTAATAAGTCTGAGGAATTTCCAGGCTGTAACTGGTGTGATACTTGTTGGCCACAGTTGGAAGCTACCAAGGAGAAGGTTATTTGTGTGGCGCCGGGGACACATCATGAGTTTGATGTGTCGAGGTTTTATTGGGAAAGCCAGGGGCGGGTTGCGCCGAGGAAGTGTGAGGAGCATAGAGAGAGGGATGAGACCGTTGCGAGGACGTCGGTCATGGGAGGGAATTTCTTCGGGAGGCTTAGGGGTGCTACGAAGAAGAAGTCTATCTCAGGCAAGGCTTGGTGAGGTTGTTCTAGCTTTAGTGAATCCTTTCAGTTCTACTCGAATATTTTGACATTAGAAACTCCTTTCGTTCCCTTGGTACTATATAGGATGCAACCTTCAATTGACCACTCCAGCGTGCAGCTCATTAGCGTGTGACACCGCAGTGCCCTATGTGCTTCTGTTCTCTCCCGTTAGCCACGGATCCTGCAGTAATTCCTTCGCAGTAGGTCTATCCTCGGGCATCCATGTCAACACACGTCGCAAAAATGCAATGAAGCCCGTGCTGTCTTTAAGCCGTGTCTCAAGCTCTTCCAGTGAGCGGTTTTTCGGAATAGGTGCTAATCCAAGCCACTTGCCTGTTGCAATGCGTCAGTAGCCATCCGGGGTAGATATACCACCGAGTCATCAGACGTACCTTGTTCGTCCCAAAAGTCAGCTGCTCTGGCGACATTACGTTGGAGAAATTCCTGGGGTGGCGGGCCGAGTGTCGCTATAAGCTCTGCGAGGTGTGCTGCGTCGTACATGTCTCCATCTTCATCTTTTGCTGTGAACAATCGTTTCGGGCCAAGAAGGTCCCAAACTGTTAGACCAACGCTCCAGATATCTACTGGGCGGTTCCAAGCAATGCACATGATAACCTCGGGCGCGCGATACTGGATCGGCATGATGTCGCCTGCAAAAGGTCCAGGTCCAGTCCTGGCTTCACCAAAATCCGATAAGAGCATGGGGCCAGGCTTGGGGCGCATCAGTCGTGAAAGATATATAGTTCGACCCTCTGAGACCTTTTTCCTGCTGACGGGTGACTTGAGCTCCATATCTACCAATGGTTCAAGTTGGGAGTCGTCGTCTAGACCGAGCAGCAGATTTCCTGGGTGTATGTCTTTCAAAAGTGTTAACCCTGGAAGTGAAAAGAAAGAATTGGAACTGACCTGTGTGTACTAGCTGTGCCTCTTCATGGATGAAGTCAAAGGCCTTGAGTAGCTCTTGGATGGCTCCTCTCACAAAGTTCTCATCGAATCCTCCGTCTGGTCTAAAGACTTGTTTGAGATCACGCAGGCTCATCTGAGCGGGCTGCATCACTAAAACCTTATGACGGCCATCCGGACCACTGATCTCGAAAGATTCCAATAAGTGTCTGATATTGGTCCGCCCAAGACTTTTCGATTTCGCGAGTATCGGCGATAAGCTTTCGTACACGGGAAGCTCCCGGTGCAATCGGGAGGTATGCACGTAGATTTTGATGGCGACGTATCTGCGGTCACTGCGCCTGCGATGAGTTGGATGCTAAAGATTACTCGCCTTGAGAATCACTTACTGCAAGTCTCTGGCGAGCCATATCGTTGATGAGCTCCCATAGCCGAGCTTCGTCACCGCTTGATACCGACCCTTGAAAACCTCTCCGATGTGGACCGGATAAAACCGCGAGGCTTCGTAGCCGGGGATTTCCTCCTCCTCAACTTTTATGTCCTGATCAATCACATGATACGCGGATGTTTGAAACGAAATCGGATCTTCTAGAGATGTATGTGTATATCGGCATGGCATCGGCACTGCTTGAGAAGACGACTTTCGCGTCACCAAAGTCGGATATTTCGGAATGGCTGATATTGAGCGAGCAGCACAAGTTATCAGCCTGGGTAACACATGCGGGAGATTTTTGAGGTAGTTGCACGACGCCATGGCGACTTGTTGCGTCGAATTACGTTGCAACTTATTGGTGAGATGTTTTGATGCTTGCAAATGTCGGCGGAAGCTCGGAGGTTGTCGCCCGAGAGACACAACCAACATATAAACAAAAGAAAGTTGAGGAGGCTGGGAGAGGAAAATAAAATGGCGTTTTGGACCGTTTAATTGACTAACTATGTGGCAGATAACAAACTCACTGGATAGTCAGAACTCTGATAAGTTGCCGAGTGCCGACTGTCACGCAGTGTAAAAACTGTTGAGCCAGTAAGCCTAATAATTATAAAGTTACATAGCTTTTACTTCTATAATAATAAACACAACATCAGCTAGTTAGCTATATATTGTTATCTAGATAACATTACATAGTTACTCTTGTCGTGATGATAGACTGCTATAATCCTCTAAGGCAAAGTAAACTGCTGCATTTATAATTGCCAGAACTCCAATTATGTATTGGCCTATACCGATCGCTTTATCGAAATCAGCACACAGCCAGGTAATAGTAAACACAGTAATGCATCTTAGTGCGCTCGATATAGCAAGCATGCTCTTAGCCCAGCACGCCCAGACCATACGCAATTCCAGAGGCATGACCAGGGCTACTCGTGAAGGTGCTAGATCCCAGTTTTTCAGGTAGGCGAGAGAAAAGTGTCTTCTGCATGTGCTGCAGGGCTATCACGATGATCGGTTCTTTATTTTTCCTCTTCCAAGTAGTGCAAGAAAATGTGATCTGGCATTGGAGGGAGCGGCTGCATCGGAGACTCGAAGTAGTGGTATAAGAACGCCTGATAACCACTCTATAGTAAATGCTTAGAAATACCAAAATCACTTCTAGTAACCGCCACAGCTACCAGTCCCCTTTTCTTTCGCAGTTGGACCGATGTAGATCCTTGTTCTAGGTATGGCTGTGAGATCGCAGATATTAAAAATGAGCCTTTATGAAACGGCATGTAGAAAAGTGTCCGTGTTTCTGCCTTTGTTCGCGGTTTATCAAGGTCTATGTCAGACCAATTAGTTAACATCTTAAACGGAGATAAGTAAGGATCAGAGCGAGTAAAGTGGCATGTGCAGCTGAACATGTGCCCTTGGCTGCTCAACATTATAACAGTTCTAGATAACCCCTTCTCTTGTACAAGTGACCAAGAAGTTGAACTTGGGTAGTAGAGACTTTGCATCGCTTGCTCATGAACAGTAGCAGCTGTTCATTATTTGCTTTAGAACATCACATCCTCTATTTCTATAAGTAGGTAGTCCGTCCCCCAGAGATGCACTTCATTCTTCACCAACTCGCAGCAACAAAGCAATTACGACGTTGACTACAAGAATTGATTTGATATACCTCTTGTGCCTACGACCAACTTTTAGCAATCTTGCGACAGAGCTCTCTTCTCACCAACAGCAGTCTTTCTCGTAAACAATAAACCCCTCAGTTTACTTCACTTTGCGAAATCCCATCAACACTATGGATTCTGCCAAGGCTGCCCGTACCATTTCCAACCTAGGACGACTCGTCGACCGTGATGAGGCGCTTATCAGCGACTGGGACGTAACTCGAGCACCCCGTCGCATCCTTCCCGATGGAACCTATGACGAGACCCCACGCCTTAGCAAGGCATATCTCATGGCCGACCCAAGATATACTGCAGTCAGGGAACAGCCTGTGATCGGACGGGCCTTTTCTCGCACCTTCATTGGTAGAGTTCAACAAGCTGCTCACTTCCCGGTTGCTAGAAACTTTATGATCTACCATTCGATTCCACAGCACTGTGAGCTTGGGCAGCCCTGCAATCACTGGGGCATCTTGGACGAAGCGGATTGGTACAACCACCCGGAATCCCTTTGTCTTCAGGTCGTTGCTGTGCAAAGTGACTTTGTTGCTCGGGGTCAGAGCGGCTTTGGTCTGATTCACATGTTTGATGACCAAGAGCCTCAGGAGCAGAAGATCACTACTACCCCTGCGTACATCTTCCAATATACGAAGCCGGACTTTGCCGTTATTGGGCGAGTTGGATACACGGTTGTTTGTTGGAGACTGGTTGACTCTTCACCCAATGCGGAGATCAAGTGGATGGATCAGTATGGACGTTGCATGTAGTAATATGCTAGGAGGAGTTTGTGTGATTCGAAGGGGGGATGATAGGGAATAAGTTCGGGTTTACTTATAGTTAAGTTGGCTCAACTTAGCAATATGCGATATTCCGAGTAAAATACTTAGGCTTTAAGTGCGTGTGAAGTAGCCAAAGGCAGTAATGAAACCTCCTGAGAATTTATCGAATCTCAAAGCTGTAGACGTGAGTAAATGAGGATGGCTTAGCCTTGCTTCATAGTAGAAACTATAAGAGAAATCCCTATAGAAAACAGGGTAGATGATGGATCTATAACAGTGGTATTTCCTACTTAAGCATGGCAGAACATTAACATAGAACCTAACTCTAGGTTAGTCAATGTCTAGGTATGTTCAGGTCTCTTGGTGGCTAAAATTAGAGCGGCGAAGGAGTCATCAATCAATCTTGAACATCTAAGGGAAGGAAACTTGGTGATATAGGTCGTGTTATAATCAATTATCAAGTGGGACAACAATATATATAAGCTAGCATTTTTACAGCGGTTTGCAAAATATTATAAAGCGTTCGTTGTTTGCGTTGACCTGTGGCTGTGCTTCTTATCTCCGGGCATTCCCAGTCAAGCAGTCATTTCATGGTAACAACAGAAAAAGAAATATCAAGGAAATCATTGGCTCTAGAACACATGCGAGCTTGCTAAGCTTTCACTACGCAATTGACAGCAAGGAGCAATGAAACGCTAATCAATCTTAAGTGCAGGAGGAGTGCAGCAAAAGAGGGCTGAGCAGTTGGCCAAAGTGCGACGCGAGGGGCTTCTCGTGCTAAATTTGGCTCGTCTTATCCAATCGGATGTGGAGATTGCCGAGCCTCAAAGGCTTACCCTGCACCTCAGAAGTCAGCCATCGCAGGGATCCTGATCCTCCATGTTACGATGGTTGGGCTGGGTTTGAGGTAGATAAATGCCCACATTTCCTGATTCCTGGGCATTGTTGCTCAATCAGATCTAACAGGGCAGAATTGCCCAGCTGCCGCGATGCATTCTTCGTGGTTCTCGTATCCTATCACTAGACCGTATCCGTTCCGATGGTTTACTCCGGTGGCTATCGGGGGCGGCTTGGTGTTGATGGTTCTATTCACTATCATCAATCTCGCGTCGAGTGCATTTTATCTCAAGCCAATCTTTACTGATGATCCCAATGGGACAACTACCCAGTCAATTCGGCAAGTATCAAAGTCTTCTGCACTTACTGGCATTAAACTAATCTCATGCAGATGGTTCATGAAAGCACCATTGAACTGGGATAATAACATGAAAGTCAAATGCCAACCCAAGATATTATCTGTCGGTGACCGTGTTTTCTCCACCAACCTTGGTTTCCAATACTCCGTCAAGGCTCTCACATCATCAGACGATGACCCCGACTTTCGAAAGACATATCCCTCCATTGCATATTTGAATAATATCCTCGAAGACTGCTACCTCACAAAAGTCGACATCAACCTTCGAAAATCAGATGCTAGAGCTTCAAACAGCTGGTGGCTCTCCTGGATCACGACCTTCACTGATTCTACAGCCTCTTGCAATGTCATGACTAGTGAGGGTCTAGTGAACATTACCCTTGGTGTTGAATACACTGGTCAGAGTGATCATCTATATGATTATGTTATTGAAGATGACTATAAGACTCATGCAAGTACCTGGTGGGGAACAAGATTGCTGAATATTTATTTTACCGGCATTCTGTCAACTATGTCGCAAACTCAAGATCTGGGAGATGATTCGTATTGGATGACGGGAGGGATCACGTTCACGACGAATCCGACTATCAAAGAGTAAGAAAATCCTCAAGAAGAGTATCCTCAGCTACTGACAAGATTTAGCATTCGTGATCCGAAATTATTCAGCCTCGCTGGATGGTTTCTTTCCTCTGATGGGTTCATCCAAAACGAACGTGGGTTTCTTCTCCCTACTAACGCTTTTCTATACTTACGACCCGCAGCTCTAAACGACACATCTTTCATCAAGACTGATCCAAAGGTAAGTTCACATTAGCAACTGAACATCCAATACTAACATTCCCCAGAATCAATTTGTCCCAGTTGTTTGGGAAAGTCTACACTACACAAGAATTCTCCACTCCCTCATCGCCGTTGACCTCGGAAACAAAAACGCGCCCAATCTGCTTCTGGATGAAAAGAATCTTCGATATGCCATCCTTCCACCAGATGATCCAAATCGCAAAAATGGTTCTTTTCTAAACGGCTCATCATTAACGGGTCAAGCTACACGCTATGCCCAAATCCCAAAACCAGGAGCACCAGTTCCACCGACGGAAAAGGACCTTGTTCTTCTAAACGAAACTTACGATATGTTTGCCAGTAAAATGGGCCCACTGGGCAGCAAAAATGCTACGATAGTCTCGCAGTATCTCTGCTCTGTGCCGCAGAGTAAGAGTCCGGGTGTTATGCTTTTAGCGATCCTTCTTGCAGACCTCGTGTTTCTGCAAGCGGCGTGGGTGATTTATAATTGGATTGCTGGAAGCATGTTGTCATCTTCACAGATGCAGACGTGCCAAGGCTGTATTGGAGGTCCTGTTCAAGTTGCTGAGAAGAATGGGTTTCTGAATGATAGGAAGGCCACGGCGACTTCGGGGAGCTATGTGAGTGTCAGTGCTGATGAAGGGGCTGGTAGTAGTTTGTTGGTCAGGGAGGCTAAGTGATGGGAACGACGTAGATGATAATGATGATAGAAGACTCTAAGTATAATTCTAAAAAGTACTTCTTTTAATCTACTGAAGACTTCTACCTCGGCACGCCAAGCTTTGAGAGACCTGTAGCTGGTCCAATTCTGATCCAGTTATCGATCTCGTCTTGCGTTGCAACAGCGATAACGCCCATCATGCCAATAGCATTTGCCCCAGCCTCTTTGTTTACAGCTGCTCTTCGCCTGGGAAGTACTATCATCCATTTCTGTGTGAGCAAGAAATTGTGCGGCACTGCAGCGTCGGGAGGCACGCTATCAGCATTTTCGGATTGTCCATGACCAACTTCTGTAGCCTTGCTGATGAGATCATTGTATATGGTGACCAAGTCACCTACGACGGGCTTTGAGTGTCCAAAGCGATGATAGAACCACCGAAATGGCACTTCGGGCTCTTCTGTATCATCGGAATCGAGAAAAGACGCGAAGCTATCTTTCGGCTTGGGAATCAGCTGCATGTGCTTGTGCAGTCGACTGCATCCTCCATCTCGCCCACAGTTGAAGAACGCAACATAGTCTTCACCCATCGTGCTCAAAACTCTCCATGCAGCTGTCAGATCATCCCTGTTCAAAGGCTCGTATTGCCTCTGGTAGCCGTTTGAAGTCAGAAGCATTAGATGAGGACTGGCGAAGCAGAATTTGTTGGCGACCAGGACATGCGTTCTTCCAATGTCGCAGATCTCGTAACCTGCGGTGTTGATGTCGCTCCCGTCTCGCTTCTGCTGAGGCGATTCGTTGTCCTCTTGTGTTTGTGCTCCAGCTGTTTGAATGGTCGGTTTCTTCCACAGAGCAGAAGTAAGAAGGAACTGAAACTGCGGTCAAAGATTGTCAGTATGGCGCGCAAGGTCGTGCAGTCAATAGCGCGATATCTTTAACTCGCGATCCAAATATTCTATGAGCTTTTGTTCCCGGTCATAAAACACCAGTCCTGCTTCGACAAGGCTGTCGAACTTGGCCTTGATGAGTAATTTGTCCATCTTTTGGTGTTTGAGGGCGCTGACAGTTCTAACCATGAACGAACCAGAAATCCTTGTTGCGAAAGCGTTGCGATCAATGCACCGGGTTATATTTACACCGAGCTCATATTGCATGTCACTGCCGTCATCATCACGGCTCATCATTCGATCTAGGATTCATTGTTGAATTGCATTCGTGAGTGATTCTACAAATACCAAACGCTTAGGGGAAAGAACCTCTTTTTGCAACCCCAAAGGCCTAGCGAGCCGAGATGTCGACCTTTCGGGTGCACCGGAACTAATTCACTTTACGTCAGTCTATGCGATTTCTTCGCTCTGGATACGCAACAATACAATTTCGTGACTGCTAATTGGCATTTATGGATCTATTTCACAGAAGAATGTTGTCTTTTTCAGTATCTGCGATTTGGTTGTAGTGAGGGATATTGGACAGAAAAGCTATGTAATTGTGTAGATTGAAAGCCCGTATTTGCCGGCGTTTCGCATGAGATGCTAACAGTAACGTTCAATCGTTTTTGACTACCTACCCAGAACCTTACGGTACGCGTTATGACTTTCGCGTCTCAAAAGCCACCAACCTATTTTAAGTTCACGCCATACCGACCACCTCTTCCCCTCATCGTCATCATGTCCGAATATTCGACGTCTATTTACTGCCCCATCTGCGGCGGTCCAACATCCAGTCACTCAACCGAGCCAGCCATTGATTATCTGTCTGAGCCCAGCATCGACTCTGATGACGACAGGGGCTGGTTGGGCAAAGTCAAGCTTATCACACAGAACCGCAAGTCAGGAAGGTAAGCAGCCCTGGTGCCACACTGCAAGTACCTGCGATCTAATGAGCCTAGCGTTTTCATTGTGCCTCGTGCCGAGCAGGAGGAGGCGAACGACTTCAATGTTGATTTTCTGGAGAACAATAGGATAGTTCGCAAAGATGTGAACATGATGACGGTGTAAGTTTCATATACAAAGAGACGGTAACATACTGATCTCCGAAGATATAAACTCGGAAGTGGAGACCCCTTAGTGTTTCCTTTCCATGCAGACTGTTACGAACTTCTCGGAAAGGTCGTCAAGCCGCAAAAGGTTGACAACGCGGCCTTTTACCGAGTTCTGAAATCTCATCTTCCATCCCCGTACCGGCTACCAAATGCCTTGGACTTTAACTATGGCAAATTGAAGAGATATCAGAGCGATGAGTGGGAGACTGCCCCCGGGATAGAGTATGCTGTCGCATCGCCAGTTTCCATCGAGAACGTCACCTCCATTATCGAGAAGGTTTTGAGGAAAGCTAACAAGTCCAATGTACAAGACTTTCAATCCGACGTACCAGCTGGGCCATCTTCTGATCGCGGTCGTTCCCAAGACGCGCAGGCTGGCCCGCATCAGTCCTACAGAACTGCCCCATACTACAATGAACAGGGACGAAGGTCGCGAGATGAGAACCACCAAGCAGCGTCGCACACAAACCACCCAGGTCCACAACGAAACCAGCGAAAGAGGCAGAATCGGCAGAATGGACTAAACAGATATTCCGTGCCAGGGATATTCCTGACACGGAATGGGAAAGGAAATTTACCAGGGAATTCGCCTGGATACGCGAGTTTCTTCCACCCAAGGAGGAGATTGAGCGGCGCCATGTTGATAGGTTCTTGTTTTGCGAGGCCATCTTTGACCTAGGCGGTGGTCGCGGATTCAATACTCCTGACTACCGAGATACGCTGCGGGGCTTGCACAATCGTCGCCGCATCTGGCAATTATGTTCGACGATAGTCGTGGAGTATATACTTCACTCCCAACCGCACAACGCACAAAGGTCCGAAGCGAGCTCTTCACCCGAGACCACGAGATCCACGACGGCCAGCTCAGTACCTACGAGCATGCCCTCCATGGACTTCTTCAGAAGGCCTATAAAAGGTAGCAAACCTTGGCCCTGTGAGCCCAACGAGCTGAGAAGCAGGTCTCCTATCGAAGCCTCTTCCATAGAGACCCTGACTCTTGCCGCTCGCGATAGCGATCTGAACAATGCCGTCCGTATCGGGGTCGACGCAAATATGCAACGTTTCGAGATTCACTTTGAAGAAAATGGACGAAAATGGAGTCACTGCATTGGTCCTCGTAGCAGGGCTATGCAGTACCTCTACTTCGACAAGTCGTCGGCCGTCCCTGACAGGATCATACAATGCTATGTGACCATGAAGCACAACATCCCCGTCGGTTTACGTCTTTTCAGCACCAAAGGTCAAGTGATCACAGCTGGAAAGCCTGGGAATGACGAGATAGCGTATCCGAGGGAAGAAGATGAGGAAGGGGGCTGGCTGACTGGAACATTCTGCCAGTGGTCGGATCGCGATTCTCCGGGCGCCAAGCTGGCTTCTTTCGGCGTTTATTTCGCTCATGACTAGCATTTTATATGAGCGGCCGAGAGGATACTGAAGGGCACTTACCTTCGGTGGTACGGAGGAATCAGGATTAAGTAGTGTCATATCCTCCACTGGTTACTTGGGAACAAAGTTCATTGAGCTAGGGATACTCGGGCGGGAACTCATCATTGTACTGGATAACACCAATCTCCATTGTCCATTTCTCTTGCTCTATCGTATTTACCATGTTCGAACGCTCTGTACGCCTATCTTAAGAATATCAGTGTCATTCCAGCGCCACATCGGCTTGAATTTGTGGATCATATCCCTAAAAATCATCGCCCTAAAAGGCATAGCGGTGCCCCTGCCACTAGCCATAAACAGTCTCCCTGGCAATTTAACTGCCGTATTAACTTTGCTGCTCCCCCTGAGAAATTAAATGGTAAACAATACTGACCATTGCAACTTCACACCCTCAATCTCAGTACATCACGTGTCATGGGCGGATATACTGTCGAATGCGCATTGTGCTGTGCGTCCATTTATGACAAACATCGGGAAAATCAATTCCCTTCGCGTGATGTAGGCAATGGCAGAGACTCGGGACACGATATCGATAAATCATGGATGGGGGAATTCATGATCATTGCTCGAGACCCCGAAACACAAGAGTAAGAGTCAAAGTTCCAATCTCCTATGATTTCTGTTGGTCTAATACTAGTAGGACTTTTATAATTGAGAAAGCGCGGCATCATCGAGACAACATCTTTGATGTCAGTGATGATGAAGAAGTTGCTAATCAGGGCGAGGCATTCGACTCCGGACTTGTGACCGTGTAAGCATTCCATCACCGACACCAGCGAACACCTGATTCTGATCCACGTCAAGTTACTACTGCGAAGGGCCTCAAGCATTTGCAGCCCCATTTCACGTCGATTGCTACAAGGTGCTAGCGGACGCTTATGAACCGCGAGATATCGATCTCGCAACTCTTTATGACACCCTTGAAAGCCTCTGCCCTCGTGATGACAGCGTCTATCGCAGTCACCTGGATTTCGACTACGACAAGCCAAGCCACAAGGTGGCCTTTACCGCCTATGATTTCTCGTTCGCATCTCCAAACCGCGTTTCTGATGATGACATATCTGTGGGGGGCGAGCTTAAAAGAAACTCGCGAAGATCTGGATCAAGTACTCCACACATACTCAATGGCGAAAGGTTGACTCCTACAAGAATCTACGATGATATGCCATGGGCAAAGTACATTCTTCACGTCAAAACGCACAAGCTGACAATGGATATGGCCCTATACTACAAGAATCTAGTCGCTCTCGGCAACGGCCGCCTAAAGGAGGGGGACTTCTCACTTCCAGTCAGGATGCATCTCCAGAACCGATGTCGACTCTGGGGTGTATGTACTCGACTTTTGGAGGAGTGCTCTACAAACGGCTACTCGGCCAACAAGACGAAGACGAAGACAAAGAAGCAGGAGCCTTTAATTAAATATACTAAGAAGACTGACGAGATTCTCAATGGCGCTATTCAGAGTCCCATGCCACTGTTGACATTCCCGCCCTGCTCCAGAACAATCTATGACAGCGTCAGCCTCATGGAGGAGATGAAAGATCTCGAGAAAGCAGAGCCTGTGATTAGAGTCTATTGGGGTGCCAGCAAGCAACTTGTTGGTATTGGAATTTACGATCCCGTAACAGACACGGCCAGGACCTTGGGATCAAAGAGTTTATTTCGCAGGACCCAAGATGCACAGATCCCCCCAGATAATTGGCTAGCAGCGATTTTCATCGTGACGAAGGAAGTGCCTCAAAAGATACCCAAGGTCTGGCGACGGGTGATTGTAGGGATTAAGTTTGTGTTCTTGTACGACGATTTTGTCTCGTTCGGTGAACCTGTGGGGGACGTCCGAGTTCTCGTTCCCAAGCCATGGCATACTGTGGTTGGCATTGGCGCTACGTGGAAAGAGGGAAGAGGACTGGAAAGCCTGGTTCTTCTGCAACAGGATCAAGAAAAGGTGCCCAAGTCTGCCCATTGCCGGGTCGGGATGGAATACCCTGATGATCTAGAGGGACTAGAAGTGTCAAAGGTATTTCGACCCGATCCCAGAATCGCAAACTTCCTCTGGAGAGGCTGGATCCCCTGCCGCCCCGGAATCTGGCCTACTTACCCAGTGCGACTAGATCCGTTGATGCCAATGCCTGTAGAGACACTGATGCTCACCAAGCCGCTCACTGATGAGGACTACAACTTCGTTCTTGGAGTGGATGCTCAGTTTCGCGGGTTCGAAGTCCTCTTTGAATATAAGGACAAAACAAAAACAGTTCGGCGATCTATCGGCCTTGCCACTGCCATGCACTACTTCGTCATGGATAGCGATGAGCAGATCACGAAATGCTACATCACTGGGAAGGACAAAATAGAGGGCATACGCCTCGTAACGGATAAAACAAAACATTTCATTGTTGGAAGACCTGGACCAGAAGAGATGGGCCTTGCCAAACAAGGGTTAAGTATGGAGTCTATCGAGGGTTTTCACTGCCGATGGTCTGACGACCGAAACACCTCACTAACGTCCCTTGGCGTCTTGACGCTCGAGTTTAGTTCCGTGAATCTAGCAGAAGAGCGCGAGGATAAGGATCAGGATAACATTCTGGGGCATTACTGGGTCCCCGAGCGCCCACAGACAAGATTCCCAATCGAGGAATCGGGGCAGATCCATGGCAGGACACCGATGATCGAAAGACTGCGCTATCCAGGCGTTGGGCTGCCGAGTCGACAGGCAGTTGTGACGTGGCTCGACTGCTCAAAACCACTCGAAACTATCTCCATCACGATGTGTCACAGCACGACGACAAAGCTGCTCATGATGACTTCAATGGTGTTTAAGTACGCCGAGGGCCATGAACCAATGTACTTCGGACCATTCCCCATAGACTCACCAGAGCACGAGAAAGGTGTCAAGAAGCAAGACCGGTGCGCTTGTATACATGGAGGTTCTTTCGAACAAGAGATCGAAGATATACCTCACTATGAGCCAGATAAATGGCGCGTTTACGGCGGTTACTTGAAGGCTCTTCGTGTATGGGAAACAGAAATAGGCGTCCTGACCGGTCTGCAGTTCGTGGCTCAAGAATCCGAGAGTCAGAAGTGGGGGTTCTGTGATGGAGAGTATAGCCATGAGCTGGACCTCCAGAGCAAGGAGGGGATGACCTGGGGGATCAAGTTCTTCTTAGACTCGAATGGGAGAAATCATGTTAGCGAGGATATCGTGGTTGTGGCTGTTCAGCGGATCAAGGTACCAAAGAATGGGGATAATCCTCAGAGGCTCCCATACAAGAAATCAAGGTATATTATGCATTTCTTATACAATCATAGTCGGGCCGTAAGCTAACCTCAACTGGCTCTAGATATATGTAGAAGCATCGAGTATGGGTCCGACTTGGGCGGGAGGTCCGTCAGATTAAGCCTAAGACAATATGTGCCGAATGGGCGCATTGAGTTGGAAGTCTTGGTTATGTGGAAAATCCCATAATGATCGACCCCTTTTCGAGAGGTGTCCGCATCTGGCGTCGGTCTTTGCGAGTCTATTCACTGAAACGAGACCACTTGCTTTTTTCTTTTGCAGCATTTTTAGCGACTGTACTGTTATTGTGAAGGTCTTGGTCTGGCATTAAAGTTATAATTAATTCTATATATATGGGTCGTCGACGACGAGTATGTTTGATCTATTATTTTCCCAGTCTTGAACGGCCGCTGAACCCAACACTGAAGCTCTCTTTGGCAGCAAAGATCGCTTAGTGAGAAGCGACACGAGGGCTGAAAAAGTAGCCAAATTATGTTGATCGCACCCAGCGCTCAACAAGAGCCTGGATCTGATCACTGTTCTTCTCCATGAACATCATATGTCCATTACCGTGGATGCCAACCTCACCAAGCTCAATGTGCTTAGTCTTGGAGCAACCAGCCTGCTTAAGGTAGCGAGCAATGCAGTAGTCGTAGGGCATGTGATAAGAAGCCTCAGAGGTGATGAGGAGGATGGGCTTCTTGGCAAGGTTGACAAGACGGCGAGGGGCAGGCTTCTTGGCTTGGAGGATACACTCGACAAAGTCCTCGCCACGGCTGGGCTGGACCTCTTGGACGAGATCGGTGGAGGGGTCGGTGACGGCAGGGCTGTAGACGAGGGGAATGTCAGTCAGACCATAGGCGCGAGAGGCCTTGGTGCTGAAGACGGCGTCTCGGAAGGGAGGACCAGAGGGCTCAAGAAGGATGAGGCCCTTGGTGAGCTTGGGGCGGGCATCAGCGACAAGAATGGGCATCATACCACCTTGGCTGTGACCAAGAAGGATGACAGGCTTGCCAATCTTGTCAAGTAGGGCAGCACCAGCAGCCTGGACGGTCTCCTGCTGGTATGTGGCATTGTTGATGAACTGGACGTTGGAAGCATAGAAGGCGTCAAAGACAGGGTCTCCTCGCTTGCCGGTACCAGGCCACTGGGTGTGCTTCTGAGACTGGGGCCACAGGTTGAACTCCTGCACGGCAGTGAAGCGCTGCTCGATGATCTGGGCCGAGTATGTGGAGGGCTTGGTAGCGCCGGCGAGGGGCGCCCATGCCGATCGTCCTCGGAAGGTCTGATCGACGATATAAACTTCGTAGCCCTGGTTGATGAACTGGCTCGCCCAACCACGGCCTCCGTCAGGCTTATTTAGGAAATTCTATGTCTGTGTGTCAGCCGAGGTCGTATCGTAACACTGATTGATCAATGGGACTTACGGTTCCTGTTTGGGCCTGTCCGTGGATGAATACGAGAGGCGTAGACTTGTATGGTCCCTTGGTAGGGACAAGTCTCTCCACGTACATCTGATCACGGAAGATCTCTCCGCCTGCACCATCATCTACATAACCTCCACCGACCATGAAGTACGTGCGAATAGCAGGGACTTCACCCTGGCTTCCATAGCTCGCAGCGAGACATTGTGTGAATGTCGCGGTAGCAGCGACTAGGAGGGAGGTGAAACGCATGGTGGGCAGATGAGATGAGAGAGATGGGATGGGTGGATGGATGGATGGGGAAGGAGATGCAGCGCGGATGCAGGAAGAACAAAAAAGAAAAGAAGGAAAAGAAAGAGTCACAGATATACTGCATCATGCAGGGGGTTTACACTGCGGAATTGAAGTTGCTCAAGGTCAAGGCCTCCCGGCTAGTGAGCTACACTAGACAGGATCGTCATCCTCATTTTCCATTTCGGATGTGACAGACTGAACTCTAGACTTTTAGGCCCCTGCTACGGCGCTGTAGCTAAAGTTGCAGCTCGTATCATCCGCATCCCAGGAACCCGCGTGATATCCCTGCAACGAGAAAATGGCGCATGAGGGGGAACAACCGACAAACGGCCCAATTGCCCGATGGACGGTGTCAAGCGAGATTTTGAGGGAGTCAGTTGACATCGTCTAGAATATTGATTAAATAAGTTTATTAATACTACAGCTTGCAAATGTCATTCCGTAACTAGCCCATACGGATAGTTTAATTCTCCCCGTTGAAGGAAAACGGCCCGTTCTAGCGCTGGTACCCAAAATGAAGAGAACAAACCTAACGCCACGATAAACCAAGCTAGGGACTAAAACTGACAAGTCCAGAAGCATATCGTCAGTAAACTCAAGTTAAACCAACACACGCAAAAAACAAGCGTAATTAACGGGGAACGCTCCCGCTGGGATGCAAGTGGCGGAAAGCTGAAAAGAAGCAAAGCAGGTAACAGGAAGCGTTTCATCAAACCATTCACAGATGTCGTAGTAATAAAAAGATATGTGATCTGCGCCCATCCCCCGGCTGCGAGAATCTCCCTCGTTCTCGTTTCTTTTCTTTCCGTTTTCGCAGTGTAACTCGACACGATGGAGGATCCTACGCTGTTCATTCACTGGTTCTTTAGCTGCTTGTCACTCCTGATCATGGGGGTGCGGCTGATATGGAGAAAGGTCGCCAAGCAGAAGTTTGTGCTCGGCGATTACCTCACAATGGGCGCCATTCTATGCTGTGCTGTGAGATTGGCGCTCATTCATGTCGTTCTCACTTGGGGAACGAATAATATTAAACCGAGTCTTCGGGCGAAGATGGTTTTTACGGATGAGGTTATTTATCGGCGGGAGATTGGGAGTAAATTCGCCATTACCAATCGAGTCTTTTACAATTCTTTGTTAGTGTTCCTTCTGACTCGGCTCGAGTCGTGCTGACGCTTTTTAGCCTTTGGTTACAGAAGCTTGTGCTTCTCGATGTTTACCGACGATTACTCCTCAACTTGCGATATCAGAAGACGATTATGTATTCTTTTCTTCTCGTTTTCTTCGGCACTTACGTCGCTGTCCAAGTCACGACCTTCAGCGAGTGCGTGCCATTTCATTTGTACTGGCAGGTCGTTCCAGATCCTGGAACGTGCTCCAAGGCCCAACTGCAACTCATCGTCGTTGGAGTTCTCAACATCGTCACTGACGTGATGCTTCTCGCTGTCCCGATTCCGTTATTCTTTTCGCTCAAGACGTCCTGGAAGCGCAAACTCAAGCTTTACGTACTCTTCACTCTTGGTATCTTTATCGTCGCTATTACTGTCATCCGATTGCCGATTAACGCCATGAACAAAGACAGCCAGGTGAATCGTACAACATGGGCCAGCACCGAGCTCCTCACCGCGACAATCGTCGTGAATGCACCGACTCTATATGGATTCTGGAATAAGAAGAAACAGGGCACTGGATACGTTTATTCTCATTCGCAATCCAACGGAACTGGGATGAGGAGTAGGAAGAACACGAGGGTAACTGATACACTTGGAGACGATCCTACGACAGAAACATACGCTCTCGGTACTGTCCGTCACAGTCGCCAGCCTTCTGAGGGTATTCTACGGACTCAAGAAATTACTGTCACGGAATACATCGACTCCCGAAAGAATTCCAAGGGCACGGGTTCACGGACGGATGAGACGGAGGTTGCGTCGAATTCGAGCCAACTGAGCATCCTACGGGATCAAAAATAGCCTATCTGCGTTGTAATAATAATAAGTTCCATTATTTTCCTCCACAATAATGTATTTTCCGAGTACTCTTGATCGCGAGGGACAAAGCTTGGCTTTCGCACAATCGTGCACCTCCAATTTCCATTCGGCGACGGTTGACCCGATTGAAGGATCACCCCCCAACTTCCACGACAGGGATCGACAAGGCCAAGAAAAGATGACCTTCCAGAAAACGAGTGGGATCAGCGCTCACCAAGGAACCGGTTCGCCTAACGCTGCATTGGTCAGCGGAACCGTCGGAAAAGGTAGCGGAAATTTGTAGGTACCATTTCCCCTGTGAAGTGCATCCGTACGCCGACTCCAATGAATCCTGTGACAATTCATCCCAATTCGATTGGCGAGGTTGCATTTTCCGTCTGCCCACTTCCCGCCCTCAATGCTACTGTGCTCGTGCGAGTGACCCGAAAACGGTCGTTAAAACACATGGCCTTTGCGTTACTTACAATATCACTTGTTTGTGCCCTGAACTCTAAATCGCACGAGGGCAGTTCTTGCGTTGGAAATACCGGGCACCTGGATAGCAATCCTGGGCTTCTGTCGCTGGGAGGCACAGAACAGCGAGGCGAATCCAGAACTCCGGGTGTCAGGGATTTGGTATCAAGGATCAGTTACAATGCATGCAGGTCCGTGGCGGCCACCCAAATGCAGCTCGTTTCCCGTACCGCGTCCCTGGGATTACGTATTCCTGGCATCTGCCGAGCTGCTGTCACCCCTTTACAATTATCTGAGAACTCTACGGAGTGTTGGGTCCCTGCTGATAACACAGAGATTATGATGAAATCGTTCGATGTTCTAGCAAATAACCTTAGGCTGCACGCTACACTCAATCAAGCAGAAGCGCGTTCAGCCCAACGCCGCGATGTGGACCTGGACTGCCGGGATTCGTACTTGGACCACTGATGGGTCTGACCCCTTTGCAATTTGGGTTTAACTCGCCTGTAGGGTTATTTCGATGTTGTAGCCGGAGCGGATTCAGGTCCGCGGCCGAAGCTCGACTGAGGTGTTCTGAAATTCAGCATCATCAAGATGCCAAACTTTCTACGCATCGCACCTTCTGTTCTCGAATTTGAGGTTACATGAGTTTTGATCTATTCTTAGGGATCGCAATGCCAGTCCGCAATGTCAACATGCTCTAGTTTATGCCTTGGTCGATAATTCTCGACGAGCCACTGTCAGTATAAACCGGGGACCTGATCTAGTTCACCTGAATCGTTTAGACCTTATCTCGGCAACGGGAGAGTGACGCATGCCCGTAGACTGCCAAGTGCCTCCCGGCAAGGCCAGCGCGCGTAACTCGGTTACTGGGGCTGTATCCTCCGGGGACCTCACCTCCTCACCCGTACCGTAATGTAGACTTACCTGACGCCACGCCGTAGTTAGTGACTCCGGCATCGATACGAACATGCACCTAGTCGATATCAACGGTCATATCTAGTCGACTTGGAGGGCATCTGTTGTGTTATCGACAGGATGAAGGGGCTGCGATAATTTCAGATAGGAGACAGCTTGACACTTCTTACCCTGCAGTATCGACTCGGTGGATAAGAGAATAACGGAACCGTGGATAAACAACCCTATAATGGTAGGTTTTGGTCACAGAGAACATCTAGCATATATTTCAGCATAGATCGATCTGCAGTCAGGGCTGATTTAAACTCTCAGTCACAAGCCTCAACTGCAAATCACACATCTAGCCTGCAACTTGGATATTATACGAAAATGCTTTACCAATTACGGCAGCGTAATCGCTCCAGCATTTCGATGGTATGTTCGAGCGAAAGCTTGGATGTGGCTGCACAATACTAACATAGCCACCCTCGACACAACTTCATGTTTCTCGATCCAGCTACCTTAAAATAAATTGCCAGGGCAATTGGCATTTTGAGTCTGTAAATCTCTTAATAATTGCTTCCCATTAAGACGCTCTGCCGATAAATATCAACACCAGGTTATTCTAAAACAATGTTGAATCTAAGAGCTTGAACTATCGCCACCAGAAATGACTGTCGGAGTTGCTGGCACTAAGGGAACTGGTGGCACCACTGGCGCCGCTCTTGTCCTCCTCCTCCTCTTTGCTACCAACCAAACTGCCAAAGCAGCTGAGACTATACCCGCCACAGCTGCAGGTAGACCAACACCAAGACCTATCTTGTTCTCTGATGACATGCCCCCAGACTTGCCTTCCGAAACCTCGGTGGGAGATGGTGCCTCCTCAGGCGATGCACTAGTCGATGCTGTTTCCGGTGCCGTTGATACAGGACTTCTATTAGTTGAGAAAGTATCTGATGCTGTCAGAATAGGTCGATTGAAAATGATCACTTCTGCGGTGGGCTGTACATCTGTGCACCAAACAAGTGAAGCAGAGATATCGTAGTATTTCCAGGTCTGACAGTATGGATTTCTGGCATCAGTACTATACATCGTTAGTCTCGATGTCGAAATCACTTTTTGGAAAGACCTTTTGCCAACAACTCGTCCCAGCACTGAGGCTTTCTTCATTGCACTGTCCTTGGCTAACTGCGGTATAGCCTAAACATACCGAGACGACGGTGCATGGCTCACTCCAACAACAACCAACTGCGGAATATGGTCCATTGTATAGACATGCGCCTTTTCCAGGACACGTCCACGGGATTTCTAGTTATCTTATGAGAATAGTACATTAATGGAAAATGAGAGGAGTACTTGCCTGAGTCCGTATCTATAAAACCGCAGGTATTAGACTCTTCACTTTGGTTTAAGACGTCTAAAGCCGCTGGAGACGTGGTAGTTAAGAATGTAGAGTAAGTTGTTTCTGTCATATCGATGTATTATCGTTGTCGGTGAATCAAGACAAGCAAAGTCAGCTATTATATGGATAATGCTGAAAATGCACTGCCTCCACCTGTCTCACGTCGATCCGCAGCCTGCTTTTCAGCTGCCCCAAACTGGTTGGTGAACCCTCGCAAGACAGTGATTTTTTCTGGCCTCCGGGTCTCTTGATTGGCAGGTTATATTCGGATTTGCTGTTGAGGTTGCAGACTTGTAACTTTGGTGTTCTTGACATATCAACCTTGGCATTCCTGCGCAGTACTACAGTCACCTCTGAGCTTCATTTGAACCACTTTAATAATACTGCGGAGCACTAGATTATCCCCATATGGCTGGAGTGGTAACATTCGGTGGCTTATCGAACTTTGTCACACCTATCATTATCGATAACCTCAGATAGCTGTTTCTTGATGATGTTACTGATTCTAATTGACAGGGTCATACGATGCTGAGGAGACTAGGCTTCTAGGTATTCACCATCAATGTCTTGCGTTTATGGTTACTGTTCGCAGCTCGAAGTTCAAAAATCACGGAATACTAAACGAAAAACTAGAACTATCCAGGTTAAGATCAGTCCTCTCTCTCTTCCAGTAATTCAATAGCTTTAAAATAATACATATGCCCTTAATATGTTACACCGAATGTTCAGTCGGGATGGGTTAATATGCTTCTAAATATGGTAATTTTCTTCAATAAGCAGTTGTGACAGAAATACCGTCGTCTGTCAGGAGAAGAACTTTTACACAAACCATTTCTCTATTCAATGAGCTGGTCGTAGATCACAAGCCCCCGGTGTGGTCTCTGCAGAATCTGGGGCTTGCGGGTTCTTTTCTTGATGCTACCGTGAGCCAACCGTGATAGACGCCCTTCCCGTACGGAGTAGATCTCCCAGATATCGAAGTTGATATGAGACGAACCCGAACTGGAAGACCTCGGCTAATGAGGCCACGGCGATCTGACATCAATTTATCTCGAAACTGTAGCTTGCAAGCCCGTGCAAGTCGCAAAAGGATTAGTTGTTGACGATTTTCGGGCCGAACATCGGGGTTGCTGGGAAGTGAAGCTAGCAAACTTGATATCTGCCGTACATTCCAGTTCGGCCCGAACGCTGTCTCGCTGCCACCAGAAAATAGATCTGCTGGGCCAGACCGCGGGGTAAACCCTGGAGTGCTAATTAGAATTTCACGGGGCCCCAGACTATCGTGGAACCCCTTGCAAGTCGCCTATACTGTCTTTATTTTAAATTGCGTGGCATCCTCCTTTTATCTTACCGATTATTCATTGCAGCATTTCATACCGGGAAAGAACTTTATTGCGCAGATATTCTATCTATCAGATCTCCATCCAAGGCTACCCTTACCAAGTTAGTTCCTCGTCGTGTATCATGGAAAAAGATGATCATCATGGCAAGGCCAAGAATGTCGAAGACGCTGGAGGCAACAGCGCCGGAGTTCTTCTGTACGATGATCACGGAAATGTTCGAAACCTGCCAGTTCCATCGTCAGACCCCAACGATCCCCTCAACTTTGGGATCTGGCGACAGCGTCTCGTTCTCTTGGCCGTCTGCATGTATGGCATCGCTGGTTTCGGTGTTATCCAGTCTACACCCCTCTTCTTTGGGAACCTTATCGCCGAATACATGAAGGAAACGCGTGGTGTGAGTCAAAATGCCACCATGCTTTAGTAGTTACTCACAAATGGGCTCTAGACATTCCATCCCGACCGTATTGCAGACCTTGCTAGTTATCCCTCCCTCTGCATGGGCTTGGGAAACTTCTTCTTCGTTCCCCTGTCCATGGCACTCGGTCGCCGCTTCGCCTTCATCTTGAGCAACATAATCTTTGTGGCATCGATTATCTGGGCTGCCAAGTCACAGTCCTTTGAGTCTCATCTTGGAGCACGTTGTTTGCAGGGTCTCACTGCAGGTATCTCGGACTGTCTGGTATGTCTCGCTTCTTCTGTTGATCCACGCAAAAGCTCGAGGCTAATAGCTGGTAGCTACCGATTATCGTCCTCGACATGTCATTCCTATATAAGCGAAGCGCACGACTCACTGCTTATTGGGCGTTCACCGCCATCGGGTCTTCTATACTACTGATCCCCATTCCCTTTATCATTGAGAACTCGGGTGGCAATTGGAGACTCAACTATTGGTTCTGGTTAGCTTTTGCAGTCTTTGCAATGATACTCATCATCTTCTGCGTCCCCGAGACTCTTTTCAACCGTCGTGCTGCAGAGCTTAGCGGGAGAATCCATGCGACGGATGCATATGGTACTCATCGAACCTTTGCCTCGCCGCAAGCCGCCCGCGACGCTGGTTTTGACATTGAGGATGCTCAGTCAGAGAATCCCACAGAGCTCTCGTATAAGCGCCAGTTTGCACTTTTCACAGTTCAACCATCGCCTGTCGCCCGGTTCTTTGGTGCATACAAAGACATATTTCTTTGTATTCTTGTGCCAGGTACTCTTTGGGTCCTGCTGTTCAACAGTATGGTGTTTGGAGGTCTCGTGGTGCTGAGCTTGACTTATGCCCAGCGCCTTGAGATGCCGCCCTGGAACTTCTCCCCAGAAACCGTCGGAACGGTGCAAATTGGAGCGGCTATCGGGGCGCTCTTTGGTCTGGGATACGGCGAGCTAGCAGAACCCATCAGTCGCTACTTGACCAAGAGAAATGGCGGTGTTCGAGAGCCTGAGCATGTTCTTCCCAATTTCATTCTCCCGTCCATTTTCTGCTTTCTGGGCATGATAATCTATGGAATCGTGGCAGGGGATCCATCGAAGTATAGCTGGGTGGGCATGCATGCTGCTTTCGCCCTGTTCTACTTTGGCTTCTGTGCTATCTCGGCCGTGACTGGAGTTTGGCTTGGAGAATTGCTGCCGCACATGTCGGGACCTGCAATTGTTCTCACCTGTGGAGGAAGAAATGCCATTTCTTTTGGGTACAGTCATTCGTTCAATTCATGGATCAGCGCGATGGGTATCAGGGATACGTACATCTTGTTCGGGGGCATCCATTTTGCCTTGGGGTCTCTCGCAGTTCCTTTGTACTTTTTTAACGGTCGGATCCGTCGGGCTATGGAGAAGGTATCATCCCTCGGCACTTGTTGAGTTTCTTTTGGTTGATGGAGACTGTAGTTCCCAAGACCTAGTCAGCTATTCAGTGTCTTTGAGGTGCGATGGATCATTATTGGGTATATGGATCAAGTGGATAAAATTGTCACAAGATTTGCATACCCTGCACGCTTTTGGTGAAATTTGAAGTATTCGACCGTGAAATAAGAAAAGCTGCGCCCATATGCCTCTATTAATTGTTGCCTGCCCCGAGTAAGCTTTGCACTGGTACAGATACCGTTACTTCGGTGCCTGGATTGAGTTTTGCCCTGCATGATCTGATAAGCTCAGTCCAACCCAACGCCTTTGGGTGGTGACATTGGCAGAATCTGACAGAGGGGCACAGCAGATCAATAGCAGCGCAACAGACTACATTTTGGTAATACTTGTGAAAATTTGAGACAGAGTTGTATGCAATATTAATATCCACATAATTGACAACCCTTCGTTGGCAATATCTCTTCCGATGATCTCAAGCCTCAGGCATCAAATTCGTGATAATGGCGTCAAGTCCCCACTTAGCCCACGGTTAGATCCGCCACTATTGGATATGAAATCTTATCAGATGCGCTTTGTCATGCGTTGTCACAAGGTCAAGTCACTCGTAATCAAATCAAATGACTCTTGTCCCCTCTAGACTACCCCTGGCCTTTGCTGCCTGAACCTGCAGCTTTCTTGTTTCATCCCCTCAAAAAATCTTCACTCTCTCCCCTCAACCCGAAAATGCCCTCAGAAACAGCGCCGCTTCTGGGCGCTCAAGAACCAAGCTCGGGTGACGTATCGCAAAATGCCGCGAGGCCTACTAATCCTAAGAGGCTTTCGGCGGGCGTGGCGCGCATGGCGGTGGTGTCAAAAAACCTCACCCGCGCGCATCGAATTTGGCTCTTTACGGGTATTTTCCTGGTCGGGTATGCGTATGGTTTAGAGAGTCAGGTTCGTTTGGCGTATCAGTCTTATGCAACGTCGAGTTTTGATCTGCATTCGTATCTTTCTACGATTAATGTCTTGCGCAATGTTATCGCCGTGGCGGTTCAACCTACGGCGGCAAAGGTGGCAGATGTCTTTGGCAGGTTCGAAGTCATCGCCATTTCAACAGTTCTATATACCATCGGCATCGCGATCGAGTCGACTGCGCCTTCAGTTGAAGTCTTCTGCACGGGATCGGTTATCTACCAAACGGGATATACATGCATAGTCCTTCTTTTGGAAGTTCTCATCGCCGACTTTTCATCCATGCGAGCGCGCGTCTTTTTCAGCTATCTCCCAGCGATACCATTCCTGATTAACACGTGGATCAGCGGCAACATCACTTCTGCGGTACTGAGCACGACGACTTGGAGATGGGGTCTTGGAATGTGGGCTATCATCTACCCCATTGCCTCACTGCCTCTCCTATCCTGCCTTTACTTCCTTGAGAGGAGAACCTGGGAATCTGAAAGCGGCAAGGAGAGCGATGAGATTGTCTTGGTTTCTCTCAAGACCAAGAAAGGCAGAGCAGATCTCTTCCACCAACTCGATATCATCGGACTCGTACTTCTTGTACTCGCCTTCTCACTTATTCTGGCTCCCTTAACCGTCGCTGGCGGTACCGCTAGCCACTGGCGCAGTTGGTACATTATCCTCCCTCTCGTCCTTGGCTTCTGTTTCATGATCGCCTTCATAACCTGGGAACAACGCGGTGCTCGTCATCCTCTCGTACCATTCCATCTACTCCGTGACAGAGGTGTCTGGTCAGCCTTGGCAGTTCGAAGTCTTCTTAACTTAGCATGGTGCACGCAAGGAAATTACCTCTATACGATTCTCATTGTCGCCTTTGACTTTTCCATCGAGAACGCAACTCGTATTATCTCGTTCTTCTCATTCTTCGGAGTCATTACTGGAGTTCTAGCTGGTCTAGTCATTTTTAAGATCCGTCGACTCAAATTCATCATTATCGGAGGCACACTGCTTTTCATGGTCGCATTCGGTGTTTTGATCTTATACCCTGGTGGCGCTTCGACATCTTCTCAAGACGGAATCATTGCCGCGCAGATTCTCCTCGGAGTGGCGGGCGGATTCTTCGCTTATCCGACTCAGGCGTCTATCCAAGCCTCAGCAACTCGAGAGCACGTGGCCATTCTCACGGGTCTTTATCTATCATTCTACAATGTCGGAAGTGCCCTTGGTACATGTCTCTCTGGTGCCATCTGGACTCAAACTCTTTACAAATCTCTGAAGCATAACCTCGATTTCCAACCAGACGAAACTCTTGCAAAGAGAATTTACAACTCGCCTTTTGCCGTGATACCGGACTATCCAGTCGGAACGGCCATTCGAGACGCGATTATCAGCAGCTACAGTTCCGTACAAAGACTTCTTTGTATCGCTGGTATCTGCGTTTGTATACCCATGATTATATTCGCACTTGCCCTCAGGAACCCGAGATTATCGGAGCAGCAGGTCCAGCCGGAGGATGAGGAAAACAACGAAGACTAAAAGGCTCAAGACAAGAGACTGTGGTTGATAGAGGAGGATGCATACACTTTTAAAGCGACGCAACGAATCACTTACGCAATTGCGTTTTAGAACTTAGAAAGAGCACTTTTAGAAGCATGAACTTGCATAGTATTTAACGATCAAATGAACTTTAACGCTTAACTCAAACCTTCTCTGCCCAACGTGCTTGTAACCTTCCAAGCATCATCTTAACATACTCCACATTCGTGACATCCGGCACATTTCTCAGCGTCTCACTATCCTCCCTCGACTTATCCGTAAGGTAATCCAATGGCCCCTTTTCAGCTGATGAAGCAGCCTTGTTGCCATACTTACCCTCAAACCAATCAAGTAGTTTGATAGGGGGGTTCTTGGCGGGATCGCGCTCGGAGTTGCGAAGACGGTCCATCCATTGGTCTGTGGGGAGGGTCTCAAATTTGAAGCCGGCTTTTGTCATGGAGGGAAGCATGTCATTTGCCCAGTGGAAGCGCACGGGGTTGAGGATGTGATAGACGAGATCGGGGTCGGAAGAGCGGTCTGAAGGTGATGATGCGCCGAGATTGGCGAGGTCGAGGATCGTTGAAGCAGCGAGATCAACAGGCAGCCAGGTCATTTCCTACCATTGTCAGTAACCATATTTCCATGTAGAATATTAAAAACTTACCTCGTTCAAAGCTGGTAAGGCACCAAGCGTAACAGCAGTCTGAATCATCAAAGGAATTCCCTCAGTCGTATTCCACTCCCCAACCTTAGTATCACCAACTAACTGTCCCAATCTCAAAACCCGCGCCACCGCACCAGCATTCTTACGAGCATTACCAGTAATATGCTCAGCAACATACTTCGACCTCGCATAACCAGTATGCTGAGCATGTGCAGGCGAAGGAACCTGCGCTTCAAGAACCTTTCCAGGGCGTGGTGATCCTCCCGCCGATGATACAGAAGAGCAGAAGAAGAATCGCGCGGGCTTTGGTGTTTGCACGGAGAGACTTAGTTGGATTAGATTGTGTACGGCTTTGATGTGTTGGTCTTCGAAGGATTGCACGGAGATGTTGAAGTTAACTGCCCATGCGCTATGGATTATGGTTGTGAGTTTTGTGCGGAGCTCGGAGATGTGGGATTCGCTGAGACCGAGGTCTGGACGGCTAAGATCGCAGGGGAGAGCGAGCACTTTGCTGCGTTGCTCTTCGTTGAGGGATAGACCGCGGGCTCGGAGGGAACTGTAGAGTCTTTCAGTAGCGGCGGTGTCGCTGGCTGCTCGGACTAAAGCCCATACTGCTCCCACGTTGGGTCGAGCTGTGAGTTGAGCGAGGGCATGGGCTCCAAGAGCACCGGTAACACCAGTGAGTAATACGAGCTCCTTCTCAGGTTGGGTCGCTGATCCGGGGACATGATGTTCAAAGGTAGAGTACTTCTCAATCAACCCTTCCATGATCTTCAGCTGATCCTGCGTCTCATCGTCTGCACCACTTCTCAATCTCTCAAGCTGACGAGCAAGCAACTTGACATTGCCAGTCTCATACAACACATTCTGTCCCAGCTCAGATTGTCTACCACCAAGGTCGATCTCTCGCTTGATGAGACTCCACATCTGAATGCACTGAAGACTATCAACACCTGAGGCAAAGAAATCTGCTTCAGAAGATTCGAGATCGGCACCGCACTTGCTCTTCAATTGTTGTAGAAGGTAATCTTCTAGCTCCGAACCCTCCAGCTTAAGCGAGCCTGCTTCATCGCCTTGGCCTTCGTATCTGTTATAAGCAGCCTCAATCTCCTTCTCGAATTGGCGATATGTAGGGACTCTGATGAAAGTGCCCTTATCCGTACGCGGGTACGCTGAGTCTGCTGGTACAATGACGACCAGCTCCTTGGGAATTCGTGAGAATGACTCTGCCCGGGAGTTGGCATCCTCGACGGATGGCCAAATGGCATCGAGGAACTCATGGTCTGGCATATCGGCTACCCGATCAGCCTTAACAATCAGAATACCGGGATATGTCCTCCCATCACCAAAGACGATAGCTTCCTTGACAATCTCTTCTTGTCGGATTCGACCTTCAATAGGAATGGGAAGGACCTTTTCACCATTGATGAGGGTGAAGCGATCATCTAAGCGACAGGCGAATTTCCAGAGGTTGGGTCTTGTAGGATGTTGTGTGAAGAGATCTCGAGTGCGGAACGACCCAGGTGGGTTGTCTGAGTTGGTAGTGCTCTTTGATGGGAGGCCATCCAAAGCGACGCATTCGAACAGGCCGGGAGCGACTTCATCGAACATGGTGTAGGGCTCTGCTGGGGGGAGGACGCGGATGTAGTTCCACGCCTTGTCACCTTCAGGTCGAGCAGAGGTAGCGAGTCTACCAGTTTCGGTACTGAAATATGTTAGCTGATTCTTGTAAGGAGGCAGAGATACTCACGCCCCGTAGTTGCCGCAGAGGTTAACGCCTCTCTCTACCAGCCGATCACCCAGATCATCAGGGCATCCACTTCCCGCATACAGCACAAGCTTCATATCAGCCAGCATCTGAATACCCTCATCACTCTCAGCAAGCAACTTGATGACATAAGGAACACAGTGGAAGATCTCAGGCTTTGTAGCCTTGAGCTGCGCCATGACTGTATCTCTCGTCAAAGGCAATCCGTAATTTGTGAAGTAAATCGGTTTGCCAGAGTAGATCGATCGGAACACCTCGTAAAATCCATGGCTGTGAAAGAATGGCGATGTGAGGAACGCTCGCATGTTCATGTGCACGGCAAAAGCTCCGATGCAGCTTGAGTTGGTGAGATAGATCGGCTTGGGGAGACCTGTTGAGCCGGAGGAGTGGATAATGACTGCTACTTTGCGAGACTCAGCTTCGGGACTGTAATCTCTGACGAATCTGGGCGCATTGTGATGAAAGATGTCTGCGTTTTGCAGGAGAGGAAGAATTTCGAGTTGGCGGTTCTGTTGAACTTCCTTCAGAACAGGATGAAATGGTGGCGTTGTTAGGATGACATTGCAGTCTGCTAGAGTGAGGAGCTGGGTAATAGCTGGGCTGGCAAGGCGTGTCGAGATGAGAAATGAAGAGTATCCTAATCTGTTGAGAGCAATGATTTGTATCACCACGTGAATGCCTGATTGACCCAGCATGCCAACAACTGGTGCTTTCTCAAGCGTGGGATCCTATTCAGTTAGTTCCATCCGTAGACCTCCATGAACTGAACTCACTACAGGCTCAAGACCTAGGCTCTGGAGTCTTTGAACAGCCGCATCAGCATATCTATCAATGTCGACAGCACTATGCTCCATGAAATCATCAACACCTGTCTCCGGCGCACCCATCAAAATCGTATTTCCCAACTCCACGGCGCGACGCTTGATCATCTCATCCAAGGTGAACAGCTTCGCCTGTGAGGGCTGCACAGCAGGCTTGTGAGCCTCAATGGCATTTGAGTCGTGTCTGATAGTCATGGTTTCGACAATGTTTGCATATCTGGGGCATTCCTTCATGTTGAATTATTGAATAGAAGTTATATATTACAGTGAAGAAATCGGATATCCGAATCTCCACATTCGTCAATGGCATTGGGCCAAGAGACGGAAAAGTGAAATCCCCTCATTGACGGATAAAAGCCCCGCCAAACTGTCGCCCGGAAACGGGAACCGCCAGTGCGGGGAGCTCAGCGAGATTGAATGCCAAGATATCCGATTTGCGATTTTCCGTCAGATTGATTTTGATCTGAGGCTTCGGCGAGGCTGCGGCTACTTTCTCCCCGGGATGCTGCACGATATACACCAAAGCAATTAGGGATCGGCAAATGCCAAATAACCATGGTTCCGCTGTTGCTAGCCTAGTGAAATGCCGAGGACGATGCTTATCCGAGCCATGTCTCTATGTCTAGCATTGAGTGTTCCTGATCAGTGGATTACACTTGTAAAATAGATATCTTGGTTCTATTCTTTAGTGCCCTATTCTTCGGAACTTCAACATGTTTCATTTTCGCGATGATTATGATTATCACTCTCGAATAACAGGGTCTTCGGCTCTTGCTTCCCCGTGGTGTAGGTTAACTAAGCAATGGAGTATTGTATCAAAACGTAGATTTCGCTTGCGAAACTGAGGTAATGGCGACGTTATAGCTGCATAAGTTATGTATATAGAAATAACTCATTTAGGTGATTTGTACGAACGAAAAGCCTTTCAATCTGGCCGGATCTTATCTTCCCTCTCTCCACTGTCGTTCAAGATTCAGGCTGGCGGTTGGCTGTCTCCACTCAGTGATTTCAAGCTGACATTTTCCCCTCAGCATCATTTTCACAATGAGTGACAAAGCCGACGCGACTGGAAGCCGAAATGAATCATTTGGCCCAATCTATATAATCGACCCAACTGAATCACACACTCATACAGCTATTCTCCTCCATGGTCGAGGAAGCAATGGTGAAGAGTTTGCACAAGAGCTCTTCGAAGAGACCTTGTTATCAGATCAGTCCAGCCTCGCTCAGAACCTACCCAGTTGGCGGTGGGTGTTTCCTTCTTCACGTGAGCTATGGAGCACAGCTTTCCAAGAGGACATGCCTGCGTGGTTTGAGGCTCATTCTTTGACGGACATCACGGCTCGGCAAGACCTTCAGATGCCGGGCATCAAGGAATCGGTCAGCTACATCAAGACGATTATAGAAAATGAGATTGAAAGACTTGGCGGAGATGCATCAAAAGTGGCTCTGGGAGGAACCAGTCAAGGTGCAGCAGTGGGATTGTGGACATTGCTTTGTCTGGACTCTACCGAGAGACCACTCTGTGCCTTTTTTGCTGCAAACACTTGGCTTCCCTTTGCTTCTAGCATCGAGAGATATCTGTCACAGGAACCAACGCCAGCTATGGACGCAGGAACTGAGTTTGTCGCTGGGATGTGGGCTCAGTCGAAGGTCTCACTTCTTCAATCTCGAGAAAGGCCTCCATCAACGACCGTGTTCCTTGGCCATGGGACCGACGATGCATATGTTGATGTCGAGCTGGGAAGAAGGGCGCGAGACATCCTCATTCAGGCTGGTTTTGCGGTTGAGTGGAGAGAATATCAGGGGGCAGAGCAAGAAGGACATTGGTTCAAAGCACCGGAAGAAGTTGACGATCTGCTCACCTTTCTTGTGAAGCACGTGGAAAAACCATGAATAAGAGATTCAACTATTGTCATTGTCTTCATTTAAGTTTCATTATAGATCTTAGGTCTAGTACTTAAATCTTCAACCTCCTCGTCTCTTAACTGGGGATAGGCGGCTGAGGCGCCTCGTCCCGAACACAAGCAAAGCAGCCCTGTTCATAGTACGCCGACGTTCCACCCTGTGCCTCGCCGAAGGGAATATCCTTCTCATATCCCTTAAACATGAAGCAGATCTTGAAAGTCGGCGCTCCTTGGCCAGGTACATAATCTTCGGTATAAAAAGAAACACAGCCCGGGGTATTTTCACAGTATTTGGGGCATCCAGTGAGACCAGTTGTTGACAGTTGAGATGTAAGGTAGAGCGGCGAGGACTCAAAAGTTCCTCTGGTGACTGATTTTCCGCAGACTTTGTCGCTGGGAGGCGGGATGATTTGGGTGTAGCTTGGGCATGGGGCGCTGGAAGTAGTGGTAGCGGCTTCGGAGGTTGTCTCGATGGTAGATGCTTCTGTGGTTGTCTCAATTGTGGAAGCGATCGCGGTTGTGAGATCGGTCGAGGTCGATTGGAAGGCTTCGGAGGACGACGCGGTCTCCAGAGTGGAGGAGGCAGCCGTTGTAAGATCGGTGGATCTGGGCTTGCATGCGCCAGCCGAGACAGTCACAGGGGCCAGAGCCAAACATGACAATGCGATGCTTCGAAGTGGGATCATTTTGAGACACAAAAAAGCCACAGAGAAAACTATCGGAAAGAGAGAGAGCCAAGCTTTTCTCTCGCGAGATTTTTAGCAGATAAGAGGCGTGGAATGGGAAATTGCAATCTGCCTCTTGAAGCTTGGCTTGACTAAATTTAGTGTAGTGTCGACGAACTATCGATTTTGAACACTAGGAATAGTCAAGCAGTTGCGACTATCGACTCACTGGTGATAGCGCTGCCAGGCATCAAGCCCCTCTAAATGGTCAAAACGCGTGGGGTCGGTTTAAAGCCTGAAGTTGTTAGAAAAGCAGTTGGTCTCTTGACAGACCTCTATAAGTATGTTTCATCAGGGGCGGTAAGAACATTTAATCACGGTATGTTGGAAGTCGAGGAGTTGGAAAAGATGGTATAGACAACGATGAAGTTAATAGCTGCGTTGGGACGTATCATGCGAGTTACAGAGTCTTGGATTACCGAAGTGTTTACGACAGATGATCGTGACCGTTGTCATCTGAGAATTCAGTATAGCTCCAACTTCCAACTCTATCCGTCAGCATGTTGCGAACACAGATCTGGAATGCTCTTAAAAGGCCAGAAGTTAAATCCAAAACCGTGCCTCGTACGGCGAAAACCCCTCACACGTAGTCATTCCTCGTACTCGCAATCCTTCGCGATATTTGATCTCAGGCCACTCCGGCCCCTGCAAGCGCATGGCTTGCATATGCATTTCTTTCGGAATTTCATTGGAGATACTGGACTTATTCTTGTAGCGCCTCTCCTGCCGCCGGAACCAACATGGTTCGAGGTTTCCCATAAGGCACTCAATATACCCAGTTCTCTCGTCTACCCAAGCTCCAGGCACTTTTATCTGAGAATCTTCAAGTGCTGTCCAGAATTCGCCGGACAGCTCCTCTACAAATGGATCCCAGGAAAAGGACCAGTCATCAGCCCGTGGTCCAACTGACAGAATTACCAGTGAAGGCCCTGATGCCGGTAAACGCGCCACTGGCCGAACCTCCAATTTCGCATCCTTGCGGACAGTATGATTATGAAGCCTTCGGTTGTATTGCAATTCCAAGCTCATGTACTCTTCGAGGTTGATGCCAGCTGCTGCAACATCCTCGAGCCACAGAGTAACAGCGTTTTGTACCCACCTTTCGAAAGGGAGGAGTCGGAATTGCCGCTTCCCTAGTGCTTCAAGAGTACTGGCAAGATTCCAGAAGGCTCCATCATGGGGATGAACGATATCCAAGGGCGAAAGTCCCAGGAACACCTTTCTGGTTAAGCACCTCCAGTCATGGAAGCTCTCGTCGTTGTTCAAGAGTGCATGGAAATACTGGAATATGAGACTCGAATCATAGCAGCCGCAAGTACCATCCAGGAGTGTTGTGCAGACGAACGGATGGAAGTCTGAAATTCCAGCGAGGCCACTTTTTATCAACTCTAAAGGAACCGCTGGGTTGACATCGATCCAGTCAAATGAAGGCAACACTTGACGGACAGATTCTGTCTTCGATAAAAGAGTGTATGCACTCGGAACTGTCCAGAAGGCATCTCTGAAAGGATGTCCTTCCAGATACTCAATTGATATGCCCCCTGTTTCTTTTGTCCACTGATGGGCAAGCTTTATTATTGGACCTTCTGCCTGAGGATCCTTCCACAACCAGATGTATATCCAAAAAAATAGCTCCGATGCGTCGACATCAGAAACGCTAATTCCCATGAGAATGAGAGACTCGATGGCTTCGATGTGTTGGTAAAAAATGGCAATCTAAGAAGTCAGTCTGCGTTTGATCAAAAGACGTGGCAACTCACGTCAAGTAACGAATGTCCATAAGGATCCACGTCGTAGATTGATGCCTCTTTGTTCTTGAGAAGTTTGACAATATGCTCAACTTCCCCCCTTCGGACGGCCTGAATTATTTCAGCACCCCAAGGCCGAATATTACTAGTGTTCAGTTGGAAAGTCCATCCGGCCGATGCTCGAAGTACTGACAAGTCCCACGATCTTTGTATGAACCAAGGTATTTGTACCTTTGCTTGAAAGACTAGAAGCAATCTTGGTCATTTTCATAGCGTTTGTGCGGGATAACAAAGATGACTTACATCGTGCCTTTTCTGGCACGTAGTGGATTGAAGGGCTTTCAACAACCTCATAAGACTGGAAAGTGAAGCTGCCTAGTAGACCGGGTCGCCTTCGCGGCAACGGCTTTTTGGCGGACCAAATGCTTAAGTTATTTTGAGACTGCCCGGCCTGTTCCTCTCTAGGTTCCTCACCTTGTGACTGGCCATCTTCTTCACTGCCTGCTGGACGTTGCTTCTGATGCTCTGAATCCCGCCAGCTTCGTATCTCAGAAATGATTATTTCCGGTTGCGCGCGAGATAAAGCACTGAGAATGTTAAGCCGTGCTTGCAACATGGCGAACGAGTCACGACTTACATCAAATAGGTTTGTTGGGAGAGAGACAGCAGCTGAAGGGCTGATGTGAGTCTATGCTGGTGATCTTCAATCATGTCTCTTTTGATCCTGACTTTGAGCTGGGCTACCAGTCTCCTACTGGCCTTTGCCGCGTTGATCTGTGACTCCATGTCTCTGACCAAGGTGTCGAGAGTCTCTACCGCTTTCCGAGAATATTCCAAGCTTCGCTTGGCAGCAGAGTCGTTCTGTATCATATTTCGAGTCTTTTCAAACTCATGATCCATTTCCTCGATAGCGGGAGCCAAGATCTCCAATTGCTCGATGCATCTCTGGATGCTAGCGGGGACATCTTGGACTTCGTCCCATAATCGCTTGAGTCGGATGGTGTTGGTGCCGAGCTTTCCTGCTACTTCGACTATTGTGATGATACTGGAAGCCAGTCCGAGTATTTCTGCCATATTGATGGAGATGAAGGCTTAGAAAGGTTGGTGAAAATTGACGGGGTAAGTAGTAAAGCTGAGTCTGCCTCATCTGACTGGTGCTGGGCTCTGAGCCTCAACGACTCCGCCTTATGCATGATGACATACGTGCTGGACTGTGACTGGCCCATGGGTTGAAATACAACGACCATCTAGCGCAGACATGTATTCTACCTTTTATTAGTAGTTACAGTTAAGATTACAAGGAGATCTAACCTTAAGCCACCAGTCTCTCCTTTGAAGTTTCGAAGCTTTTAGGTCCTTCTCAATCGGATAATCGGGGACCAACTTTAAAGATCTTTTGTCTATGAACATAGGAGTACCAACAAACATAGTGGAGAATGGCGCCATCGCGAGAATGCTGTTGGTTGTCTCTTCAGTGTTTGCCTATTACTGTGGAGTAGTCTAAACAGATCGATAATGGAATTCTCCGAAAGTATTACACTAAATTCTCCTATAAAGGACTTGATCCCTCCAGCTGTCACTCTACGAACAGCAATCAACTAAAGCGCGATGGCTGAATCAGAAACGCCTCTAACGCCCCCTGAATCAGACGGCGACTCTGATGAGGACTCCGATGTCTCTGATGAGACGCAGGAGCCACGCCTGATGCCTGATGAACTTGGGGCTTTGTTTGTCAACTTTTATTCGTTTCTCACAAGTTTACACTACGACAAGTCTCACCTCAAAATCCCACCACCTACCGGATGGTCACAAATCACACCTGAGCACTGTGGACACTTCAAATCCGACTATGCTATAGAAGTTATCCGCCATCTTCCGTACTTCGATAGCACATGTACCGAATATGTCCATTACAAATCCAAGCTTCTTGATCTCACTGCCTTCACTCTCGACGATTTTGAGAAGCACAAGAACTACCACCAAGACTGGGAATTTTGGTCATCGGAGGGAGAGCAGATGGACCCAAGTGATGTTGTTTGCATTGCCGTGGGCCATGAGAGCTTCAGTCGTGAGCTTTGGCTAAACGTCAAAGACTGTGAGATCTTTGAAGACTTCCATGCGGGTGATATGCTTGATGCCGTTCCAGTCGAGGAATTCTTCGACGACCTCAAGGAACGGTACCAGTCATTGAAGCTCATTCCCGGAAAACGCAGGATTACAATTGAGGCGGAAAATGTGCCTGAACGAGATGGAAGAATCACGGAGGAAGAAGTTACTGACCAAACAGAGGAATGGGGAACTGATCTGGATATTCAGTATGTGAGGCAGATCTATCGTGACCATGGATGGCCTGGGTCTTTCGATCTGCAGACAGCATCGGAGGCCATCGACAAGTGGCTAGAACCCTTGGGAGGAGGCTCAGAAGGAGGGCCAAGAGGTCTCGTATAGCAGCAAAGTCCTTCTGACTGGGACGAAAGTCGATGGACATAGGTTCAAGTGGGAAGAGTGAATCGGCGGTTGAAAAGACAGCTTATATATGTACTACAGGTGAACTGGATTGTGATCTTTGCGTTCCTATGACACCGTTTCTTTGTTTTCATCTCCATCATAAACCTGATGAAACGTAGGCCCTGGGTAATGCTTCGACGCGGACAGAAACCACCATACCGTAATCAAGAAACAGAGACCACACAGAATAACAGAGTTGTAGTTCATCGTTGTTGCATCAAATGGCATACCGAAGGCTACCAGCGGTCAGTAAAATCTGGGAGAAAATATAGGTTTAGGAATACTTACGGAAACAAAAGAACACGTCAAAGACCACAATCAGTAGTATAGTAAGTCCGTTGATCCAGTATCCAAAGTTCTTCAGGTGGAAGGGACCGGGCGAGAATCGTTTGCGGCCACTCAGGACATTCGACACAATTGGGATAGCGTAAGACACAGTGGTGATGATGATGAACGATCCAGTCAAGTTGCTGAAACCAACCGAACTTCCTAGTGGGATTGCGCCGATACCCGAGGCAATGACTGCCACGAAGAGAGTTGACTCAACTGGGGTACCAAGCTTGGCACTCACTCTGCTGAATACATTTGAGAATGGCACAGCTTGGTCTCGGGCGAGGGTCCAATAGGTACGGCAGTTGGTCAGGACTGTTCCAATGACACAGCAAAGAGACGAGATGAGAATGATGAACAGCAGTGCGAACGTGGCTGCAGCACTCCCAGTCGCTTGATGGTAGATACCAGCAAGAGGGAAAGTGTTCGAGTTCCCTTGAAGAACGGAGAGGTCGGAGATAGCGTATCCCAAGACAATCGCGAAGGCCAAAGCATAGACACCGCCGATGGAAATGTAAAGAAAAATAGCTCGAGGAAGATCCTTCTTCGGGTTCTTTGTCTCTTCAGCCATATGAGTGATCGCATCGAGAGTCCCAATCGTGAAAGCCCCGTTGAGAATGCCAACCATGAACGCAACGCCATCGTTCCATCCAGTTAGGTTGTTCTCATGGAACGAGTTCCAGACGAAATCGCTAGAGGCATGCTTTGATGGCATAACAGCGACGATAATGATGGTCACAAGACCACCTGCAACAACGAGAAACAGGCCAAGCTTCTGAGTATAAGGAACAAGTCGGTTCGAGAAAATGACGACGAAGGTACTGAGCCAGATGACGATCAGGTAAGCGACGTAGACATGCCATGCTGATGGAGAGAAGCCGGGCGTGAGAGTGGCGTAGCATTGGACACCTGCGTTGGCGGCGACTTGGACGAGAGAGGCGAGACCGAACATCCAACCGTAGAAGTTGATCCAACCTGTGTAGAAGCCAGTAACACGGCCCCATTTGGGTCCGGCAGCAATAGTGGCCCAGTGATAGACACCGCCAGAGCTGGGGCATGATGAAGCAAACTTGCAAGATGTTAGATGTGCCGAGCTCGGTCTGGGAGATCATACATACCTCTGATATACTTAGGCCAATGAAAGTGTAGTAGATCACTGCCACAATGAGGCCGTAGATGACACCTGAAATGCCACCGCTGAGGATAGAAACTGAGATTGAAGAACCAAGGACAACCCATGCATTGTTGACTGTCACCGCAATGCCCGTGAGCCCAACGAGCCCATACTGGCGAGTGAGCTGATCGGTATGGCCGGACGCATTGATGACGGAGCCTTGTTCGGTTGTTTCACCTTCAGTGATGTCTCCTTTCTCAAGGATACCGCCGTTGACTTTCTCGACCTCCATTTCGAGTGTGACAAGTCAGCAGAATGAAATGATCAAAGATGGTGAAAGAGGCGATGATCAGACTCAATTGCACGCACTCACATGCTACAATTCCCGCTGTAAACAACCATTTACAATTGAGACGCATGCACTTATATCTATATATGCATGGCCATATGAGGCAAAGATAAGTAATACGGAGATAGGCTTCAGTGGCTTCAGTGCGTGTGCGACCCTATTCTGGCTAGCACCATGTTTATCATGCGGCAGACGGATGCCGATACCACGTTTTTCTTATCAGAGCAGATGGTTTTTGCTAGAATGCGAGACTAATTGTTACCCCAGCTCCTCTTATCAATTGGGGGTTCCAGATTTCCGTCTTATCTCGGCGCAGAACTGTTACATCGGTCTAGAATCTTACGACTTGGCTACGACATTATTCATGCGGAGAACTTACGCTCAACGGACGATATGTGCCGTCCTGGCATAACAGGAAGTCGATATGAACGACGGAATTGATAGCACTTCGGAGATATTGGTGAAAGAATTTTCATGATTACAAAGTGAGATTGAGGGCATCTATTATTTTCTACCTGGTCATCTATCTCAATGTACAATCTCCATGCCACCATTCTCAATTCTCTCTGCGGCCCTCTGTATCTCTTTTCGCCAGTCACACAAAGCAATTATAATCCACTCTAGAATACCAACCAGAAACAGTGCGACACATTGTCCAACCCAAAGTCCAGAAAGGCCCCAGCCGTGGAATGCAAGCCAAATTCCCGCTGGTAGAGCACCTCCATAGTAGCTAATACAATTGACAAGTGCCCCAACCCATTGTCGGCCCATGCCTCGCAGCGCTCCTCCACAGCTTCCATTTAGACCATCTGCGATCTGAAAGAGTGCTACATAAGGCATGATGTGAGCGACAAGTGAAATGACGTCCTCGTCATCATTGAACAAGCGACCGATGACATTCTTTGTAGACATGAGGATCGCAAGGATGACAGTTCCGAAGAACACAGATAGTAGTGCTGCGGCGTGAGCACAGCGTCTTGCCTGCATGGGATCTCCCAGCCCCAAGAGGTTGCCCAGTCTAGAAGACGCAGCAACTCCAAGACCAAAGGGAATAGTGTTGATGATTTGATCCAAAGTCATGACAACAGACTGAGCAGCTAGAGGGATTGTTCCAAGACGGCCAGCTGCGAGAGCGACAATCTCAAAAGCCCACCACTCTGTACCGACGTGAATGACACCGAGGAAAGCAAGCTTTGCAAAAGGTCCGAGATGTTGAAGAGCCCGACGGGGCTCAAGTCCACCCCAGCATTCGCCTCCCTTCACGAAAGTGGCGTAGCCAACCAAGATGAAGAGTGAGAGCCAGTACGAGATACCAGTGGCAATGGGTGACCCATAAAGACCAAAGCCGAGAGGGTAGATGAATATGTAGTTGAGCAAAGCATTGAGGGGAGAGGTGACGAGCAGTGCATAGGTACCAGGACGATAAATGCCTTGGGCTTGAAGGAACTTCTTCATCGCCTCAAACCATACGTAGCCAAGGCCACCAGGAATCAGCAACTGCAAGAACTTGGGTCCCTGAACACAGATAAAGTCTTCCTGACCAAGAGCCTGGAAGATGTATCCAGAGAAACACCATATAACAGCAACCACTGCATAAAAGCCGGTCAAGACAAACAAGCCCCTCTGCAGCAATATTCCCAGGTCGTGTTTATTTTTGGAGCTTGTATAGGTACTCGAGCCGAGCGTATCGAGGGCAGTGGTGCCACCAAGAGCAATCAGCCAGGCAGTTGCCATGGCGAACATGTAGGAAAACGCAGCAGTCGCAAGTGATTCGGGTGAGAGACGGCCGACCATGAGGATGGAGACTGTCTGAAGACTGTTCTGGAGCATGTAAGCCAGTATGACTGGCACAGAGGCTTTGACGAGGATGGCAGTCTCGGCGAGCCATGGTGAGCGACTCTTGGGTTCGATTGAAGGGTCTTGGATAGGTTGAATCAAAGGAGTTTCTTCGTCTGGGAAGGACTCAAAGTGAGGACGACGGGTTTGAGATTGAGGAGCCATTTTGCTGGCTGTTTGTGTGGTTTCAACGACTCCCTTGGAGGGTGATGATGGTGATGAAGGAAGAGGTTTCAAAACTCAGCAAGCGACAGCCAAACTCGGGGCGAATCAACAGGACTTCCCAATTACTTCAATCCGACCATCACTCTCTGTCGTTCAGAGTCGGTAAGAGGCACTATTACAATTTGGTAAAACTTTTGCCAACACAGAACCGCTGATAAGCATGCAGTCATGGTGGGATGCATCACTCATGTCGGGATATTCAGCTGCACCACGCCATTTTCGTTAGTCTGCGGGATTTGCAACCTCACGATCATCAACTTGCGCCAGCGTAACACAATACTGCCTCGAACAAAGTCAACGAGAACTCATTGTCGGACAAGAAGCTTATCAGCACGTATCATAGGTTTACTCGATTCGGCAACTTAGCCACGATAAGAATGCGGAGGTTGCGGGGTGCCGATCTGATTCTAGCTGCATCGAGGAATTTACCCCAGACTAGCCTATTCTAGATATCTACGCGCTTTGTGGACGCCCGTTGATTTTGAGGTTGTAAGTGATGATGGTTTCTGCAGGAGGGTTTGGTGATGATATCACTTTGTGAGAATAGGAATTAGTTGGGAGATGGAATTACGTTGGTGGAATGATGGACCAGTCGCCAGCATGAATGTGACCATGATCCTGATTTAAGTGTCTCCGGAAGCCGAGCTATCATACGGCATAAATACTCGCTATGACTCTAGATTCTACATGATACACCATCCTTAACAGTATTCATCTGAATTTCTCTTAGCATGTTGTACAAGTCCCTCCTCTCACTGAGCCTTGCCTCTGTGGCTCTCGCCCACGGCGACCATAGCCATGACCAAGAGCCCATGTCAGGTCCTCACCAAGGACTCTGGTACAACACCCTTCCCGGCGACGGCGGCACTCAGGTAAGTATCCCAACTGAGATTGTGGCAAATCAGGCTCAAAGTGTCTAGGCCGACTCCGTCTTCTCCGGTATCAGTACCTTCGGCCGTCTTCCATACCAGCCATGCTTGAAGGCAAACAGCATCAAGTATGACATTGCTTTCATCGGTGCTCCCTTTGACACAGGTACTTCTTACAGACCTGGTGCTCGCTTCGGACCTTCAGGTATCCGACAGGGCTCTCGAAGACTCAATCTTTAGTAAGCCAGCCCTCGCACTGCGTTCCCTCCGCTAAGACTAACTGATGCTGAAGTGGAGGTTACAATGTACCCCTGGCTACCAACCCATTCAACAGCTGGGCCACAGTTCTCGACTGTGGTGATATCCCAGTCACCTCGTAAGTAGTCTGTCAGCTCATTTATCTCAGTGCTAACGCCCCAAGATACGATAACCAGTGGGCACTTCGACAGATTGAGGAGGGTCACTACAACATCCTCTCTCGTCCACCAGCCACAGACGCAGACAAGTCTGGTCCAGCCCTGAAGAGCCGAACTCTTCCCAGAGTCATCACCCTTGGCGGTGACCATACTATCACTCTTCCTCTCCTTCGATCCATCAACCGTGCCTACGGACCTGTAACAGTGATTCACTTCGACAGTCATCTTGACACCTGTATGTCTCAACATGTCTTCGCCGTCTAATTATTACTGACAGATAAATAGGGAAGCCTAAGGTCTTTGGTGGCTCACCTTCAGAGGTCGCTGCTATTAACCATGGCACGTATTTCTACCATGCCGCTATGGAGGGCCTTCTCCGCAATGATACCAACATCCACGCTGGTATCAGAACTACCCTGAGTGGCCCTAGTGACTACGATAATGATGGCTACTGTGGCTTTGAGATCGTGGAGGCTCGAGAGATTGATACCATTGGCACTGACGGTATCATCGAGAAGATTCTCAAGCGCGTCGGTACCGATCGCCCTGTTTACCTTTCTATCGACATCGACACTCTTGACCCAGCTTTCGCACCTGCGACCGGTACTCCTGAGACTGGAGGTTGGTCTACTCGAGAGCTTCGAACCATTATTCGAGGATTGGAAAGCCTCAATCTCATTGCTGCAGACATTGTTGAGGTCGCTGTAAGTTGACCAACATGGGGAGATCTTGACTCTTAACTAACAAATACGTATAGCCTGCTTACGATACCAACGCTGAGCATACTACCATGGCGGCGGCTGATGTTCTCTACGAGGTCATGTCTATCATGGTCAAGAAGGGACCTCTTAGCCGAATGGTTGAGGGTAAGAAAGAAGAGGAGCTATAAAATTACGATTGCCAAGATCGCTGTCAGCGACAATGGACTGAACATGTTGACCAAGACTTTGGATATCGTAAGGCATATAAATTGCACGCGGATATGGTACGCTTGATACGCTCTATTTGAGCCTGTGGTTTAGAGTTGGAGTTCCTCAAAACAAAACAATATTATATGATAACTTTTCTGTTCGTTACGGTGTGATCAGCCTTGTGCTTAATAAAAGGTATAAGGGAATAACTCACCCAGTAAGTGACTGGCGCATAAATTTCCCTCGAAATCGTTGCAACCCTCTCTGATTTTCCAAATATCTTCCAGCGCCTGCTCAATTACCTTGACATGTAGCGAGCCAATACAAATCTCAAGTTTGTGTATCTTATCAAGTATGAAAGTCTTCTGCTCCTCTTTGTAGGCTTCACAGCCAACAGTGAATAGAGGCATGGCCATTGCGACCCAAGTGTTGCATGGTTCGCCTTGGGCCATGTTGCTGATCATTCCGCTGATAGTCTGAACAGCATCCTGTATAGGCTGTGATGATGAGGGTAGGCCGTATAATTGTCGATAAAGCTGGATCAAGGTGGCTTGTTGAAAGACTTTGTTACAGAGCGCGAACTCGCGGCCTGATTGTGATGAAAGTGAGGAGATTGAGACGCCGGGCGGCGACTTGACATCTCGCCTGATCATGGCGTTCAGCTTGCCCAGTAAGGTATCTGCATCAATAGAAGAGTCTTCAAGCCCTGATCCTGGTGTAAATGCGTTGATTTGTTGCAAGATGTCAAGCAGCTCTTCGCTGTACCCCAGAAAGCCATCAATCTGATGATTGTATGCTGTATTAGCGGGGACAATCAGGTTGGCCTTCTCTGATGTTATTTTAGGTACGTGTGGTAGAGTCTCTAAACTGCGATACAGCATAAAGAGATGCTTCATCGCAGATCTCAAGGCACTATCGCTTGCCACGAATCTGTGATAATCACTACGGCCGTGAAGAAGAGCCTTTATACCCTGAAGGTGTATTGGCCACCTGAACATTCCCTGCTGACCTGAAAACACGTCCGCCAGGCACCAGATCAGGCATGTCGCAATAAGAATCTCGCTCTGTTGCCCCTGTGCCAGTGCTGATCTCAGTAGTGGTAGACCTGAAGACTGCAAATGTTCCATTATTCGGGATGTGCTGGTCCCTTCGACTTCTGTCATGCCCCTCGACTCGAAGCTTGCGGTTGATAGTGCCAGACTTGCAGAGAGGAGGTGAGGAGATTCGAGCATGGTGGGCATAAGGCCACGACGAAAATCATCGTGGATAGTTGGGTGACTCGACAACGATGCCAGAACACCTTCGGCAAAATGATGCAGCAACTTCTTATACCGCCTTGGGAGCGCCAAGCCATTTGGAAGGGACTCTGGTATTGATGATACGGAATTATCTTCCCCTGTACCAAGGTCCAGAGTGCCGCTGAAGCTTATTGAATTACTTGAGCCTACTCAATGGGGTTCAGTAAGTGATATTACCTTCATTCCTGGGGTACACATACCATTTCGTCTATTCTGTACTCCTTGGCTCCAAACTAGCCTTAACTCATACTTGCAGCTCCGGTGATTCGAGATACATTGACCGCAGCTCGGCTTCACTTCGTCGCACTTACGCCTTCGTTTTCTACACTCACCACAACCTTTACGTGATCGTTTCCCAGTCATGTGCCTCTGTGATCACATGAGTATCGGTATCGGTTAATTGAAGCGGGCAATTGGTTTGGGGATGAAAGTCTGGGGTAGCAGGGTATTAAATGGTTAAATGGTCACGATAAGAATGAGGCAGTTGATTGGGTGATAAGATACACTGCGGGCTTATCTTGACTATCCCGATCACACCTTGAAACTGGCTGTTCGAAGAAGTTCTTGCTTTCCATGGCATCGAGTGCTTCCATTGAAAACATAAATTATGAATCCGCCTTTTCTACTGTATTCATCTCTAACAACTCGATGGTCGTTGCTGCTGAGGTATTATCACTTCAAAAGTGGAACTTGACTGTTTTAGTATAACGCGGGTGTGGATTAGCTTGGGGCAATCCAGTCGAAGTACTACGAAGAAAGTCTGCTTCCCTCCCATGATATCTCGGCATTTGTAAGAATATACATTGGTAATCTCGTTTCTCGGGCCCGTCTCCCATATGAGATAGCTGTAAGTTCGGGTTGAAACGATCTGAGACCTGACTGGATAATTTGAGCTGGCAGCTCAGTCATCTAGATGGTGGGCTTTCATGATATCAGATATATTCTATTACAATTTATCAGCCGATCTGATATAATGTTTAATTGGTAAGAAATCTTTGTCCTTTTATAGTGAAGAATTATGGTTGAGAGCTTGGAACCTTATCCCAACATATAGAGCTTAGAGATACCAGTTTGTTCGAAAACGGTATGAATCTTACTCACTGAGACACTGTCAATATTAGCTCATTGAATGGGTTACTCGCGCCAGTGAGAGCTTAGAGGCGAGGAAATGATATTATATAGCTTATAGTTACTGTGTGCTGTTGCCGAGCCGATATAGTAACACGGAGGGCAGACCGGCAGAGATTATCGACAGCATGCATAATGATTCCTAGTAATTGGAAAATTGTCTCCACATCCGAACAAAACGGTGAAGGGCAATTCTCTCTCTTGTGAGAGATATGATACGGCAGTAGAATCTGTGTAATTGATGAGTGCCAAGTGTTCCCAAAGAGCTGTCTAGAAGTTAGGTTTAGTTGGTGGTCGATGGCACCAAATACACAACAGAAGAGGGCTTTACGCCTTTAAGTTAGACAAATAAACTTATTGGTAACACAGGTCTTTAATTTTTTGGACATGTTCAGTTTTACTGTCATGTGAAATTCCCATCTGTCGGGAGGGAGCCAACGTGCCCGAAAGAGACTCAACTTGTCTCTATTCGGACGATTATCCGGCTTTAACCACCAATTCATCACAGCCTTGGCAGTGGCTTTTTCTTGCTTGGCGTTGAATAAACCAATGGAAACCATGATACTCGAGCTTCCCTTCTTGGAGATCCCCGACAGCTTCATTCTTTCTGTTTCTATAAAACTTAGAGGTTCAGCTGAATATTTCGACTGCTCAGTTGTGTTTAAGGTTACTTCTGCTCCATCCGCATGTCTTTTCAAAATGTCATCTGCACTTACGACAACCGTCAATATCATTTCTGCGGCCATTTACACTATGGTGAGACCAACCGGTTCAGTCATAGACGCGAATCCCACCGCAACAACAATCGGGCTGGGGTGCCCAAGCCACGAGAACATCGAATGTAATCAGAACTATACCAATACATTCGTGGTCGGGCCATGGACCAGTACAGTCGTTCCAGAAGGACTGCCTTCTACTGGAACGTTTCGATGGTTTTTCGAAATTGAAAGGGAGGCAATATCGTATGAGTGTCTCATGAGCTCTGGCATACACAAGACTTGCACTGGCCTTCAAGTCCCGCTAGGTTATACGAGGTGGGATACAGAGAGGGACTGGACACGTAATAGCTGGACTGTGACAGAGACGGATGAGATGCTGGATACCATTCAGTTGCCGATCGTCCTCACCTCGGGCCTAGAGCAGCTGGGAACTGATGTTCAAGCTACACCTACAGAGGATGCCAGGAAGATCTCTGCTTCATTACGAAAAGCCGCGACCGAAACCCTTCCTCCAGTCACCCCGACCTTTTTCATTTACGATGCAGAGGAATATATGATACATACACCAACGGGCTCAGTCGTAAACGTTAATCCTACAGCGACCACCATTAAATTGGGATGTCCCGTCCAATCCGATTGCCCATATGAATACAGCAACACATTTGTTGTCGGACCATGGGCTAGTACTATCGTTCCAGAGGGCTCGGCATCAACAGGCACATTTCATTTTTATCTTGCTAACAGTTACTGGGGGACAGCCCTCTCTGTGGAGTGTCTTATGAGTAGCGGCATACCTCAGACATGCACGCACTTGGTTACAGAGATGGAAACCAGGACTTGGAAGGGTGGAGATATTTATGGAGGCCCAGTCACTGAAACGGCGACAAACATGATACCAGGCGCGACGCTGGCAACGCAGTTTACGTACATGTCAATTGTCATCACTGCTGGTCAGGAGCTACTTGGGGATGCTACAACAACTTCAACTGATTCAGCGTCATCGGAGGAGACGAATGGGGTTGGATCGAGTGCTGCCTGTATTGGGGGCGTTGTGGCCGTAGCTGTGATTGCTTCTCTTATCATAAACTAGCAATATTCCATAGCTGAGAATTTGTTTCCATCTTGAATCATAGTAAGAGGCTAGCATATGACCACATTGAGAGTGTGTATCAGAGCGGAATTCTGCTTGATCGCGAGATATCAGATTAGCCGGCTTTAACCACGCGAAATTACTAGCCAAGCTCAGCCCTAGCAGGCTCCTATTCATCGTCCCATGAGTTGACCAACCAGAATCATCAGTTGACATTCCATTTTAAGAATTCGCCGAGATCCATGTGCCTCTTTATTTCTCTTAAAAGCCTGGCCATCCCACTCAAGACTCTTCATCGCCAACATCCCACCATAGTCATTCGTTATAACTAAAATGTCGTCAGCACTTACCACACCAGTCTTCATACTTCCTCTGGCTCTCTACAAAGAACAAACACCCTCAGCCGTAGTAATCGCCGCCAATCCAACAGCAACAACAATACAATTATACTGCCCTGACGAAATCTCCGCAGCATGCGAATCATCTGGGTATAACAATTCCATTGTGATCGGGCCATGGGCTAGCAAGACTCTCCCAGCTGGCGCGGCTTCAACGGGCGTCTTCCATTGGATGTTGGCATTGAACGATCTGGGCGGCGCCAGCTCTGTTGAGTGTCTTGTGAGCAGCGGCACGCCTCAGATTTGTACGACCATGGCGCTGCCGAAGGAAACCGGGGAAGACGGGATCACCGACGTTGTGACTGGTTTTGGAAGTATCACGAAAGAGTTTGAGCTCATGTTTGGCACTCTGCCGATCGTCATCACCAAGGGTCAAGAGCTGCTTGAAAGAGCATCTCAGGCCACGACCACGGAGGATTCTAGTGCTGTTCAAGCAACCGGAAGTGAGACTGAGGTTATAAGTGCAGAGGTCACGGCTACTAGCACTTCAACTGATGCCGTGGCACCGAAGGAAACCAATGGAGCTGGATCAAGTGCTGTTCGTTTGTTGGGTGCCTTATTTATGGCCGGATTAGCCTCATTCATTGTGCAATTTTGAGGGGCTAACATGAATCTACGGGTTGATTTCTAAGAATGATCCCAAGTGAATTCCAGGTGATGGGAGTACTCCAGAGCTCAATGTTTAGATACACATTCAGCAAACGACATCACTAAGTTACCATAGTATACGTTGCAAATGCAGTCTAATAATTATATATGTAATAAGAATATCTTATTTATCAATTTTTTAAAATGAAAGGACTCAAGAATCCTTCTCGTTCACTGGGGAGGGATCGATGTTTCAAGTTGAGCATTACGTCAGCTAAGATCAGCACAAAATCAAGGCAACCTAATGTTGGAACTGTCATCACCGAAGTTGACTGACCAAGAATAAATCCACGAAAACAATGTCGACAGGGGAAACTCAAGAGGCCCTCGCATGGAGGGGGCGACAGACGACGATGCGACAGCAGCAGCAAAACATGCCGCCTGCAGTAGTGCAAATCGTCCTCGCCCAGGCTAAGCATCAATTCGACGAGCTACAGCGAATGACACCAGAACAGCGACGCGCGGGCAATCGTATGGGCGCCTCCTACGATGATATTCCCATCACTGATCCCAACGATCTCATGCTTTTCAACGGCTTTTCTTCCACACAGCCCGATTTTGTCCAATTCGGCAAGGCCTGTCGAGAGGGTGATATGGCTACTGTCGAGTCCATCGTTACCTCTAAATCTCGCACGCCAGCCTTCCTTCACGAAGGTCTTTTTAACGCTTTGGGTAGCGGCAAGGTTGATGTTACGCGCTATTTGCTTGATGCTGGAGCACCAATCACAAGAATAACTCCATCATGGGCTTTGGCTGCTCCAAAAGACCAGCAAAAGCCCTTGTTCGAACTGCTTCTGCAGCACGGCTGGACTGTAAACACACCTGGCTTCTACGGAGCTGTCCTGCTACCATCTGTTATTCGCTCGGGTAACGTTGATCTTCTTGACTGGTTTCTCGAGAATGGTGCAGATCCGAATCTTGGCAAACAACAGGATAATCGCGACCGTTTTGGCGATCCTGAAACAAATTCATGCGAGGCGCTCGAGATTGCAGCAACGATAAGCACAGTCGAAACTGTACAGAAGCTCCTCAATTCTGGTGCTAAAATTGACAACGGAGCACCATTGTATTATGCAGCAGGCGCCTATCCGCCAGGATCAAATCCTCACGCCGGAGTTATAACACCAAGCAAAGAATTTGACGAGGCGAGGATTCCTGTCATGGAGTTGCTGGTAAAGAACGGTGCGCGGGTGAACGATAAGTCAATCTCGCGCCATGTGACAGCGGAGTATCCAATTGTCAATGCTGTCATGGCGGGCGCTATTGAAAGGGTGAAGTGGCTGTTGAGTCAAGGCGCAGATCCAGATATGAAGGGACAGTTTGGCAGTGCTCGCGAGTATGCTGAAAAGCTTTCTAGTGATGAGATAAAGCGTGTGCTACAGGTACTTTAAGGTACCAGGCTAGATTGAACTAGTGATGGGCGTGGAGGAAACCCTTTTAGATACGGACTTAAGTGAATGAATAAATGGTGTGAGAATGAAACCGAGTTAACACTACGGTCTACAGCTCGATACTATTGTGACCTGAGAATCCCATATATACTTTTCATATGCATACCATTTGTTCGTGAAGCACGGAGCCAAGATAAGCTTATTATCAGCATCATTTGGCAACCCATCAATGACTTCAATACTGCCTCGTAATGCTTTCGTGTCGTGTCGTGTCGCAAGAGCTGAATGCAGGGTCCTTTCAGGCTGTGCTAGATCAGGCGCCTACAGGGCCCTGGCTCTAGTGGCGGTGCAGCCCAAGCGCTGGAACGGCATGTCCCATTGGCCGTAGTTAGCTCACACAGCCACTAGAGCCCGCTTTTTAGCCCTGAACGCGTGTCGGAGACGACAAACCTTAATTCTAAATATTCCTCGTTGCCGTTTTAAAAGTCAATCTCTCTCTACCCCTAAAACCCTCGTTTCCTTAACCTTGTTCCTAATCTCAAAATTTTCAACGATTAAATTCTAAAATTCCGCCACTCGAAGTCTATCCCTGAGCTATTATTCGCTCAAGCATCTATACAGCAACCTATCAGCCCTACAAATGTGCTTATTCAATCTCTTCTCAAAAGACAAAGACGAAAAGGACGATCTACCGCCTCCACGGCCAACAAGTCTTGGGCGCAGGACACCAGAAGCCACATCAAGACTCCAAGGGAGCAAATTCGACGGTAGTCCAAGACCATCCGGTGACAAAGACAAGTACGGTTACGGAGTCGGCTACAGCTCTGGCAATGGATCGTTAGGCGTTGGTGGACCGCATGGCGGCGGTGGCCTGTATGGTGGTGTCAATGGTGGTGTTTATTCTGGCGTTAGTGGAGGATCAAATGGAGGCGTTAATGGGGGAGTTTATGGTGGTGTTTCAGGGACAACGCATGGTGGCGGATTGGCGCCGGCGGGGGGGTATGGGAGTTCACCGGGAGGAGGGCATGGATACCTATGATTGAAGGGAAGTGATTGGCGGCGGATCATTATTGCAACTTTTTATTTTTAAGCGCTGAAATATCCTAAGATACCTAGAACAAAGAAGAGACTTTGTCGCCTTTGATCGGGAGACTCGAAAGCAAACCAGCATCGCAAGCGGTTTATTGAACACTGAGTTGCATGTTATGCTAGGGCCGGTAGCTGCCTATTACTCTATTATTCTTTGTCTCCAATTAACACGAGCGTTACCATCACGCTTGCCATCTTCTCAAAGCGAAAACGAGATATCTGCCTATACGGCTGTCGGCTGCTTGAATGAACTTCGTTAAAAGACTTGAACACGCGCTTTGTTGTATAGGATTGACACGTGAAAGAATTAGAAAAAAGTTAATTTGAATAACCAATGCACCTCAGTGACGGTAGCAGAGCAACTCAAGCGATGTGTTTCATTCACCGCGACTTGAGCTTAAGACTGTTCGAATGAGATCCAGGAATAAGAGTGTTATTTTGAGTTGATAGTCCCCACAGCTGATGGCTTACATCACGCGCCTCACACATGAGAAAGCGTGATGAAATTCAGTTGCAACTTATTGATATCATGAAAAGGTAGACTGTATCGTGCCTAATTCAAGGATTGATGAGCGAGCTTTTTTACTTTAGGCCGCGAACACAGGTGTTGAATGGCAACCGGATGTTTGTTTTTATTTTTCTTCAGTAGAGGCTTTTAACCAGAAGCTTTCACGATGATCAGGCAATTCAGAAGAAAGAGAATGGTGTACTGCCATTTACTGCTTGCATTACCTCGTATCATGAAGGTGGAGGGCGTATGAAGACGAAGGTCAAGGAAGGCAAAACCCTGGTTTACCTTGCCAACAGGGAGTAAGTAGACCAGAGCCTCGTAGAGGAGATATATCCGCTGGCTTCCTTATTATTTACAATAACGAATACTAAAATTTGGCCGTCTCAAAAACGCCATGCCGTCCCGCTCCACTACTGAAATTCGCCGCGCCCTTCACACTCTCTGTAGTAATGACCTTGACCCCATTCTCAAACTCATTCCTCAACGCATCCTGAAACGACGATGCGTTATAAACAGAGTAGTAACAACTAGCCCTGTCCACATTCATGCACTCCTGCGGAAACGTGAGAAGCTGCTTCGCAATCTTGGTCGCCTCCACCAACGCCTGTCCCTTGGGTACAACACGGTTCGCGAGTCCAAACTGCAACGCCTCCTGCGCCGAGACAGCTCTTCCAGTGAGGATCATATCCATCGCTCGGCCGAGGCCGATGATGGCCTGTAGCCGAACTGTACCGCCGTCGATGAGGGGAACGCCAAATCTTCGGCAAAATACGCCGAAGACGGCGTCTTCCTCGGCAATCCGCATGTCGCCTATGAGCGAGAGCTCCAAGCCTCCAGCGACAGCGTAGCCCGAGACGGCGCTGATGACGGGTTTCTTTACTTGCATTCTTGAAGGGCCGATTGGGCCGATGTTGCGGTCTTCAACTTTATGGCTCGGGTCTATGATTGGACCGAGATAGTTGTCTGTCCCCTGCGCGGGATTCCACTTGGCGACTTCATGGAGATCGAAGCCTGCGCAGAAGGTCCCATGTGCACCGTAGATGATGCAGACCTTTTGCGTGGCGTCGTTCTCAAATGCCAGAACAGCGTCGGTGAGCTTTTTGGCTGTAGGTCCATCTATGGCGTTCTTACGATGGGGACGTGAAAGAGTGATGGTAGTGATTCCATCAGAGGTCTGGGAGACTTGAACTGCTTGAGGCTCTGTATCAGTCATGTTTGTTGAGACGAGAGCGTTGTTGTAAGTGCTGAAGCAACGAGGAGGAGCAGTCCGTTCAAACGTCTTTTTGTATCCGGGACCGGCTGGATCGGATCAAGAGCCCGTTATAACCGATAAGCTGTTTACGTTTTACTTATTATTAATGAGAGGAGAATGTATATAGAAGGGCGTGACACATGAAGTGATTGGAGGTCTCCTCAGCTTTGACGTCTGCAGAGGATATTTTGAGTTTAGCGCCGTCTGATATCCTCGGCACGAGGCTCTTTTCATGTTCATGAGTTATTCTCGAACAACATAGGTAAATGCGAAAAGATATTCGACAATCATTCCAAGGTGATTCCCCGTGAAATCTACGAGAACTCTTAGACAATAGGGTTAGCATTATTCAACAAAAACTTGTAGGTCCCTTTTCAGGCTTGTGAATGAGAGCAGTGTCGGCCATACTTTAATCCGATCTCGCGGCATCAGTCTAACCGAATCCAACCGTCTCTGAAGTCGCAACGCGCCGAACATCAATACAGTCAAAGACACAGCTCGTGCAACGATGGAGTCAAGAGGGATTAATTCTGGCCTTCTCATGCGACTCCTCACTCTATTTCTCTACAATCTTAACAAGATTCCATGTGTCTACCGGCTACGAAAACATCCGGGGCGCATCCTCTTAGTCTCATCCAAGCTCTGCATCAAAGCAACCGCCTTCACAACATTGACAGAAGCAAATACCATGCAATTCGTTGCGAATAACACATCAATACCAGTACCAAAAGTCTACTGCAGCTTCAAGTACAAAGGCCGTGTCTATATACTTATGGAAAGGATCCGAGGTCAGGATCTATCGCAGGATTGGACGCAACGATCGGAAGACTCCAAGGCGCGAATTCTCGCGCAATTGAAGACTTTTATCACACAGTTACGCAGCATTTCCCCGCCGGATGGTGTTGGAGTCGCCAATGTTGATGGGGGTCCCGTCTTTGACCAGCGTCTTCCTGGCAAATCCTTCTGGGGTCCTTTTGCAACAATCCAGGAATTTCATCGAGAGCTGCGTCGTGGTCTTGAGCTTCAGGATGCAGAAGAGGCGTTCCCGGGTCTGAGGGAACTTGTCGAGTTTCATAACGGCCCGTGGGGGGACCCGGTCTTCACCCACGGTGACCTAAGTAGCCTAAATATTATGGCTGCCGGGGATACAGTGACGGGTATTTTGGACTGGGAGTCGGCTGGATGGATGCCGCCATACTGGGAGTATACGTCAGCATGGCATGTTAATCCACGAAATACGTTCTGGCGCGACGCGGTCGACGGGTTCCTGACGCCTTTGCCTCATGAACTGGAAATGGAAAAAATACGTCGGCAGTACTTTGGCGAATTCTAGCTGGGTCTCAATATACAAGTCTCCTACACGGAATCCTTTATCATGCCGGACCCTCATGGTACCAGCTCCTTTCTTTCAAGCAGGCTATATGTCGATACCCTGCTAGTATCAAACTGTCCTGGGGCAGCTTGACCATCAAATCGATGCTGCAAGGCCTTCTGCTCAACGTACCACATAGCCGTATCACGGACCGTGGTCCAATCTAGCACCGCAGTTCCCAGAGCATCCTTGTTGTTTTGTAGGGCTGCGACTGCTTCCTTGACCCATTCAACACAATTCCATCCCGGCTGGACCCCTCTCACAGGCACACTCCTCAAAGTTGCTCCAAGCTTCTTCAGGCTCTTAACCTTAGCAATTTGAATGCGGACCAAGATCATGAGGGTGGATGCCGTGCCGGTCTCCTGCTCACTGAACTCCCAGACGGATTGCGTGCCACTATAGATCCGTTCTTTGGCGTGGAAGCGTTTACCGCGCGTGTCGCCATCTTCGGCTTTTGGCCCAACCAGAAGAGCCCAGTGGTATCTGTTGCTATTCGTAAGACCAACTTGTCTTCCCCGCCGGGCATTTTCACAGTACCCCCTCGAGCGTACAATCCGACATATAGACGATCCTTGTTAGATGGCATAATGTACACTATTGTTCTTGTTTGTATTAGTGTGATCCTTTCGCGAACAATTTTAATGCTTTTCGTTGAATACCAGAGGGACAGAAGATGTTGTCAAGTGTAGGCCTTATTTGGGATCTAGTCGGTCGTCGGAAGGGTTGAGAGAGCAGCAATTACACATAATTGATGCTTAAAATGTAGAAGGAAAAGCCTCCGGGGGTGATGAGTATCAATGGGCTATTGTCTATGTGGCAGGTTCTTATAGACAAGAAACCCTTGCCTCATGTTTCCAGCGCTTCGTCGCTGCAGGCCAATGAATGGTCAACGGTGCCGCTGAGTTTCATTAGCCACCCCGTGAGAACCTCAAAGCGCCGTTACTAAGAATATCACCTTCCCCTTTTCATTGAAATCTATTATGCTCTGATGCAGGATTTTTAAAATAGTAATTGATTGCCCCAATTGCTCTGATATGCCCTACTCTACGAGGCCTCTATCGCGATTCTTCGCACTCGGGCCATGCCAAGGCCCCGGCCGCGTAACGGTAGCTAGCACAAGTATGATCTGTTCGCTTAGAGACCTACAAGATTCCAAGAAAATAGTTAAGCTATCTTGCCTACTCTGCTGGGCCCTCTGTAGATTCTCAAGTCTACGTTTACGCGATTGTGGTCTTTGCGTTGATTCGTCAATTTCGCGTCTGACTCATCAGCAAAAACCGCATATCTCCCGTAAGGTTAGTAGGTGAAGGAATAGTGCGCCAATCCATGTCATTGATATATTTCCGCGACTGTTTCTCTTTGTTGATTCTTAAAACGCGTTGGAATGGCCTCATTTCTACGGAAAATATTTTGGCCTGGCCGGGCATGGAGACCCCTCGTTTTCTCGAATCCCAGTTTCCAAAGAATTCCTGTCGACGAACGGATAGAAGAAGAGCGGTTCCCTGACTATATCGCGTCTCGTTACTATCCCGTCAAGATTGGGGAAGTCCTGCGCGACCGCTACCAAGTTGTTGGGAAATCAGGCTTCGGAGCTAGCTCGACCGTTTGGCTGGCGCGCGACTTGGAGTAAGTCCACCGGATACCTCTGCGCAATACCAATGTACGAAACTCTCTGCTAATATCAGGCAGTGGCCGCCGGCATGTCGCGCTAAAACTCTTCATTAACAATCAGTCTATGGGACAACACTGGATAATGAGCTCGAAATGTACAAGCGCATCTCTGCTTCTTCATCAAAACACCCTGGTCGCAGCGCGGTTAGAGAACTGCTTGACTCGTTCGACGTTGTTGGGCCTGATGGATCTCACCGATGTCTTGTTCATCCTCCGCTCTGGGAGAGTATGTGGACATTCCTTAACCGCAATCCAGTGAGAAGACTGCCTCCCGTGGTCCTCGCTGTCACCCTGCGTCGACTCTTTCCGGCACTCGATTACCTGCATGCAGAGTGCACGGTTATACATACAGGTATGTTACATAGTCATGAGCATGCCTAGAATACTTGCTTACCCATTGACACACAGATATCAAAGGAGACAATATCATGTTCGGTATTTATGATGACTCGGTATTCACAGCTTTCGAGGAGGAGGAGCTCAGCGATCCAACTCCACGGAAGGAAGTTGACGGCAGAACTATATACTTATCACGAGAACTTCGAAAGCCCAAGGACTATGGCGCGCCAGTTCTATGCGACTTTGGCTCGGCTGTTCCTGGTGATGTCGAACATTCCGAAGATATCCAACCCGATATTTAGAGAGCTCCCGAGGTCATCCTTGAAGCCCCGTGGTCATACAAAGTGGATATATGGAACGCAGGATGCATGGTAAGCCACCCGGAACATCGTTTGATGCACTGAAACTGATTCCTTTCGGCATCAGATTTGGGATATCTTCGAAGGTCGGCATATGTTCACAGGACATGACCCCGAGTTTCAGAAATACCGCAGCAGAGCCCATCTCGCCGAAATCATCGCGCTGCTCGGTCAGCCTCCATCCAAAGTCCTTCAAGCCGGCAAAGCTAGCCACAAGTTCTTCACAGACACTGGTAAAATGCTCTTGCCAACCATCATAAATACTTCCGTTTGCTAATCAGCGACTACTGTAGGTGACTTCCGTAAGGAGATAGAGCTTCCTGAAAGAACCTCACTGGCAGACCAAGAAGTCAGTCTTGAAGGGGAGCGAAAGGAGATGTTTCTAGCCATGATGAACAGGATGCTCCAATGGGATCCGGCTAACAGAGCATCGGCGAAAGAACTTGCTGAAGATCCGTGGATAACGGCGTATTTGTAGTATAGTTGGGCACTTTGGATCAGAGACACTCCCTCTACTTGACGTACTGGGCGTGCTTGTCAGTAATGTTGAAAGAGGATGAAATGGAAGCGTTTCTGTTGCTGATGGATGGTATGATAACTTCGCGACGGCTCTCCAAAGTCGACCCGCAGCTCATGGCCGTGAGGCCCGTCGAGTGTTTCAGCGAGGTGAAGGCCATTCTCTCGCTCCTTGACTTGTCTTTCAATTGCAACTGAAGTGATTCCCTGCCAGTTTTATCAGACCATTATGTATTTTCCATTTCTTGTTGCTCATCAGACCCAAGCCCGCAAACTTACTTGATCATACAGCTTTATGCGACCAGCGCCGTCATAAGGACCAGAGGACACTTGACGGCCGTTAGAAGAAGGGGCTATCAAAGATCAGATAGGTGAGAGTAGGTGAGGCGTTCTAAAAGAGTATACTTCGATAGTGTGTCTATTACAGATATTTCAATTCTATTCACGGGCCAGAAAGATCCCAGTTAAGGAAGAAATTAAGTCTAGAATTATACGTATAGTCCCTGGTCTGGCTATCCCTACCTTGCCTCTGCAATCGCCAGCTCAAAGGCAAAGGCCGTTGTAGGATCCTGATGCTTCATCCGCAACCTCACCTTCCCCTCCTTTACGACCTCTTCCCTCTCCCCAAGATCATGCGGGCCATCAACGCGCCTGAACTTATCCCCGTCAACAATACGAAAAGCCAATATCTTGACCTTGATTCGTGTATCATCTGTCAGACCAACTACATCAACAGACCAATTGCCAGGTCTTGAACGAGTACCAGCTAATATCCGCACAACATCTCCCTCAACAGTGGCATAAATATCGAGCAGCCCATCTGAACTAGCACTGGTCTGTAGACGTTGACCGTTCATGCTAGAGGCGTAGTACTTGTACACCTGAAACTCGGCTGTCGGCCAGTATCCCTCGCCTTCGATGGCGTAGCTCCCGTCACTGCTGTTCGGCTTACTCAAAAGACCTGGTATCATTAGTATCTAAAGCAAGACGATGATCGATGGACGTACCAGCCATAAAGTCATGCAATGCTCCAGCAATAGCCCAATTCCCTCGAAGGCCATGTGCATTCTCTCGCTCAAGACCAGCAATCCACCATGCGCCCGCAGAGGGAACCTGTTCTCCATAGACAGCATACTCGTTGATGTTGACATCTTGGGCTTTTTCGAGAGGTATACCGTGCTTGGATAACAGGTCGTGGAATGAGGCCATTGAGCTCGCCATGGTGACTGCTTCGTCGCCGCCCTCCATGTGCCAGGACCATTGATCGGGTAGGCTGTCTTTACAGCGAGACAGGAAAGCTGACCACCATTCATGGGATGCTGAAGGAATGGCTGATATGCTTGGACCAGTAATGCGAACCGACGGAAGTACCTGCCTGTGTACGAATGAGAAAGAGTTCAAGCATTTGGGAAGCAACATACCGAATCTTCTTGAACGAACGAGTCCAGAGCTCCAACCACTGCTCCATCGAACGACCCCAAAAGAAGCTTAAATCCGGTTCATTCCAAATATCCATAACCAAGCCATCAATCATATCAGACTTCTTGACATCATCAAGCGTCCGTTCGAGGAACGCATCCCAGCTTGTCCAATCATTGTCATCTCCAGGGTACGGAAAGCCGTCGGACTGTCCACCATCAGCGCCCCAAGCAGCGGGGAGCAAGTAGATGAACTCGCCGCCGTGTTTACGAGTAGTTCTGTAGTTGCTCAACGCAGAAGCAAAGCGAGCCTAAATCACGTTAATCCATGTAGAAGTATTCTCGGATGTCGCATACCTCGTAGTCTTCAAGGCTGATGGCGTAGCCTTTGGTCCCAGGCAACTGAGATCCACCACCGCGGCCATAATTGAACCCAATGTCTTTGTAGAAGTGATCCGGTATCTGATCAGGCCTATCCGGGATTCCGTACAAGATACCAGACGCGAGATGACGAAGCGGTCCTGTTTGCACGGTGACGTCTACCGTTGCTACTCCGACGACAGCTTCTTTGACCTTGTCTACCTCTGATGGCAGGCTTTTCAGCATGGACATGTACTCTTCGGGCATTTTGGCGATGATCTCTGCTTGTTTGCTTGGTCGTGTGAGTTGAAGTGTTGAGTGCTGAGGTATATACCCATGAAGTGACCGAGACTAAGCCTGTAATGGGAATTCCGGTGGGATGCGAAATTTGTCGCGATTTGGAGATAGAGTTAAATTAGAGTTATTTTCTGACGATTTGGAGAGATGAACCAGATTAATCTGATCCATGAGCCCAGAATCGGAATCCTAGTTCGCATCCCAGTGTCGTATCCCTTCCACCGGAGCGTCCTGACTCGTGATGCCGCGATTAGTGAACCAGCCCCTCCACTCATTCTCCGGTGGGAGACCATCTCCAATTGGACAAGAAAATAGCATCAATCCCCCGCAATGATCATCAAACCTAATCTTCCTACTCTATCCCCATGGGGTGGAAATCTCGGCACGATGTTACTTAAACACGCGACGATCCTTACATTCTTTGCATTTCATCACCCTCATCACCTTTCTTCACAATGTCTCTCCACGAGAAACAAAACATCGACCACGTTGAACAGGATGTCACCTCCCAGAAAGAATGGAGCCACGTCCAAGGCGAGCAGGGCGCCTCTATTGACCGCAACATGTCCCTCTGGGAGGCTATAAGAGCCTACCCTGGTGCCATAGCATGGTCGTTCCTCCTCTCCTCATCCATCATCATGGAAGGCTATGACATTGTCCTCATTGGCAATCTCATGGCTCAGCCGGCCTTTCAAAAGGCTTATGGTGATTGGTACGGCGATAAACTCGGATATCAGATTTCAGGGCCATGGCAGGCTGGTCTTGGGAATGGAACGGCCGTGGGGACTATCATTGGTGCTTTTGCTAATGGTTGGCTTACCGAGAGGTTCGGATATCGTCGTACGCTTGTCGCGTCTCTTGTTGCTGTTACGGGATTCATCTTTATTACCTTCTTTGCGCATAATCTTCCGATGCTTCTTGCTGGATCTATTCTCTGCGGTTTACCTTGGGGCGTTTTCGCAACCATGGCTCCTGCCTATGCCTCGGAGATCTGTCCCATGGCCCTTCGGGGCTACCTCGCCAATTACGTTTGTCTCTGCTGGGCTCTTGGCCAACTCCTCGCCGCTGGCGTCTTGTTCAGCTTCTCCGACAACGCAACCCAATGGGCATACCGCCTACCTTTCGCGATACAATGGATCTGGCCTATTCCTCTCGTCATCATTCTCTGGTTCACGCCTGAATCGCCGTACTGGCTTGCCAAGAAGAATCGTCTCGATGACGCGAAGGCTGTTCTGCGACGAATTTCGGCAAAGAGCAGCAAGACAGACGAGGATCTTGATAAGCAGCTTGCTATGATCGTTCACACCAACAAGATCGAAAGCGAACATACCAAGGGTTCCAGCTACCTCGATTGTTTCAAGGGTATCAACCTTCGACGCACCGAAATCGTCTGTCTTGTCTTTGTCGCGCAGAACACAACTGGCGTTGGTATTGGTGGTACACCAACCTACTTCTTCGTCCAAGCCGGTGTCGACCCAAGCAACTCCTTCAAATTCGCAACTGGTGCACTCGGCCTCGCTTCCGTCGGGGTAATCATCTCCTGGTTTCTCATCTACCGCATCGGGAGAAGAGCGTTATACGTCTGGGCCTGCGGAATCTGCACAGCCCTTATGCTCATCATTGGTATTCTCGCCAGCGTTCCCCAGACTCAAGCTGTCAGCTTCGGCCAAGCTGGTGTTGTTCTGATCTGGGAGATTGTGTTCTACGCTACTATCGGACCTGTTTGCTACGCAATTATTGGTGAGATTCCTGCCGTTAGTGTTCGCAGTAAGAGTATCTGTCTTGCTCGGATTGCATACTACATCTCGCAGATCCTCAATGGCACGTATGGTCCTTACATGATCAATCCTACTGAGGGTAACTGGAAGGGTAAAGTCGGCTATTTCTGGGTAAGTACCGGATTGCCCATGATCATTTCTTCTCTCACATTGTCTAGGCTGGACTTTCTCTGTTGACCTTCACTTGGGCCTACTTCCGCCTGCCTGAAACAAAGGTATGTGCTTAGTTCACTCGATGGTGCTTGATTGCTGACATGTATAAGGACCGAACCTTTGAGGAAATCGACATCCTTTTCGCCAACAAGACTGCAGCTCGAAAGTTCGCTGACACCAAGGTTGATGCTTATGCCGATGACTCCGAGGGTAGAATCATCAAGGAGACGGATGTCTGATGTTCGATGTCAGGATTTGCTGAACTCACGGTGGCGGGACGCAGGGGATAGTCATGTCAGTACATGGTCTTTGATAAGTGTTTAGAGGTTCTATATATCTATGTAAATGACGTTAGACGCTACTAGCTCTCGGGAGCTTTTGGTAACTGTGTTTATGACAAATGGGATGCCTTGAGGAAACTTTTGTCTGGACCTGGGCGGCCATTGCCTACCATCAGAACTTTTATATACTTGTCCGTTATGGACAAACTGACGGCAGTTGTGTCAATTGCCGGTCCCCTCTTGCAACTTTGATCCAATGCTGTCAACCTGTGATCCTCAATAACCTCGCTACTTGCACGCGATGCCTCACTAGATTCGCTCCCTGTCACCATACCAGCGCGTATGCCACAGCCATTCAGCCTCATGACTTCATAGCTCCAACCACCATCTGATTTAGGCGCATATGATCGGGTAATCGATCTGGCAGGTCTAGAGTACAGATCTGACACGTGTAGATGATATCACGGCTTATCGTGACATCATAGATCGGCAATGGCTGATACAACGCCTATAAAGTGTCAGACACCGAATATACATTGGTCGCTCGTCGTTATCACAAATATCCATCACTCTCAAATTCGCTAATACATATACATTCAAAGCCTATTCTTATCAAGTAATCTCCGTCGTCAACATGTCTGATAAGCCTACCACCAACCTCACCGGCACCGTCCCCAAGGCCATGGATGAGCAAGGCAGCGTTGGCAAGCAATTCACAGGTACGAAGATTGTGCACCCATGATAGGCTTACGTCTAATGATCACCACAGAGAAGGGAGCCATTGGAGGAACCGCGCAAAAGATCGGTGGTCCCTTTGACAAGGATGGTGTGATTGGGAAGCAATTCAATGCAGAGGGAAGCATTGGAGGTACAGTTCAAAACAATATGGGAGGAGAGAAGAAAGCGTGAATAGCGAATCCATATTAGCCGTCATAAATCACTGCGAGCCGTTTAGTCGCCTTTTGATACGTTGTAATGATGAAGTTGTGATGTTATTACCATGACAGTTACTATAAGAGCCCGACGTCCCGCCAGTCAATACAGTTCAATTGAATGCGAACCTCTTCTCTATTCGAAAGGATCCCATGGTGAATATTCCAAGAATTTGTGGCTCTGACTTGCGACGTGGTCATGGTCATCATTCTGACGTTGACATGACAGCCAAGACACGTCAACGTCACAGTGTTCACATCTCGGCTTCAATGATGCGCAATAGGACCATTTGCTCCGCAGATTGCTACCGAATCGCATGAAGGGGAAATGTAATGGAAATAGTGACGACTTGGTGATGTGCAAACTGAGGCGGTGTAATACAAGCCACGACAATCATTGGAGCAAGGTGCATACTTGCAGCTGAATCAATCTCGATTGGCAATCAAGCCTATTTAATTCGTCCATGACTTGTATGTACGATTCATCTATTCCTACTTCTGCATTGCAATGATATACACCTGAGCTCGCTCCAGCCCTCTCGCAACCTCGCTTCACCCATAGCCTCTAGAATGCTCTTCTCACTAGCCTCAGCATCACTCCGAGTCTCTCGCATCTCACGCCGCTGCACAGTCCAGCTATCATTCAAAGCATATCAATCCACCATGCCATCTTCCAAGTCGCAACAGTTCTTCCATACCTCGGGCGCGACGGACTCTGTCTGGGTTCATCAAGACCCTGTCTCTAACCGCCCATCGTTCTCCAAGCTCAACCAAGATATTGAAACTGACGTCTGCGTCATCGGTGCTGGCATCGGCGGTATTTCTACTGCTTACGAGCTCGTCACTCGCGGGCGCGAAGTCGTCCTTCTAGAAGCTCGTCAGGTACTCTCTGGAGAGACAGGTCGGACCAGTGGCCATTTGACCAATGATCTTGATGACGGGTATACTGAAATTGCCAAGAAGCACGGCGATGAAGGAGCAAGAATCGCTGCTGAAAGTCACGCCTGGGGAAGAGATCGTGTAGGAGAGATCTCCAAGATACTTGGTATTGAGTGCGAGTATCGCAAGCTTCCGGCTTATGAAGTTTCTCAGTACTCTACAAAGGAAGCGAAGGAGCATGAGGATGAGATGAATGAGCTTCGCAAAGAAGAGGCAGCTCAGCGAAAGTTTGGCATAGACGCTAGATTCGATGTAAGTCTCCCCAACACTCTCATCCCGACTGTTTAGCTAATGCTGTAAAGGAATCGTTGACAGTTCGTGGTTGGGATGGAGCAATCGACCAGCGCGGCGGTCTCGTCGTCAAAGACCAAGCAACATTTCACCCAACAAAGTATCTCAACGGTATCCTCAACTGGCTCAAAACCCAGCCCAACTTCCGCTGCTTCGACGGAACTCGCGTCATGTCCGTTGAAGAAAAGGGCATTGAGATCTTCGGCATCGGCAACAAATCCGTCACCGTCACAACAGCAGATGGCTACACCGTCAAGTGCAGCAACGCCGTCGAAGCAACATGCGTTCCTCTCCAGAAACTCAGCGTCATCGCTCAGATGGAGTTCATGCGTTCTTACTGCATCGCTGCGCGTGTGCCCAAGGGCGCTATTGAGGACTGTCTTTTGTATGATCAGGCGGAGGAGTATAAGTATATTCGACTGACGGCTTGTGATGACGAGCACGATTATCTTGTTGTTGGGGGTTGTGATCACAAGGTTGGGCAGGAAGATACGACTACTGAGTTTGGAGACCTCGAGAAGTGGACGCGCGAGAGGTTTTCGCAGGTCAAGTCTGTTGACTATCGCTGGAGTGGACAGATCTTTGAACCTGTTGATTTCATGCAGTTTATTGGTAAGAACCAGGGCAACGATCACATTTACATCATCACGGGTGATTCAGGCGATGGCTTGACGCATGGAGTTTTGGCTGGGCGATTGATTGCGGATGAAATCGACGGTATCAAGAACCCGTGGGCAGATGTCTACTCTCCCAAGCGCATCGCATCAATGGTCAAGTCCCTCCCTAGTATGATCGCCCACGATGTCCAGATCAACGCGCAGTACAAGCGCTTCCTGCAGTCGGACATCACAGACATTGAAGATCTCGGTCGCGGAATGGGCGGAGTATTGAACAAGGTAACGTCTCTTTGTTACTGTTGTACGTGCACAGCTAATATGTTTCAGGCCGGATCAAAGCCCATCGCGGTGTACAAAGACGAAGACGGCAACGTGAAGCAGTACAGCGCTTTGTGTCCCCATATGAAGGGCGTTGTGTGCTGGAACACTACCGAAAAGAGCTTCGACTGTCCTGTTCACGGAAGTCGATTCTCACGAGAGGGTATTTGTGTGATGGGACCGTCAAAGGGAAACTTGGATCCTGTTGATGAAGCTGGCAAGGATGATCAGGAGAATGTCGCCGGCAGTTAGATGCAGCCAACAATTGAGGATATTCTTATGTAATTCAGCTTCTCAAAGTATCCGCACATACGATGAAACGTGCGTAGGTAATACGTGCTAAACCGCTACGACGTTGTACGCGTACACATCATCAATCCACCAAAAGGCGACATGCTCAACGCGTCATCTCACCAATAAAACGTCTGCGTTTACGATGAGCCCAATTATTTGCGTTTCGCAACACCCTTGCCTCACGTCAGACCACAAACACCGAAGAAGCCGAGTGTGCACAGTGACAAAAAGGATGAGACACATTTTGCCTGAAAGCTCACGTCATCTTTTCTTACATCCCATGCGGGGTAAAATAGCTGATGACGCCAACATTAGTCCCGTCATAGACGTGAGCTCGATATAAAGTCAGGGCATCATTGACCGTTTTTCATCTTGATAAGGACGTTGGAGTGGCTTGACATTGTAATTTCTGCTTTTTACTGATATCGATTCATCATGAGGTCTCTTTTGGCTCTTACTTTGGCTACGGCCACTTCAGCTTTCGTCATCCCCGAGGGTTTGGATGCGTTCAATACTTGGAAGGATGATCTGAAGCAGACGCTTGAAGACATTCCTACTCGCTTCCGCAAGACTCTCGACGAAGCGACCGAGCAGCTCTCTACTGAGTTCACAGCCGCAATTCACAGCAGACTCCAAGATGAAGAAGCTTTCTTCCCTGAGGATGATGTAGACGACGAGTCTGCGGATATCTTTGGCCGAACAGGCGGTGACTTTACCGATCATACGACGTATGAACTCATCGCCAAGAGCAACTACACCAAGAAGTTCTTCAAGCTTGTGCAGAAGCACGAGAAGTTTGGAAAGTTGCTTAACAGCACTGATGCGAACTACACGCTTTTTGTCCCGACTGATGAGGCATTTGAGCATATTCCTCATCATCATAAGGATAAGCCTAGTGATGAGTTTGTCGAGGCTGTTCTTAACTACCATCTTGGTATTGGGGAGTATCCTGCGTCGCGAATTCTGTTCACGCATACTATTCCTACGACGCTGAAGGAGCCTCTGCTTGGTGATAAGCCTCAGCGTCTTCGCACGAGCGTTGGATTCTCGGGTGTGAGGGTCAATTTGTACAGCAAGGTCATTGCAGTCAACTTTGTAAGTACATCCCGTTGGATGGAATGAGGGTCACTGACTGTTGCAGAAAACCAAGAATGGCATCATCCACGCCGTCAACAGAATCCTCGTCCCTCCTCCCTTCATCGGCAAGGAAATCAGCCTCTTCCCCGCCCAATTCTCAACCCTTCTCCTCGCCTTCGAAAAGACCGACTTCGTCAAGTACATCCACAACATCCCCATGGTCGGCAGCACCGTCTTCGCCCCCTCCAACGACGCATGGCGCCGTCTCGGTCCCCGCGCAAACGCCTTCCTCTTCAACACCGAGACAGGCAAGAAGTATCTCAAGGCCCTTCTCAAGTATCAGATCGTCCCCAACATTACTCTCTACAGTGATGAGGTGTACTACGGCGATGAGAAGGTGTCGAAGAATTTTTATGGTCATGGAGATGACTTCCACATTGAGCTTCCTACGCTTCTTGAGAGGAGTGTTGGTGTTGATGTTCATACTTTCAAGAGCTGGACTACTATTGTGTTGAATGGACATAATGTTATTGGGTTTAATGATGCTGTTGGTAAGAATGGTGTCATTCAGGTTCCCAAGACTATCCCTATTCCGCCTCATAGAAAGGGTGAGCATCCTTCTGAGATGGAAGGTGAGATTAGCGTTGAGGAGTTGAAGGAGAGATTGGAGGAGTATGTTGAGGAGGATGAGGATGACTTTGAGAACGGCGAGCTGTAAGAAACTGTCACTCTTTAGACAGTGGAAGGATGAAAAGTCCAACAGTAGAATGCAGAGTCGGTATCATAGTGTAGGATAGTAGGGAGAGGACAACTTAGACTACAAGGAAACAATGAATAGTCTCCCATCTGAGCTACGTTTACACATTCTAAGACCATGATACAACACCTAAGTCACTATCAACAAAACCTAGCTTCAAGAAACATGATTACTATGAGCATCACTTTACAAATGCATAAGATTTGACAGAAGACCAATGGATTCCTAATCTAGATGTCTAGTCTAGTCCGTCCTGTGTATCGCAATTCCCAGGATCTCCGTCACTGGTGGTCCGGCATTCTGAGCTCAGACATTCTCTTCCCAAGACTCTATCAAGTCAAGTGGTAAACAAAGACAAAAACAAAAACAACCTGGAGTGGGGGACTTTCAAGTCTACTCGCGCACTCGGTCTGGCATTCCAAGCTCAGACAACTTTTACCAAACTCCATAAAACCAAAGACATAGGGAAGAAGGGGTAAGGCCACAGTTGTGCAGTGGGCTTAGTTCTCAGCAGCCTTGATGAGATACTGACGCATTCCCGAATTGTCAGCCTTGCCGAGAGTCTCAATCTTGAGACCGACCTCGTTGGTAAGCTGGTGGATCTCGCCCTCGTACCGCTTCCAAGACTTAAACATCTTGAAAGTGGTACCAGCGGCGACCTTGATTCCAAAGTTGGTGCAATACATGTCGTGAGTCGCAGTCACATCAAAATAGTGCATCGCTTTGTTGAGCTTGCTTTCAACGATCCAAGCGGTCTTGGGGTTAGCACCAACAATGCCAGCGTGGTCCTGAAGACCCTGGAGATAGGTGGTGAAGAAAGCGTCATACTCGACGGTATTGTATGCGGCGTGGGTTTGGCTCGCCTCATCGCCAGTAGGTCCATCTTGGCCGACGATGAGACGGTCGACGGGGGTCATGTGGCCCTTGAACTCGATGCAACGATCCTTGGCCATGGCGTCGGGGGCATTGTAGAAGATACTGCCGAGGGACAGGAAGAGACGAGCAGTAGGACGGGTCTGCTTAAAATAAATGTCTCCCTGCTCGAAGGAGCCATAGAGACCAATGCACTTCACGCCGGGGAAAGTGACCTTAGCCTTGGCGATGTGCTCAACAAGAGAGGCGTGAGAAAGGTCGAGAGCGACATAGACACACTCCTTGCCCTGAGCGATGAATTCGTGAACGTAGGGCTCAAACTTCTTGGAGTTCGCGGCACCGAGATCGATGATGTGAGTTCCGGAAGGGAGTTGCTGGACAACTTGCTGGGCGGTGGCCTTGATGATCGCCATCTCGTCAGAAGTCTGGTAAGACTTATCAGCAATGCAGTTCCACTTCTCCATTCCGGAAGTGTAGGCGATCTCCTTGGGGAAGTCACCCTTGCTAAGGAAGGCCTTGGGAAGCTGGTCGTCCACAAAGGTGAGGTTGATGGACGAACCACCGATGTCGATGACCTCACCGTCGGTAGGGTAAGCAGTAGAAAGAGAAGACATATTGTCTGTAGTGAAAGGGATGATAGTGTGTGGTTTGGTTTGGGGTATGAGTAAAGGTTGATAGTCCTTGTGAAGTGTTATGAGTTGATGTGAAGACCAAGGTCGAGATGTTGTGAGGTTGGTGAGGAGGAAAGAAGAGAACTGGATCAACAGCAGAAAGGAACTATTTATTTGGATACTGGAGAGGAATAGCATTTGACAGTGGTAGGGAACAATGCCATTGCCAGTGGGAACAACAGTCGTTTTCTGGCTTTTCCATTGTGACTCGCAGTCTTGTTCAGTGGGGAGTTGCCAGCTGAAAAGGACTGCCAAAACAGAGTGAACGAGCTGACAGTCCAATTGAACAAAGAGTTCGCAGTGGCAGACAGGATGAACCAGCAAGGCTGTTCTTGAATCATTCTCTGTGAGTTGTTTGAGAGCTTTGGGGAGTTGATTGGTGGGAGGGATTGATGGCAAGTCTTGAGACTGTTCAGATGGACAACCTTATATGCGGCAGTCAATAGTACAGTTCATATGGACAGACGGGGATGACAATTCTACTCGGCGTGAGGGACATTCGAGACTCGACGCTTTGTGAAATATTGAGAGTTTCGGTTCATGTTACTGTCTAGGTAATTGAGGTGGCTTTCACGAATTCATGGATACACCACAGACTGTAACGGAAGGATATCTGCACTAAACTATCTTGCAACCATTGATGTATCTTTCACGATGTACAATTGCAAGAAGCATTCACAAGAGACTTGATAAGACACGACGAATAATAGTTCATGACTAGCGAATCAGATACTACGTCCCCAAGCTTTAACCACCAGGCGTCCATCCACTTGCACTCCAACTCTCCGGACTAATATCAGGCCAATACAGCCCCTGCGCCCCATCATGATACATCGACGCATCAATAAACTGCAAATCCAGAACCGGCTGCGACAGCAACTCCTGCAACGACGGCTCCGACAACGCCATACCCGCCGTAGGATTCAACACGTCCAGCCCCAGTAACCCCGTATCCTGCGCAACAAACTGTCCCCGCCTCGCCTCAAGAGCCCTCATACAAACCTTCATAGCATCGACATGTCTACAAAACTCCTCCGCAGCAAAATTGCCATTCTCTTTTAGTTGGTGCAGAAACTGCGCTGCCGACTCGAATTGCTCTTTATCGCTGCGACATTCCTTCCCGTCGATTAGGCTTGAGATGGCGAGGACTGTGGCGGATGAGAAGAGGTATTGTGTGTAGAAGTAGTCGAATGTTGCGAAGGAGCCGTCGATCCAGCAGTCGATTAGGAGGCGGCAGGAGTGGCGTGCGCAGCGGATACACGCTTCGGAGAGCGTCATGGCGGATACGGGGATTTGAGGTTCAGTTCGAGGTTGAGTGTCCCAAGCTGAGACGTGAGTCCGTAGTACATGCAGAAGAATAGGACGCGTTGCAGTTATGGCGACTTGATTAAAGTACAAATGCAGTGACAGAGGCTTCGGACTCGGTTCAGGTGCATCAGTCGGTTCAATGTGAAGATGCGGCGGCAACTCCTCCACAAAAGCCCTCAGATCCCTCAACGCCTCTTGAACCCTCTGCGAGAGTGTTTTCTGCTGTGGTCTCCTTGTGTAAATCGCATTGATCACCTTTGCTGCCAATCTCGCGAGTCTCAGACCCGCGATGAAGTACGATGAGTCGGCAAAGTCATCGGATGGCGTGTCCAGGACTGGATCAGTGGGGAGATCGACCTCAATGTCGTCGTCTTGAATGGCGACGGGATGGCCGAGACGAGAAGCCCACATGCGATCGAAGCTGTATGCAGTCCACCATACGCGGTTTCTGTGTTCACGGGCCCCAGCGTCGCGGAGTTGGGATTCTGGGACGTTGAGGTGGAGACCCATTACGACGGAGAGACGGACTGATGAGCCAGCAAGCGCATAGGCTGTATATCGACGATTAAGGGCGAGAGAATAAAAAGACTATATTGTTAGCTTACTCCCATATAAAAGTGACAGACTTACCAGAAGAAGACGAATCTCAATGGCATCAATACGAGGCCTCTCGCTGATAATCCGAAGAATACGAGTCGCCCTCGCAAAATACGCCATACCCGGAAAGTTCCTATCCTTCGCCGCCGTCCTCGTAGAATACATCTCCCCAATCGCAAACAAAACCCAAAGCTTACTCCTCAAAAGCGAATCCGCCGAATGCGGATTGACGATAGTCTGCTCCAGCCCCTCAAGAATCTGACTCTTCCTCACGATATAATAAGTCCTACTAACATACTTCAACGCAACATTAACAAGCAGCCTTGCCCTAGAGGGTATAGGCCACGGACAATCCTGATCCGAAAGCGCAAGCAATCTCTCATCAGGTGCATAGTTCACCCGCGGGATATGACTATGTCCCGGTTCGGAAATAGCCTGGCGAAAGCGTGTTGCGAACGCAGCGTCGGAGGCTTCGCCGATGAGGACGGGGGTGTGAAGAACGTTCATGTCGAAGAACCAGGGCCGTTCTTCGAGGAGGGTTCCTTGGAGGGATGAGGTCTCGGTGCTTGAGACGTCGGGGATGGAGGGTTCAGGCCGAGGTTTGGCGTCATCTTGACGAAGACGCTGATTCTCGGCGATGAGATCGTCAATGTACCTGGGCCATTGTTGAACATGGGGATATTGAGGTTACGAGGGGGGAGACATACTGTTGGCTGACTTTGACGAGACGGTTCTTTCGGGGGTATGAACATTCGGCGCCTTTACTTGCTTGACGGCAGTTTTCACAGGGTTGACCGCCTGAGCATTTAACTTTCCTGGCATGGCATCGCCGACATCTACTCAATTAGTTCGGCCTCTTCACATACATGGGAGACTCTTACGCTGTAGATTTGGTCTTGCGCTGCCGTTTCCCAGGACTCAACGGCGTGACAGTCGAAGACCCAACATCCTCCTTATCCGAGTCACTCTGATTCTCAGCCATTGTCTCAAAACCTTGCTCTCAAACAGGTGATCTAGCAGGCCGAGCAACACAGTCTTAACCAATTACCCACCCGAGATCTTCCCGAAGTACCGACACGATCTGCGGTGTCGTGTGACTCTAAGAATACAGAAGCAGATGACGCCGACTAAAATCGGCGAGAATTTTACCTTTCCCGCGCTGACTCAGCCCTAACCTCGGCAGAAAAGTATGCTTCTCGGTGGTTTTTGTAGATCCCGCCGAAAGAGGTGAGTGGGAATAACACGGACAAAGATAAAATGCGTCCGAGACCGCTGGGAGAAAGTCATAGGTCCACTATTGTGAGCCAAGATGCAAGGAATTGGGATGTTTTAAATACCTGATTGAGAAGGTGAAGAAAACTCTTTCTAGTAAATATCTGTATTGCGTTTTAATGGATTAATTTGACGTTCGTTTCATTCACTTTTGTGTTGATACGCCTCATTCGTTTACACCATGGCTGAACCAAAAACAGCCCTTACATCTTCCCCAGAGTCACCACTACCCCCAATAGCCGCAGTCGACGACGACGTAGCCCAAATCCCGACCTGGCGAAAATGGGTTATCCTCTTCGTAGTATGCTGGATGCCCCTCCCCATGACATTCTGGAGCACCGCCATAATGCCCGCCACACCGGAAGTATCCTCCGACCTCAACATACCCGTAACCACCATAACGACCATCAACGCTGGTGTTTTTGTAGCGCAAGCTTTATCTGGGCTGATCTGGCTGCCTGTTAGTACGATTATTGGACGTAGGTCTGCGTACCTTGCTGCGAATGGGGTTCTGTGCGTTTGTGCGATTGGATGTGCTACTGTCCCGAACTTAGCTGGTTTTGCGGCGCTTTGGATTCTGGGAGGGAATACGGGGCCGTTCTTTTTGGTGGCTGGGCAGACTATTCTGGCGGACATTTTTGATCCTGTGAGTATATGTTCATGAGTGAGAGTTTATGCTGATGGTTATAGACGTCTCGGGGGACTGCTGTTGGGTTCTTTCTTGGGAGTTGTGTATCCTTTAATTCAATCGGTAAGCCTTCCGAACCTCTGTCATGAGATGGTACTAAGATCACAGCACCTCTTCTGGGTAGTATCATCGCGACATTCACCAGCTGGCGAGTCATCTACGGTGTTGAAGCCGGGATGTGTCTCTTTGGTCTCATTCTTTCTCTGTTGTTCATCCCCAAAGCCAGTGAAGTTGAGAACCCCAAATTAGCTGAGACGGCACGTCCCCGAACAGCCAAAGAGATTCTCCGGACCTTCAACCCGATGCACGTATTTTGTCAATTCAAATATCCCAAGGTCATCCTCGCTGTATGTATCCCTTCAAACCGAACAAATCCAACACTAACAAATCAGAACATCGCCTGCGGTCTCCTCGGCTTCAACCAATACGCCATCCTCTCCTCCATCCGCCGCGTCATAAACCCTCGCTTCAATCTCACGTCGCCTCTCTCCAGCGGTCTCTTCTACCTCGCTCCCGGCGCTGGATTCCTTGTCGGAAGCACAGTCGGCGGTAAAGTCTCCGATGTTGTCGTCAAGCGATACATGCGAAAACGAAACGGACAGAGAATCCCTGAAGATCGCTTGAACAGCAGTCTAGTCAGTGTTCTAATCATTCTTCCTCTTGGGACGTTGCTCTATGGATGGAGTGTCTATCATAGACTTGGCGGTATGGCGCTGCCAATTATCAGCGCGTTTATTGAAGGTTTTGGTCTCATGGCGTCGTTTAGTGGGCTGAATACATACGCAGCTGGTACGTCAATCACCTCGACAAAAGGACTCATCTAACAATCTTCAGAGGCTCGCCCAGCACATAGAACAGCAGTCATCACAGGAAAATACGTTGTACAGTATAGTTTCGGCGCAATGAGCGTTGGCGGCGTCGTCCCCATGATTGACAGCATCGGCGTAGGCTGGGCCTTCACCGTTAGTAAGTACATTTCTCCACAGCCATTAACTCTCCACTAACTAGTCAAAGTCACTTGTTTCTCGATGCTCGCCGGTATCTTAGTTCTCCTCATCGCGCGGTTCAGCAAAAGTTGGAAGGCGTAGGTTAAGACATGGCTTAGATAAAATTACAACCGGGAATGATGATCGTTACGAAAAACGGGTGCGAGATCTAGATGCGGGGGAAATCTAGATCTAGAATGAATTACCATAGAAGGAATAGATAAAAGTTATCATTTAAGTATTGGGCTTTTTCTAGCTACAGTATTCAAAACTCTCTCCTCATTTTCGCGTCGATATCCGAATTACTTCGGCTTACATTCCTTCGCCAAGCCTCGTTCGCATTCGGTCCCGAGGGGGCTAATAATTAAACAGTCGTGGGTTCTGGGGATGGGTTTGGTGGTGGAAGTTTGCGCTGACATGAGCTAAGATAGCTTGGTCGGGTATCGGCATGGGAATATCCATCCTGAGGATATTAAGACAGACAGCTGCTGTTTTGCCCATCCTGAATGTTATTTCTCTAATTATTGCAGATCTTCAACAAGTACTTCAGGTTGAAAAGGCTTGCAAGATGTATCGCGATTTATTGCTTCTCAGTTCATTCTTGGGCTTCACCCTCGCGCAAAGTGGCGCTGATCCGTACGCCCCAGTCTACACAACATGTCCCTCGTCCCTCAAAATCCGCAGCGCAAAAGATGTACGCATCCCTCCCTACGCTCTCTTTACCATAGCTGACTTCCCCAGGGCCTGTCTGATGAAGAATCGTCTTGGCGTGAACAACGCGCTAAGCAGATGATTCCCAACCTCGAAGACTACCTCAAACTCGCCAACATTTCCGACTTCAATGTCACAAACTATATAAACAAGCTCAAGACTGACGATGTCCCCATCGTTGGGTTATCTGTCTCCGGTGGAGGCACACAGTCTGGTCTGGGAGGACTAGGCGTCTGGCAAGCCTTTGATGCGCGGTCTGCCATCGCAAGAGCTGCAAGGACAGGCGGCTTGACGCAGCTCTTCTCATACATCACCGGTCTATCCGGCGGAGGTGCCGTCACCGTATCCCTTCTGTAAGTCCTCTCCACCATCACCCCACTCACCACTAACATCTCAGCGCCGCAAACAATTTTACCACAACAGACGGTGTCAAAAAAGCATCCAACTTCTCTCTCGACTACGCCTCCGGTCCAGACGGCAACCAAACAGCCTTCTTCACCAGCATATTCGAAAACATGGGCGCAAAACACGAATCCGGCTTCCCCGTCTCCGTCGCAGACACATTCGGTCAATTCTGGGGAACATGGCTCCCCGAGGATAAAGTATACAGCAACTACTCCGACACCGCCTCCAAAAACACAGCATTTTCTCTCGGCGACGCTCCAATGCCAATTGTCTGCTTCGCAGAAGTGATCCCCGGAAAATCCCCCGAGATCGGAAAGCTCATGTACCTGGGCTTCAACAAATCCACTCGCTTTAACCTGACAGCATATGAAGTCACACCCTTTGAGTTTGGAAGTTGGGTCGGCGGCCGCGTGCAGGCGTTTATCCAGACCAAGTTCCTGGGAACTTCTATGACGCAGGGCAAACCGCAGAATAAGAGTGAATGCGTGCAGGGCTTCGATAAACTTACGCTCATGCAGGGAACGACTGCTAATGCGTTTACGGCGTGGTTTATTGATTCGTTTTATGGAATTCCGGTGTTTGCGAAGAGATGGTTGGAGAAGAGACAGAAGGTTAACCCGGATATCAACGATGTGTCTATTCCGAGGGATCAGTATGATAATCCGCTTGTTGAGCTTGTGAATGAGACGGCGATGTATTTTGATTTGACGTTTAATGAGTCGTTGTGGGCGACGTATCCGAATCCGTTTGAGGATTATAATGAGGATATGAAGGGTGTTTCGGAGCTTCTTCTGGTAAATTGTACTACTGAGGGTGTGGATGATGCTGATTGTTTAGGTCGACGGGAGTCTTACGCTTGAGAGTAATCCTCTTCGTCCGTTGATCATTCCTGAGCGCAAGCTTGACTTGATCATTGTCTACGAAGCTTCATCCGATGCGCCTAACTCTTGGGTCAACGGAACCAACCTCATCAGTAAGTCCACTCTTCTTCTAGTATGATCTCAGCTAACCTCCCAGACACCGCCCTCACCGCATCCCAAGGCAACATCCCCTTCCCCAAGATCCCCGACGTAAACACCATCGTCGCCCAAAACCTCTCCTTCCAACCAACATTCTTCGGCTGCAACGCCTCATCCTCAACACCCCTCCTCCTCTGGCTGCCCAACGCCCCATGGACAGGGTACACCAACTACTCGTACACACAAACCCAATTCACACCGAACCAAGTCGACATTGCGCTTGAAAACGCATTCCAGGTAGCTACGTACGGTAATGGGAGTGTGGATGAGAATTGGCCGGCTTGTTTGGCTTGTGCGGCGATTAAGGGCTCGTTGAGAAGGTTGGATATTGAGATACCGAAACAGTGTGAGGAGTGTTTTGAGAGGCATTGCTGGAATGGGACTGTTAGTGATAGGAAGGCTATGGCGGGGGATTTTGATCTTAGGCCGAGATTGGATCCGGAGTTGAGCTTTGCGAAGTGGAATGAGAGTGATTGGGAGAAGGAGGAGAGTTCGGATGGTGGAGGTGGAAGTGGAGGGGATGACTCGGCTGGTGTTAAGCTTGGTAATGGTCTGGTTGGACTGGTTCTGTCGCCGGTGGCGATGGTTTCACTGCTGTAGTCAGACCCGACCGGATATCGGTTGTAGGTAGTCAATTGGCACGGGAACAGACAGATATGGATTGATTGCTCAAATTGATTTTGAGTCCGAGATGGCGGACGAGAGAATTAATGTGATGATAAATCTCATCGCACTTTGTCCACTGTAGGGTGAATGAACTTTAGTGGGCACGCTACAGAGGATCAGCGTCGCGTCCACTGAACTAAAGTGGCTCCATGCAGTGCACTCAACATCATAGCTCAATACAGTAACAACCTTCAATTAATTCTACAGCTCATCTAAGCATCCTAATTCTTCACCTGCACATTCTCCCTCATCACGGCTGGTTCAATCTCCCCATCAGTAGATTTATTCTCCTCAATCTTGGCCTCATCAACCTTTGTCAGATCAACAGCCTTGAGCGCAAACATAACAATCAGCATTGGCGCAAGAGAGCACGTCGCAGCAATCGCAAGAAGACGCTGTGTCTCGCGATATGCCTGATCAATAGCTGCGCGAACCGGTGTCCCCTTTGCGAATTTCTGCGCAACCACAATAGACTTGTAGATCTTGAAGGAGTTGGGCTTAGCTTGCTCGGGGAGATATGTCGTGAGTTTCTGAGGGAGGATGTTGTTCCAAATAGCACCGCCAACACTACAATTGTCAGTGATGATCTACTAAGGGAGCGGTTGGACTAACCTGGTACCGACGGCTCCGCCAAAGTTCATGGCTGCGTAGTAAACGCCCGTCACGACGGGGACGTCTTCCTTGGCGACGAGAGCCTGGATAGAGACTTGAGCGGCAGTTTGGTAGAATGCACGACCAACGCCGACAAGAGTCTTTGCTGTGATGAAAGATGCTTCGTTGGCGTGTCCTCCGTTCATGTTGACAAAGTGAATCATTAGACCTTGACCAAGAACACAAAGCGGAACACCGATAAAGACGAAGATCTGGCTGCGTTTTGTGTACTTCATCAAAATACCGCCGAGGACCGAAGCAATCTGGAACGCGACGCGAAGGGCGTTGCTAGGAAAGTCAGTATTGTATCAACTATATGTGAGAGGAACTGACTCAATGCGAGTAGCGTGTCCAGGACTGAAACCCCCAGCGACTTGGAGATAACTCGGAAAGAAGAGCGTAAAGCAAGAATAATGGAAAAAGTCCAGCATGGATAAAACACAAGCTGCAACGACAGTTCGCTCCTTGATCATTCGGAAGGGAACGAACGGAACCTTTGCAAACCTTGTATCCCAGACGAAAAACACGCCGACGACGACAACGCCAATGACTAGCATGGCGATGTAGCTGCCCTGGTCCCAACGATCACTATTCCTCGCGCCCGTAAGCGAAAGCGGAATGAGCGTGAGTCCAAGACCGAGAACAAGAAGCACTGCACCAAGAATGTCGAGATCAACCCAGATTAAATTGATAATCCTCTTGCTCAAAGTTTGTGTCTTATCAGCTGCGTCCCAAGCGCCCTTTCGTCTATACCCTGCTTTTCTGGCACGTCGCTGAAGAACATATAACGTGACAATAAGCGGCGCCGCGCAGAAGGGTAGGATGAGAGCCCACATGCCATAACCCCAACGCCAGGTCGAGTGCTTGAGAACACTATCAGCGACAATGGAACCGAGGTATAGTGTTGGGATCGAGGCGAAGGATTCGGGGAGTGAAGTCCAGAGACCACGGTTGATGAGGCTTGTTGTGTCTGCGATGAAGACCTGTTGCATGATGACGTAGCCTGTATCGCCGATTGATTCAAAGATTCCGCCGGCCTAAAATGTTAGAGAGATATGAGATGGGAATGGGGAGTCTTACGATGTAGGTTGCGATGTTTTGACATGCTGCGTACATCACTTGCGATAAAACGAGGAAGAGGATTGAAAAGGTTAGACCTTCAGCTCTACCAAACACCTGAGATAGTTAGTCTGCGTTGGAATTGATTGAGAGGTATGCATACGTTGGAGAACTTTGCCATGATGGGATATGTAACCAGACCGATGATTGTACTAACGACATTGGCTGTCGCAAGAGCCGAATGGCGCTGAAACGCAGAGGTAGCGTATGCATCGTAAACTTTTGTCGCGTACTTGAGGAATTGGCATACAAACGTCGTAGCAAACAACCTAAATCGTTAGATCAAACAAATGCTCAATGAGATAAACGTACCCAGTAAACGCAACGATCAAAGCCTTCTTAGACCAAGACTCCCTCAAAATATCCGTATTCGAAGCCTTCTCACGCTCCTTCGGCGCAGCTTCCACGTCAGAGCTCCGATGAGAATTATGATCTGCCATTGCAAGTAATCTCAGTCAAAACTGAATGCTATTCCTTCAAAGTTGAATGCAACGCTGTATATTTATAGAGTCTCAGTGACGGATGAATTCCGCGCCTACAATCCGGTGATCCATCTAATCTTATCAGATTTTCATGCATCGCGTGATATCATTGGTCTGCCAAGACTGGCGTGGCATGACTTGGCCGTGATCTGATAAAAAAGGCCTCATGTTTTACAGGGATTAAAGGAGCCGCGTTTTTTTATTCTGGGAATAGTGGTGGAGAGGTTTAGGTAAACGTGGATCACATGAAGATGAGTTACGCTGGTGGGTTTGGCGTTCCGAGAACAGGCGATCTCCAATGACACGTTTTTTAATCCCTGGGAAGAATTTTCGCATCTGATTAATGATGAGATTTCAAGTATTGAGTGTTGCCACGAGCTGGAGTGATCTACCGTATGATTGAAAGCTTGGTGCGAGATAACCTTGTTGTTATCAATCTGATCAGTAACGTGGGGGGCCTGCAAATGACTGCATCACAAGCCAAGCGATGGCCATGCAAGAATGAGATGCAATGTAATTTACGAGACTGTTGAGCTCCGGATATTCGGAACCGACCGTTGGAGAGATGTCTGTGCGAATAAGTTCTGTAAGACTTGATGAGAATGGTTCATGCAGTGCATTGAGGTTATTCCCGAGGCGATGGTCCACGGAATGATCCGCTTCAGGTCCACTTGGGGAGCAAAAGCGCCGAGTTCTGGTCTGCAGACGAGTTACCGCTTTGGGCATACATCCACCGTCTCTCACGATGAATTTTCGTACCCCATGTAACAAATGCTTCACGTCACAGATGTTCTTAGGCAAGTTAAGCGAAGGGCATTCTATGAACGAGGAATTGACACCTCTTAATTACAAATTCTATACTATATACCAGCTGTTCACCAGACAACTGCTTCTATACCTCTCACCATGTTGAGCCTCCAATTGACATCGTCAAGCTCTGTCGCGTCTAACCAAGGTTGTTCGGGGTCTTGGCTCGAATCTTGGGTCCATACAAGAAGAATATGACGGGAACAGGTACAAGAGCCAGCGCCAAGAAAGCAAGGATGCTGTTACCCCAGCCGAGACCGAGATCATCGTACATGGAGAGTCCAGCGAGGGGAAGCATAGCGCCAGCGAGAGATCGCAGGACTGTCATTGCTGCGACGGCTGATGCTGCGTAGGTGATGTATGCGTCGACGAGGTAAGTTTGAAGACACATCTGTATCGTTAGTGCTGCACAATCAGAGCGAGAGGAGGTTGACTCACCATAATCCCCATAAGACCAAAGCAAAACAGCGCAACGCCAATCATGGGCACAATCCAATGCACATTCTGATCCGCCGCCCAACCATACCAAAACAACGCGCCCACAATCAACAACCCCGAAGGCAACGTCATCCAAATCGGCAATCGATCCTCCGGCACCGTCTTACCATTCTGCGCAATCTTTTTCTTGATGACAACATCTGTCATGACCCCAAACGTCATCGTACCAAACAGCATTCCAATACCAGTAGGCAGATACGCGAGACCGATTGTGCCAGTGCCGAAACCGTACTGCTGCGCGAAGACGAATGTGAAGGTGCTGAACATGAGGTATAGCACGCCGTAGACGATGGCGACGTAGAGGGAGAGGATGAAGACGGGGAGATGGGTGAATAGCATGCGCATTGGGCGGATGGAGGCGTTGCTGAGGCGTTGCTTTGGTGTGAGACCGTCTTTGTCGAGGATGGAGTATAGGTCCTGGTTACCAGTTTCTTTCTTGAGTTTGGCGGCTTTGGCGCGGAGAAGGGTTGGAGCGTATGTTTCTGGGGCGGCGAAGTAGCACAGCGCAGCGATGAAGCCAGTCTAATGGTCAGTCACGACATCATACACCCAGGTAAAGCACTTACAAGAATAGCAATCAGCCAGAATACCCAGCGCCACCCAATAGCCTCAACCATATACCCACCAGCCAACGGTCCAATACACGGTCCAAGAAGCGGTCCCATAGCCCAAACAGCCATGGCCTTGCCTCTCTCCTGCACGGGAAAGATATCCGATATAGTTCCACTACCATTAGTAACAGGCGTCGAGCCCGTGAAGCCCATCAAGAAGCGAAACACGATAAGCATGGGCATGTTTTGGCTCAGCGCGGTGGCGACGGTCATTATAAGGAACAGGACGTTGGCGATGTTGAAGACAATAGCACGGCCGTAGATTTCGCTTAGGGGCGCGGCGAGGAGGGGACCGAATGCGAAGCCGAGGACGTACACGGAGACGACGAAGGTTGCGATGTTGCGGTTTGATGTTTCGAATTCGCGCATGATGTCTGGGACGCCGGGGGCAAACATTGAGGAGCCCTGGGTTGTTAGTGGTGTAGATTGGGGTGAGGGGGCGACGTACGAGAGGTCTGAGATGTTAGTGAAGTAATGAAAGAGTGAGAGGAGACTTACGTTAGGAGAGTCATGACGGAGAGGGCACCGATGCAAGACCATTTCTTCTTCGCAGGCCAATTCATGGGATTGTTTGGATCATCAGGTCCATCCCAACCAACAGCGTTCGGATCTTCATCCTCAACGACGTCCTCTTTCGTAGGAGTCTCTTCATCCTTCTTCGCAGCGCTACCGGTATAAGAAGGCGTGAGAGTCCGCTGACTCGTGGGTCGTTCAATGTCAAGTGAAGCTTTCGTTTCCGCCATCGTGAAGACTGAAGCACTAAAGACAAAGGAGAACAGAGAATGAAGGGGTGATGAAAAGATATTTAACCCAAGCCACGACTCACGAAGCGTAGCCAACGAACCAATAAGCGAGTAGTTCGAAAGCGAAACCGAGAGATGGGGGAGTTTGGCCAATAGTGTCGCGTTTTCGGGCCCGTTTAAAAGCCCGCGCCGGGTTGGTTATGCGGGAGCCCCACACGGATCTGGCGATTTCCGTACCGTTAGTTATGCAGATTCACGGGATTTGTGCACATTTGTGCAGAAGGCGGCCGGATGGCCCCTTTTAATTTTCCCGGGGACGGAGTTGTGAATGCTTCGTCTTACGGTGCGAGGCGGTGTCGCGATCAACTGGTCGAGATATATTCCGTCTGGAGATGAATGATTCTTGGCGAGGGACTCGTTATTATATTGAATGAAATACTCCGTACGTTTAGGCGTGATTCATTTGTTGGCTGTTCAATTGAGAATACGGCGTACGTTATACGCGTATTGGTTCCCCGCAGTTTCCGATCATGTGAGCTTAATGTTATTTTTGTCCTCAACCTTATCCTTATCTTTATCGCTATCCATATCCTTATCTTATCGACATCGCCAACACTGAGAAACATGAGACACCGATTCAATGCGCAACATGATCAATTCATTCTATCCATGTAAACAATCTAGACCACCTCATTCCATATTACAACAATCTCACCCAAATCATCTCCATACTACCTATATCCTGCCAACTCAATTAAGCCTTCCTCTTCTGCAACAGTCCCTTGAACGGATTCTTCCCTCTGAACCGCATCCACGTAGCAAAGTAAACCACCGCATAATTAAACGCGATAAAAGCGCAGAAAATGCCAAAGTCCCTCCAAATGTTTCTGTAATACACACTAAAACCCGCTCCAAATTGATCACCAGTCGCATACTGGCAAAACTCACAGTATCCATCTGATCCAGTAGTGACATACCCTCCCGCGCGCTGAATAAACGGCTCAACGTACTCATCGCACGATTGACCGCTCGGCGGTTCAAAGCGCGCAAACTCACCCTCCTCGCAGCGAACAGGCTGGTCGTGAATCGCAGCGCCAAGGAAAGCTTCGAGGAGGTAGTGGAAGGGCGTGAGCCAGTACATCCATTCGCGCCAGAAAGTGGGGAGACCTTGAGGCGGGACGACGACTCCGCAGAAGGATACGACGAAGAGGAAGAAAATAGGCACAAGGAGAGATGCGAGGAGTTCGTTGGGCGCAAAGGCAGCGATGGCTTGGCCGAAGGAGACGTAGTACAGCTCAAAGAGCAGAACGAGCAGGAACGCAAAACCTGATGTGAACGCTGACGCGCGCCAGCCAAAGACTCCCCACCACCAGCAATTGAAGTAAATACCGCCCGCGATGATACGATACGGGATTTCAACGACGACAACGGCTGTAGTCCAAGCAACCCAGCTGTAGATCTTGGCATTATTCTCCCTCCACTGGAATATCTGGCGCGATTTGAGAAAGACGGGCTGGAGCTGCTGAATGAGAGGCGGACTGATCGTCAGCGTCATGAAAATGGAGAACAGCCTGTTTTGGTAGTCAATCGATGCGAAACCGATCTTGTAAAAGGTGAAACAATTAAAGAGGCCCGTTGCGATGTGAAGCATAAAGTTACCAAAGATGTAATCCGGTGACCGCCAGAACGAAACGAAACTTCGACGAACAACGGCGTATGTCTGTGTAGATAACGGCATGGCGTACTCGCGATCATCTTTAAGACTCTTTGAAGGCTCAACATTCCGTCGGCGCTCAATCATCTCCTCAATTTCCTGAGATCGCTTCTGTCGCTCTGAAGACTCCGCCCAGACATCTCCCCAGTCTTGACCATCATAGTCAGGATTTCCAGCACCGATCGCATCGAGCATGTACTCCGCTGGGTTAGCGTGCGGGGGACACTTGGGGCCGCCGTTGGACTCAAAGTACTTGATCAAGTTCTCTGAATCATGGCCTAGAGGACCGTGGTAAACAACGCGACCGCCTGATTTGAGGAGTAGAAGCTCATCAAAGTTTTCGAAGAGGACGGCGGAGGGTTGGTGGATTGTACAGAGGACTGCTTGGCCTGCGTCTGCAAGTTTGCGCAGAAAGCGCACGATGTTAAATGCAGCGCCAGAATCAAGACCAGAAGTCGGTTCATCCAAAAACATAAGCAGTTCCGGCTTCGACGCAAGTTCAACACCAATCGTCAAGCGCTTCCGCTGCTCTGCGTTGAGACCTTGTCCAACGGTACCGATGATCGCACCAGCAATGTCACGCAT